TTGATTATAGCCGAGAAAAGAACAATGTCTGGCGGAGCGTTTGAGTTCGATGAATCTATATGGAAGAAAATATTCTTGATCAGTTCGAAACTCGAAGGATATATTATATACCCCCCTCCAGTATTAATAGCGATTCTGTTTTGAAAATGAAGGTTTTGTTATTATCAGCTGCGAGCTTGGAGATTGATACCCGGCACGATCCGCGCGTACAATGTGCAGCATATACACGCGCAAGCTCGGGATACTCGGGGTATATAGGCAGAAAGATGATGAGGATAAATCATTAATGAATATCAAATAGCTCCCGCGAGAGAGTACGCACGAGCGAACTCGAAAACTCGAGAGAAAGAGAGAGTACTCGGCGTAATAATGAGCTGAAATCTGAAATATATATAAACACACTCGCATACTTGAAAAAAAATTGAGCGCACGAGTATGAAAAAAGATATATTCTACGAATTTTCATACAGGCGCATGAACGAGCATGCATGCACGACTTTTTTTTTGCTCTCAGCTTTCGTTTTTTGTCGAATAAGTGCACGTACGAATTTCGAAATTATCGAGGCATATTACGCGGTATCATGAAGTGTATAGCGCGAATCGGATAACAGCTGCTGCGGCGCACGCTGACTCGACGAGAATCACAACCGACGCGCATTTCGTATCCCACGCGAGCTGCGCGAACGAAAAAAAGAAATGAGCGATCCTCCCCCCACGCAGCGATTAATCGACGCGGCTTTTTTTCTTCTCCTTGTTATAATTACGCAATCGTGCTTTTCTTCTTTCGAGAGTGTTGAAATTTCGCCGTGAGCGAGTGGAGAAAGAAATAAAGATGATATTTTTCTTTAAATATTTCGTTAAATGCAAACTTGAGCTTTCGCGCTGCGTCGTTCTCTGTTCGACGTTTTTATTGTATTTGTCACTTGGTCCTTTTCTTTCAAAAGGCCTCGCGCGCGCGCGAAAAGAGGCATGCACGCGTTACATACGTACGACAAAATAAATAAATAAATGTGTGACGGACGAGGACAGTATCGCTCGCTGGAAGTGTTAAAACGCATTTGCATATAACTACGCGTGTATAATGTCGCTAAGCGTGTCAGGAGCTCTTCGAGACGTGCGCAAATATCATATATAATACACATACTTTGCGAGAGCGAAGAAAAAATGCAGCTGTATGAGTGCGCAAATATATGTATGGAAGCTTTCTCTGCGGCAATAAATAGGTACGAGGCAAAAGTATGCACGACGAGATTTCGAGGAGTATTGGAATTTACTTTCGATTGACAAATATTCGATATTATAAAAGTGTAGATGAATGATATATAGATTAAAAGAATCGGATGTACCAGTCTGGTAGTGAACGATACCGAAAAAGTTTCGGGCATACAAAGAGAACCCTTTACTTTTAAATAAAAGTAATTATATCGAAATAATTCCATTAACAAGACATTTTGATTCTTTGAGTTTCCATTGACCGACCTTGAAGATGTACTTATACAATTATTTTTACTTTTGCACTTGCAAGTAGTAGATAAAGGTACTGGCCAACTAGTGGTGGAGACTCAAACTGGTATTATCATGTTAACATAGTTGGTTGATCGAAATTTTTTGAAATGTTTGAAGATATTTGAAAGAAGATTAAAGTTTCTATCTCAATCGTATCAGTAAAAATTAAACTCGATGATAAGATATAGATTTTGTTGTGTCGACATAAAAATTATGGTTACGTTGCAGCTCGAGTCTTCGTACTTGCGGTGTATTATCATTGCGACGACAATATTCTACGGCAATTTTCAGTTTCTAGGATACGGTCATGCATAGGTCGAGGCCCGACGTGGATACTCAAAAACAATGCATAGCTCTCCTACAACGTGTCGCGCTATTTTTTTCACGTAATTTTCAAACGGTCGTCTAATTTTTTTCGTTCATTCGCTTTTCCGTATCGAAACTTCAATTAATGTAATGTACACCTCTAGCTCGCGCGTGTATATACTGCAGTGCGCTCGTATCACAACAAAAGCAAATGTGTGCTTGTACGTGTGTGTGTGTGTGCACGGTCTATATACATTTATATAGTGGAATTATATTTGGCCTCGGGCTGTGATTCGAAGCGAGCGTAGTACATACACCACTGCATGTAGCTACGGGCGTGTATACGAACAACAATATGCCGTCCATACACACCGCGCGCGTTATAGAATCAAATAGACATGCTCGTGGGCCGAAGTTGGTCCTGCGTGTGCTCCGGCCAATATCTGCATACATTGCATTTACGCACGTGCATAAATGCATACGACGTATGCCTATATATAATATGCGCGTGCACATTACGTAGCCGAGCAATTAATGAAATGAGAGCGACGAGCAGCGGCGTAGCACGCCGGGCCAATTTTCGTACAATTGAAAACGCACGAATATTTTTTTTCCGGGACGCAAAAACATGCCGCGATGTGCGTGAGTAATAGATGGAACGATAATAATTAGTTGCTGCATGCGTCCACGACGTATACGCATTAAAGCGAATATTTTTCAAGTAATTGTACATTCGAAAGCTCGATTGTTTCTCCAAATTAATTTTTCGTACGCGCTGCTCTCTTTCCCTAATATAATATATCTCGACAATTTCAACTTGAACATAATTGTTAGTTTTTTGTCTCTCGTGAAAGATATTCGTAATGAGAGTACAGCGCACAGACTCCTTACCTCTCCCATGCGTATCCAGCTGATTAATATTGCCTCGGGCGTATAAATGCATCGACTCGTGCGTTAATTCGACGCGTGCAGCAACGGCAGTAGCAGCACTCTCCAACACGTGTAATTCCTCTGGGGAACGAATTATGTATTATACAAAGATATTCCGCAAGCCGAGAGTAGCAGCAGCAAAGCATACATATGTCTAGTACTTAGTGCGTACTTACGTGTATAATTTGCCCGCGAATCTCAACGCTCGCAAGCGATCGCGTCGATTTTTCAAACGAAATATTCGTCTGTATCACGCTGGGCCGTGTCTGTGCAATTATCAAAGTATCGAACGTCGAGTTTTTACTACTTTTTTGTTTTTGTTTTCGATACATAGCAACGTTAATGGCACGAGAGTAAAAACAATAAATATCCATCGTATATCGAGTCTCGAGAGTATACAATATACACAAAGGGCAGCGCCGCGAGTTGTGTGTATACGGGCAAGCGGTTCATGCATCTGTCAGCGGGCCGCCGCCGCACGAGCCTCCTTTCATTCATTCGATTTTAATATTATATACTTACTCATATTATGTCATCGGCATATTTTGCCTCGCATTGTAGTAAGCGCACGAGGAGAGTGAGAGAGAGAGAAAAAAAATGTAAATACGACGAAGAGTATCACGTTGCGCGCGGCCCGACGTCGTCGTCGTCATAATTGTGCCGCCCGCTTGCATTGTGCCGCTCGCAATATACGTGCGTACACACCGCCATTGACAGCGATAGGGCCCAATTTTATAAGCTTATGGGCTTTCATAAAATAAGTTCAAACATTTTTATGCGAGCAAACACGACGTAATTTTTTTTTTTTTTCGTGAGTATAACTAAACAAGCTGTGTGGAATAAAAGCGGCGGCCCTTGATGATCGTGCCACATACTTTTTCTTTTTTTAACATACACATATCAACCTTTGTCATAAAATGTAGCGCGACGAATGAACCCGTGGTGAATAGGGTAATTTTTGATTTGAGCCTAAATGGAGAATTTTATTAAATTATCGCGCATGGCGTTAGATTATGGTGCTAATTTTTGGGCATAATGTATACAAATGTTGTGTAATTTGATATTTATAAAATAAGTAAAAATAATAGCAGTTTGATTGTTTATAAGGAAATAAAATATAAATCAAAGAGGATTTCTATCGGTTGAATCGAGGCGAGCGTCAAGGATTTTCTGCGTATCGTGTCTGTCGAGTGTCATTACGTTGTATATTGCCGACGCTCCGAAGTTGCACGCTTCTATTTGCACGGGTCGAGTCTCAAAACGTCTCATTTGCTATTTTATGAGAGATACATGTTGAATCAACGGCTCAGCTACACTATAAACAGGTCAAAGAAGTACGAAGGATTCGAAATTTCACTGATCGATCAATGGCAATAATGTGGCAGCCACCGCGTTTGAATATAAATCTTGAATATGTGTGGCATCGTCGAGCTCCTGCTGCGCAATATAAGCAGCTGGGCCATTTACTTGGAGAAAATTCCTTATCCACGTTGATTATCTGTGTATCGATAACCATGACGAAAATATTAATGTTTAATGCTTCATGGGCGAGAACAATAGTAGTATCGCAACTATTCAACCCTACCAACGAGATTGAAAAGAAAAGGAAAACCGGTTAATGCGGTCAACTATGATAATAACAGTGTCAGCTGGATTTTGAGACGACGTCGTACGCGCGGTACGCCTCGATACGGCCGAGATGTATAATAGTGGTGGCTCGTCGATGCACATTTAATATCGTATCGCAGCTCGTGCGTTACGAGCCGATCAATCGCGAGAGCTCGAGCCGACCTGTAATTGAGCGCGGCGAGCGAGACACGACGTCTACAACGCGTACATTACAGGTCGGCTCCGAGCTTCGACTTAATCGGCGAGGTGTGATCTCGACGGATCTCGTTATTAATAAGCAAAAGAGACGTGACGATCAGGCCGAACGCGAGCCACGTGCGCTCGATTTATTACTCTTTTTTGCTTCTTTTTTTTATAATCGAATGATGTATACGTGCTTGTATACGCAGCAGTTTTGAGACGTCCATGTCTCGTTTAATTGGTCGAGTATAATTTTCGTTCGAAAGCGAACCTCGCGGTTTTCGAAGTGAAACTTCTTTAGTTTAACATCAGGGTATGACAGAGAAAAATTTAACATGATAATCCTAGGAATTATGACAGAATCTTTCGTGGCCTGTGATTAACAGACGCTCTAAAGAAAATCGAAACTATGTTGTGACTCAATTATTAAAATTATATTAAAATTTCAGGTCGCTCGGAATAGAGCAGCAACGCGTGGAGCCACGAGTGATAAGCCACCCTGGGCATCATGATCTCATGAGCGTCGACTCGATGTCGGCCCAGCACAGCGTGCTCGGCCTCTCGAACGCCGAGCGATACTGCAAGAATGCCCATCTCACGGCTAAGCAACAGGTCATATGCATACAGTCACCGCAGGTTTTACAGGTACCAAAAAAACTAATTATTACTTTTTCGAAGTGGACGCGGAGAAAATTTTAAATAGTATATTACGTGACAAGGGACGAAAGTCGAACTTCCGTCCCTGCGAGGTTATGCACCCGAGGCGAAGCCGAGGGTGCAAGCTCGCAGAGACAGGCGTTTGACTTTTGTCCCGAGTTGCGTATACGATTTTTCTTTATCCCCGCTTGAAAGTACGTTTGCTTAACATAGTTAAGAAATATTTTATTAAAAAAAATTGTATCCATGAATTTACGCTTACATGGCAAAGCCCGCCGACATTTGCGGCCCAAGCGCAGCGAGGGCTGCTGGTCGACGGCGGGCTTTGCAACAAATATCATCAATAATAATGTTTATTAGTACATAACTAATATTATTAATAAACAATTGTAAATCATAGATAACTATGGCGTTAATAAAATACAAACGATCCCGTAAAGTATAAGCATGAATTAGTACCATATCAATTAAGTAATTCACTCAATCTGAGGTAGACAAGTAGAAACTTGAGTGACCTAGAATAACGTTTAAAGTTGAAAGAATTTTTCAAAATATATTATAAAAATTAACATATTTTGACTGTCTTTGTTCTCTTAGATCTCATTTTTTATTGCAACTACCATCTTTAACGATTTAAATTTTGGATTGGAATTGAATGTAATGAAATGTGTACGTCAAATTATGGCTATTCAAATTTGATACTTCATAGAATTGTTAGTCTTTTAATATTTATTCAATTTGGCATATGTACGTCATAAACAAAGTGAATATAATTCATCTATTGCATAGTCGAAACCAAACGATAATTGAAATGTAGGTTGCCGTAGTCATGGAGATAATAACTTTCGCGCGGTATTGTCGGGGAGCAAAAGTATTACTTTCGTCCCCGAATTCGAAGATGAAAGTACGTACTTTCGAGCATGGGATGAAGAAAAATATAATCGAAATCAAGAAATGTTTAATCTCTATTGCAAACAAAAGCAAAAGAGATTCGTATAGTATTGAAGTGATAAAAAAAAATAAAGAAAAAATTGAGGGAGCTCAGGGAGAATAAGTACGAAAATGATTGTCATTAAATTAAAGCGAACTGAAACGAGCGTGCTTAAATTAAGCCGCTGCAATATATGATTATACGCGCGTACGAAAGGTCCGAGCGGTGCGTTGCACGCGGAGAACTCAAAGCCCAGTCATTTGTATCACTTTTTTCCCGAGGCGCACGCATTTAAAAGGGCACAGCTCGCGATGAAGATCTCCATTCGAGAAGAACAACGAGCAAATATATACAGGTGTATCGTTCTTAATTTCACTAAAACGTCCGATAGCTGCACGAATTTTCATACGAGCGCATAATGCACCAATTACGCCTGAAAGGCTTCTCCTATTTCGCGCTACCGCCGAGTATAAGTGTAATGGCTATTGGTACACGTACCCATTTCCCCGTGCTTCTAATTTAACTTTTTTACCCGGCTCTATTTGTGTTTATACGGTACGTATACACGGTGTGCTTGCGCGGGTACGCGGCGCGCAAGCTTCGAGCTTTTTTGCCGGGATTTAAGCGCGTCACCGCAGGCAGTTTGTTCATCCACGACGCGCTGCAGGTCTGTTGATGCTGCTACTGTTATATGTGTGCGGTATATATATAGTCGTGGAAAGACGGCTTTTTGCATGGCTCGTGAAAAATGCAGAAAACGTCGCAGGCTGCAAAAAAGGAAAAGCCAAAGCCTTGAGCTACATTTTTCTAGCTCACTAGGGATACGAATTTGTAACTGCTCTTGGAGCTTGAGCTCGGCAATGTGCCCCGGTCCCACGTTCCTTAGATTGATAAATCGCCGAATTAGACGAGTGTTTTGTTTGTTTTTTTTTTAACCCGGTTCGCGAGGTAGGACGCGATTATGTTTAATTGAAGTTTTTCAAAAGTGTGTCGTGCGGCTATACCTATAGGTGAGGCGATGCGCGCCTCCGGCGCCGATTTTTCTTGTACTTTTTATCACTATTTATTTCCGGTTGAAATATACGAAATGTACACTCTACTCATCAGGATTAAATTCGTTTGAAATTAATTGTACTCTTACGCGAATGTTTTTTAACGATTGAATTCAACAAGTTATTCACTTAAGACTTCAAAGCAATGAGATATTTTAAAAAATGATTGAAAAAATGAAAATTAATCAATTTCAAACCTTAATTAGAATAAGTTGGAAAATGATGTCGATAGATTCAATTGAGTATGATCAATGAGTATAAGCTTTAACATCGTGATTGCAGGCCATAAGCTCCGGCGCGAGACTGGCCATCGAGGAATGCCAGCACCAGTTCAAGGGCGCCAGATGGAACTGCACCGTCGATCCCGACAGCGCCGACAACATCTTCGGTGGCGTCATGCTCGCAAGTACGAAATCTTCCCATTCTATAAAAAAAATCATGCGATTTTAATTCTTGTAATTTTTTTTTTTTGTCGGTCGACTCGACAGACAGTCGAGAGGCGGCGTTCGTGTACGCCATATCGGCCGCCGGGGTCGCCTACAGCGTGACCCGCGCCTGCTCCCGCGGCGAGCTGACCGACTGCTCGTGCGACAATCGCGTCAGGAGCCGGCAGCGATCCAGCAATTGGCAGTGGGGCGGCTGCAGCGAGGTGAGTTCCATATAAGCATCGAATGTATCGCAGGCGGACACGATTGACGAAACCCATGCACGTTAACGCAGCTACTCGGTTAATTCGCGTATCGTACATGCGTGGACAGCGTAAACACGCGAGATCATATGTATGTTCGGCGCGGTGTCCGTGTATGTACTTTGTACATAGATGCCTCTCAAGGGCAAGCGAAGAACTGCCTGCGCAACCATAAAAACGAGAGAAAAAAAGAAAAAGTGAGCTTGAACGTTGCACGCTACAAAGTCGGCTCTCTCGCTCTCTCTCTCTCTGCTGCTCCACGATGTATGCGGCTGGTATACATTTCACCGAGATATATAGGTGAAGCATATGTGTGTATCGTCGCGAACGCACAAGCATATTATATGTACCTATAGGTAAGATCGCACACGAAAGCTCATAGGCTGTTGCAGTCGTTGTCGTTGTACACGATATCGTACCGTGCGTATGTGTGTATGTACGCGAGGCAGAGCTCAGGCCGCCGCAAAGTCGAGTCGATGCTCGCCTCCGACGATTTGTAAAAGCCCTTACGGACATGTCGAAGCGCATAATGTGTAATATGCGCCGCTGCGTCTATAATACCAACCGCCGCGTGTAGCTGTACGGACTACATATATATAGCTCCCTCCGGAAGAGGCATGAGAAACCTATTGCCGACGCGACCACGTAAGATATTGCGCGCACACCGCGTCTGTGCTTAGCATCGATTTGTATTTTACTTCTTCGAGTTTTTTTTTTATGTTAAATTATGCGACTCGGTGATGAAGTACGAATGAAATTTAGTCGTTTGTTATGTATCGAGGAGTAGCGTCGTTTCTTAGACGATCTGAACAAGCTCGGCCATGAGACACTGTACATCGAGTAGAACGATACTACTCGTCGACTGCACTGCAAGAGAGAGCTGGCAGCCGTTAATCCCCTTGTAAGCTCGCGATGTCTACAAGGGGTCACCCGTTCACGCGAAACGCATTCGTTTTAGCTCACCCTTCGCTCGCACGCACATCGCCAACGCGTATATACGACTTGCACGTATCACACGCACGAGCTGCTCTTACATACATGTATCTATTTTTTACGATACAATACTCGACGACGAAAATGCATAGATAGACGCTCGAAATCGCGAAAGAAAAAACTGCCTGACGCGCGGCCAGCTGGAAAGACACACACAAAGACCATTTTTAAGGCTGCAAAGGATCGTTCCTATATAAACGCGCGAGAAAAAAACCGAGGAAGCTGGACGCGATAAGATCCCGACAAATATTGGTAAAATACGAGAGAGCTTGCAGGTGCGCACGTGTTTTATATAATAAGGCGGCGCGCAGCCGGCCGGCAGCACCAAACGCGCTGCTGCGAGCTGTAAGTATACCCTCCTGTACGGCACGAGAACGCTCTTTTCCTTCGAGAATTATGTAAGCGCCCTCGCACAGCTTTGAATTTGTCCAATCTCCTGCGTCCAATTTTTTCTTTTTTCCTTTTCTCGGGCATATATACGCGCGCAGCTTTCTTTCCCCGTCTACGTGTGTACACACAAAGACGGAAAATGTGTCGCTGCTCTTCGCTGGGGAGCCAGCAGCTTTTACCCCAGCTGTCACATAAAAAAAAAGGAAACTCGACGCAAGCTGCTGCGCGGAGGATACGAGCCGCGTTCGTATATCCTCGACGTATATAGGTATAATAATGTAGTTTGGGGCCGATCTCGTCGATTAAAGATATCGCGAGCTGCAATTGACGATCGCGCGTTAAATTTTATCGGCCCCGAGCTGCCGTTAAAAAAAATATATAAGATATATATAATATGAAATTGTCGTTTTGTTGGAACGCAGGACATTCACTTCGGGGAGCGATTCTCTCGCGAATGGTCGGAGGCGGGCGAGGAGCCGGTGAAGGACGGGGCGATCGACGGACCCAACGGACTGGCCGGCCTACTCATGAGGCGACACGACAGCGAAGCAGGCCGCAGGGCCGTACGTTCGCGCATGCAGAGAGTTTGCAAGTGTCACGGTGAGTAACAACGTCGTCGAAACGACTAATCGTTCATTCGGGACTCATACGCGTTATATCTCGTCCCATAAAAGGAATGTCGGGCTCGTGCAGCGTGCGGGTCTGCTGGCGCAGGCTTCCCCCGTTCAGGGCGGCCGGCACGGCGCTGGCCCAGCTGCACGAGGGCGCGGCTCTGGTCAGACTGGCGCAACGCGGCCCGAGACGTCCGGCCCGCCTCAAGCCCGCCAGGCCCGAGCTCAAGCGGCCCAACAAGACCGACCTCGTTTACTTGGACGACAGTCCGGACTACTGCGAGCGTAATCTCACGTAAGTCGATTTCTCAAAGTTCGCTCGAGTTATCATTTGGGATTTTGGATTAAATTTGCTTCGTTCGCAGACTCGGCATACCGGGCACGCGCGGCAGGATCTGCAATCGCACGAGCCTGGGCCTGGACGGCTGCCGCCTGCTGTGCTGCGGCCGCGGCTACCAGACGCGGGTGCGCGAGGTCGTCGAGAAGTGCAACTGCCATTTCATCTGGTGCTGCGACGTCAAGTGCGACATGTGTCGTCACAAGCGCGAGGAGCACATCTGCAATTAAACTACTCCGAGCGATTTTACGTTAAACTAATGAATTCGGCCGCACCCAAGCGCGTACTTCGTTATATATCTACGACGAATATTTGTAATTTTTCACCCTACGTAAAGGCAGCAAAAACTTCCGTCGATCTATGGAAGCAAGTGCTGCAATAATGTTGAGCACGTAAAAAGACTTGCACATTGTGTCATTTATTAATTAGGAAATTGAAGTATGCCAAAATAACTCCGAATAAACCTATAATTTCTTTTTCTCTCTTTGTGATTTTCGCAACCAACGATTTAAAATACACTAAATACGAGTTTCGTGTACTGTTTTTATAAAAAGTATGATATTTTCCTAACACTCTACCAATCGCATGCATGACATTCAATTCATTCGAGATCTTCTTTTTTTTAATAATCCTTCAAACTCTTTTTCTTTTTAAATAAAATATAATATAATCTTATAGCGATTGATGTTTATACAATTAAAAAATCGAAAAACATAAAAACAACACTGCCATTACATGACTCTGCCAAGTACATGAATCTCGCGTCTCAATGAATGAAGCGAGAAACGAAAACGTTTACCAGTATGAACAAATTTTATGTATATACAAAAATATATATTGATAATTATACACCATATAGTTGTAGTTAATTTTTTTTTATACTCTTCGACGTACTTACATTACTACGCATACATGTATTATCGTAATGTGTATATATGATTGAAGTAAATATAATTATCTTATTGCATTATTTCGTCGTCGAATCGATTCAGTTTTATCCACGTGTTTCGATGTCAACGTGTAGGCAACTGTAACGTCGACGTTATATACTCTCATGTAGAAAAATAAATAAATATTGTATTCAATATAGTACGTCATCTTTAAGTAGTCTCGCGATGCATCCAGGAGTGTTTCGCGTGAAATTATTGTCATTATCAATGCATTTATATATACACGTCCTTGTCTACGAATATTTAAAGTAACGAATTAACTCGAGTGAAGAGTTCAGTCATTTCGTCTTTTTTATTCATAATATAATAATTAAATTTAATATAAGTGTATGTGTGCAAGAATGATGAGAAACGCTTCTTCATTTTAATATTATGCAATTTTTATAACGCAACATTAATCGGTACCAATTCTTAAAATAAATCATTAAATTAAATTAAAACGAAAAATAAAACGTCCCAAAATGTAGGATAATAAGAAATGCGTGTCAGAGCTTTATTGCCGTTGATGTGTCATGAAAGAAATTATTCATTTTACGAGTGAAAAACAAAAATGAATTTTTTCGAGGTATTATGCGAGGTACAATACCGAATGCAAGCTTAACTATTAAGATCCAAAAAACAAGCGTTTTCAATTTATACTCACTCTAAAAAAATTATATAAAAATTTTAACTATAATAACGTACATGAATGTATTAATGTGCCAAATGGTATTAATATAGGCGAGTTCATTGACGAAACGAAAAACTGCAATGAAGTCCGCGCAGAACAAAAAACGAGCGAGTCTCGTTACGCTCGTGTATAATTAATAATTGTTATTGAATTACAGTATTGAAATTTTTTAAATTATTTTTATTATTTAGACTTTCTAATTTCGTAGAGAATACCCCTTATTGTTTATTTTATTTTGTAAAAAAAATTGATTAATGTAATATTTTTTTTTATATTGTTTCGATTAAAAGTTAAACGACCGAAAATGACATAAATTTGTAATATTTTTGTTTTTGCAAGTTCATTACCACAATTTGCCAACAAGTATGTGAATCAAATTTGTTCAACATTTGAAATTCAATCATGTCATATTATTCCGTCGAAAAGCGGATTTCAATAAATGGACATATAGGAAATGAAAAAAATAGTAGTTCTTAGTATATGTACGTATATTTACACGCATGATCTGTAAACTTTTAATTGTATTTATAAATACACCTCTGCAAAAACAAACATGTGCATTTTTTATTCTCAAGTTTTTTAGTTGGTAAAATATTTATCACATTGCGAAAAAGGTAAGTTATTACTTTATAATATAGAACTTAGTAAATTGTAAAAATAACCTTCGATATTTTGGCTTCTTGATAGTTTTACAAACATTATTTCATTCACTAAAACATTTAATATTAATAATATTAATTGCACGACAATTTAATTTCAATACGATTCAGTACATCCTATGAACTAATTGTAATTTTAGTAATTCTTCATAAGTGTATCATATACTTCACTTTATCCTTGAATGAGAAAAATTAATTATTTGCTAATTCTTCTCACAAAAAAAAACAGTTTAAATCGGTAAAAAGAATTATTTGAAATTGTAAAAAGTTGTGCAAAAATACGAATGACTAATTGAAACTTGGCAAGTATAAGATACTTTTTGTTCAACTGTTTATTGTTGTGCATCAAAACTTTTTATTCATATAGTCAATTTCGATGCCTCATTTTTTTGTCTTTTTTCTTCTGATGTTCGCTTACATCTTGTGTGATAAAAAAAATCACAGTGGCAATAGCAGTAAATAGTACACCAAATAGAAAGCCAACAATGGTCTGCCAAAATTCAGCATATGTTGAAACTTTCTTTGGTAATAACAAATTTCTACCCTCATCATTATGTCGAGCTATGTAACGAAGCCAATAAGTGAGACGGTCCATAGCGTGATTAGATCTATCACGTAGAGCTGTTGAAACAAGCCTGGCTTTTTCTCTATAACTAGTATTTTCATGAATAGTTTTTATAAGTTCGACCAAGTCGTCTGATTTTGAGGTGTCTAAACGCTGAGTCGCAGCAAATCCTAATTCTACAGCTCGTTGAGCATTGCGTAACTCATCAACATTACGAGGTAAGCAGATAAGAGGTGTACCATGGAATGCAGCTTCAAGAAATTCCGAATCCGAGCAGTGGCTCAATACAAGACGAACCCTTGAGTAACCTGAAAATATATTTTATTTATTGAATATCTTGCATAAATAATATTTCAATAAAAATGTAATCTGAAATACCTATAAGATCTTGACGATCAACGGTTTTATGAACGGCTAGGTTTTTTGGTTTATTTTTTATTGAAACATGTTTATTTTTCCATACTACAGCCATGCCTTGTCTATCAGATGGTAGTTTTTCAGCAATTTCAGTTACCAATGTATCATAATCAGCATCTAATAAAACAACAATAGAGCCTGACCGATATTCTACTAAAAATTTTTGTAGATCTTCAGCTGGTAGTGGCTGAACTCCTCTGCAATGATGACATCCAATCTATTAAAGAAAGCACACATGATATCAATTATTTATAATCACAATTGATTTTTTTCTGTTCATATTCAACATATTCCATGCATTATATTAAATTCTTAATACAGTAGTCAGCATGGTTCTTAATATTATAATTGTCAAACCACAAGACTAGCTTATTTTAAGAGAGATACTTTTTATCATTTTACAATTAATTTTTGTTGGTTTCAGTTTGTATGACTTACCTCTGTTACCAACTGAGTTAATGGAGCTGAATTCATTCTTAAAACTGGATCAGCTCCCCACAGAACTAGTTGCACATTTTTATAAGAACTATCTAAATCAATATTAGCTTGAGGTAGCCTTGATTTGATTATTTTCTGTGCTGGTGTAATGTAATTCCTTTGAATGGTGAACAATAAATAGTTCAAATTTAAATTTTCAATGAAACTTTGAACAAAGCCAGTTTCATGCAGTGGTAAAGCCATCCCAGTTTTAACAAAAGCATAAATTTCTTCATCAAAACCTCGAGCCCAAACAACAGGTATAGAAGGTATTGATTCAATCCATGGTAATAAACAAGCGTCATGTCTAAAACAAACGTACCATTTGATAGAGAACAATTTTAATTGATAATTATATTGAAATAAAGAAACTCTTAAAAAATACAATACCTCATTCCTGGAAACACTACGAAAGTGGGATTATCTAATCTCCTCTTTAACTTGTTATCTGAAACAACGGCATCACATAGTTTCAGGGCTCTTTCTTCCTTACTATTGTTATCCTTAAAAGTTGCATTAATCCTAATAATATCAACATCGATCATGTGCTCGTAAAAGTCATGTTCATCATGTGCTATTACTAAAGTTGTTTCAACTCCCGATTGATCCGACAATGTATGAGCAAGCAAAGATAAATCATAGACATCTTCAAATGCAAAGACAATTGCTGAATGAGGTGGTACTATCATAGACGATGCCACAGCTGAATGCACAAACAATGCACAGCTGACTAAGTGAAAAAACATCATTTTTCTTTTCTCTCATAAATTTTCAAAGACTAAGTGATCAAATTGTATTCGTAGCAGTATAATCCAACGAATCGATCTCAAGCTTGAGATAATACACTAATTTCATTACTTTACGTATAATCAGTAAAGTAGCCGGTAAATTTTCATTCTAAAACACAAATTGTTCTTATATTACATGAATTCTTAAAACAAAATAGTACGTTCAATTATAATATATACCTTAAACCGTGAAATAATTAGTATTTCTAATCAAAATATGACACCAAACTTCGAATCACCTATGTGTAAGTTATTAATATGAGTTTCTTGTGAGCGTAATCATTTTGACACCTACACTTTTTCACAGTAACCGCCGCACTGCCGGGAAACGTCCGGTGGCCATTTGACATCTTTCGATGTTGGCGCATTCGAGACTCGAGTCTGTGCTCGTAGCTAAGGAGAGGGTATAAGTTGCGAGTCACGTGATTACAAACTGATACTTAACATTATTATCTATACAATATTTTCAAGCTTTTGTGTTTAACTGTAAACATAATGCTAATGTTTTTTTCTCATATTATAACTATTTGAAAATGTTCTGAATGTAATCATATAAACTTTTGAAAAATAAACAAAGTACGTTTAATTCTGTCACAAAACCCTTGTCAGATTAAACATGACGGTCTAAAGAATGTAATGTTAATTTGCTTCTAATATTTGAAATAGCCGGTACTTTTTCACATGGCGTATTGGCGCTCGTATCGACAATTTTTGTTTTGCAAATCGCAATTCGCAAATTCGTAATTCATACTGAAAAAGTGGCCTCGATCAGTAAGTCGACGTTTGATCAGTGTGTTGTTTACAAAACTAAATCATTTCTTTTCATTTGTTCGACAGTCGGTTGAAATCCCTATATTTTTCCTACGTCTTGCATTATCTGTGAATTAACCATGTCTGCGGGAGGATCACAACAACCAAACACAACAGGACTGGCTACTCCTACTGGTACACCAGCAAACACAGGTTTTAGTCTAGGTACTCCTGCTGCAGGCACTAGTGCAGGATTTAGCCTTACTGGTGCAACCACTTCAACGGCTGCACCCTTGACATTCAATCTTGGTGGTAACACAGCAACTACTGCTAACACTGGTTTTAATTTGGGAGCAAGTGCAGCAACATCGAGTACAGGATTCAATTTAGGAAGTACAACTGCCAGTAACTCACTTGGTTTGACATTGGGCAAAACTACAACACAAACAACTACAACCACTACACCTACTTCTATCGCTGCTATCAGCAGCCAACCTCAAGTGTCCTTAGGTCCTACTACCACGTGAGTTTACACAATTCTAGTTAAAAGCCATAGCGCTTGTATGATGAAAAATCAATAATTCAGTTATTTATTCTAATTTTTATTTTTTAGAGTTAGCACATCTTCAGCTAGTAAACCTTCTAATGCTATCAACTTTTGTCAACTAGAAGAATCTATCAATAAATGGACTTTGGAATTGGAAGAGCAGGAAAAAGTATTTGTCAATCAAGCAACGCAAATCAATGCTTGGGATAGGTTGTTGATAAATAATGGTGAAAAAATTGTTACGCTGAATCAAGAAGTTGAAAGAGTAAAATTAGAACAACAACAACTTGAACACGAACTTGACTATGTTGTGAGTACATTTTTTAAAATAAATATGTAAATTTTTTCTTGAAATTTTCATCAACAATATAATTTACAGGTTGGTCAGCAAAAAGAATTACAAGACTGCTTGGTACCTCTTGAAAAAGAACTAGCTTTACTGTCAGTTACAGATCCTGAAAGAGAATATACTTATAGATTAGCTGAAAATATAGATACTCAATTGAAACAAATGTCAGAAGATCTGAAAGAAATTATAGAGCATTTGAATGAAGCAAATCGTGCTCAAGATTCTAGTGATCCAATAGTTCAAATAGTAAAAATTCTTAATGCACATATGAACAGTCTTCAATGGTTAGTGCAAAGGACGAATGTACTCAGTACAAAAATACAGCAAATAGATCAGATGCATCAAAGTTTTAGACAAGAGAATGAACGAAGTTTCAGTTTGGCATACAACTGATAATGATATTGGTTTTGTTCTTACCTGTAATATTTTGGGATATATTTCTATATAACATGATTTAAAAAATTTTCTTAATAAAATGTGTTTTTTCGTCAATTAATATTTACAAATTTTTTTTATTTAAAAAGTTTTTGTCCTTTTACATCTCAATTTTTGTAAGAATATAATTATATAATTGAGACCTAGTTATAATAAGAAAGTTTTTTATTTTAAAAATCTATGAATTTATTAAAATAATTTTAAAGTACAGATTAAACTTAAAACTTATATGATTGATAATTATAACTAATATTATTTAATTAGTCTCCATCGCATGCTCTTCATTTTCATAAAACATGAAATCATCTTGATATTCTTTCAAAAATTGCGAAGATCTATTTTCATCCAGGAATAAACTATATGCCCTTTTAACATCATCTACACTTACTTCAGTAGTTTTATTTCTTCTACAAATCAACGAAGAGGTTGTAATAAGCTGTATAGCATATCTCAAAGAAGTTTCATTAGCTATACGAGTGAGAACTAATAGAGCATCACTAGACATTTCACAATCTTCTTCTTCACATCTGATTTTTAAGATCTCTTTAAGCTCAGCTTCTTGATATGGAACAGTTGGAACAATTATCATTCTGTCAAGTAAATCAATAGGTATTCCATGGGGACTCTTGTAGCTGGTGCCCCTGATTTTAGTGATGCCTCTGTTAGTGGCCATAATGACTACTGGAGCCATTTCATTTTCTAAAGCTCGATTAAGGAATGAAAAGCATTCAATATCCAACATATGTACTTCATCAATAAATAATACTCCTGGCACAATATCAGCTTTGCCTTCTTCCCTCCACTCTGATACTTTCATATTAATTTGCTCTCTGACTTCAGGTTTGATTTCTCCAGTATCACCAGAAAAAAGAGCCAAAAATCCATGTGTTCTGCTGTTGATTACATCAATTTCATGTAGAGTTACTGTATGAACAACTTCTTTTCTTTTTTGTAATTCTCCTTCTGGACATTGAACAAATCTGGTTTGTGGACCGGTTGCATCATAATCTCGAGCTCTAGTGAAAGAGCGACCAAGTTTACTGATTTTTCCTGTAGCTTTATCAATTGTAATGACATCACCAGCTTGTACTTTTTCTTTCATAAGACAGTCTATCATTTTATTTCCCAAATCATAAATGGTTTCCATCTCTGTAGTCTTCAAAGTAAGTTTACCAATTTTTGCTCCAACACCAGTGACAGGTCGATCTATTTGAATTTCAACTACCTCACCCTCTATTATTTCAGATTCTTCTTTGATCCTAATACCAATGGATTTTCGAATCGCTTGAGTTAAAGCTTCAGTTTTGCTCATTTCCAAAGAATAAATTTCAGAGCCAGCCATAAGTGTAAAAGGTGTATCTGAACCAAGAGATTGAGCCAAACCCATTGCAATAGCAGTTTTACCAGTACCTGGTTGGCCTGCCAAAAGAACTGCTCTACCAGCAATTTTACCTTCCTTAATCATTTCAAGAATGACTCCAGTAGCACGCCTGGCCCGAAACTGGCCGACCATTCCTTGAGAAACATTTCTTGCTTCCAAGCTGTCATTCAAGCCTAAGCCTCGAATATGAGAATGAGCTCCAATGCGCTCAATTCTTGTGATTTCACGGACTTCGTGAACTTTTGATGCGGTAATCGACATGTTTTTGGTTTATTCTGGAATAGTAAAAATAATTGTTCTGAGTTACTTGCTCATTGTTGATGTGGATTAAAAAAATTTAGGGACGCAATAGAATCGTTTAAGCGTAATTAAAACAATTGAATTATTGATTTTTACAAAGCCGGTGTACTTAGATACCGGTTACTATCTAAACATGTTTACACCATTTAACCTATAAAATGTTTTAATTTAATATTTGAAACAATAAAAATGGTATAAATACTTACGTATCAAGTGAGTCAAGTCCAATTGAATTTATTATTATCTATTAACAACGAATTAATTTTATTCTTTGTTGTTAAAATCGTCGACAGTTATTGATTGCACCACACAAAGACACTTGTAGGTTCTAGCCGAGCGTCGTACCGCGTACGTATAACCTTCACACGTGCTGTCAGAGGAATGAATACTCTAAAAGTTGAGACGAGACGGATGAGACCGAAGTGAAGAGGGGTGCAGAATTGCCTGTATTGATACTAAGAGTGGGAGGCTCCCAAACGTGAAATTTATATTACAGATTTTTTAATAATGCAATTAACGATTTTTCACTAATACCGTATGAAATAAAAATTTAATAATGTTAAATAAAAAATGATGTGTTAACTTCAGCCAATAGTTAAAATTAATGTATATACGATTCTACAAAAAGTTTTAATACGCAGAAGAATTTTTTCAAAAGATTTTCGAGCATGTAACACTCCACAGTATCATTATTTTTTTTGCAATTACAAGAAGAGTCTTCTCCTGTTACGCTTCGTAAATTTCAATGCCAAAATGAATATAATAATTTTCATCACATGAATTAAATTTTTTATTAAATATATAGTTCTATTCAAAATTAACGCTATTGCCATGTAATGATTAAAATACATTACATAATTTTTATGTTTTTTTCAGAAGTAAAATAGCCATCTTTCGACGTCTTCTCCAATTTTAGTAAAATTTTAGTGAAAACAGTTGTTTAAATAAATCCTGATCACGTGAGCAGTTTTCAAGGGTCACGTGATCTACTGTACTGCGCACAGCGCAATGCCCTTCAGGTATCTTTGAATACGCATCAATGTATTATTTTACCATTTTAATCGCACTGCATAAATGATTTAGTTTTCAATTTTGGTAATCTGATGGATCTTTACGATGTTCTCGATAATCGGAGATCGGTACTTAACGATGTAGCATTTTTGCTCAATGTTTATTAATTTCAAATGCAAAATAATGAATAAGTGAATTAGTAATCAGACTCAGTAGTTTATATGTGCGCGTTGTGTTGTCATATTATAAAAGCAAACTCGTTGACACAACCAACGGTAGACTTATTTGTTTACAATTTGTGCTTAAATAATAGTAGTGTACTTACCCATTGGACCTAGAAACTTCATTTCTTAATTTTTCCAAAAATGATGACCAATAATCATCAACCCTTTGCTCAGCAATTTGATAAATGCAGAGAAATATTATTTACGGAAACAAGAATTGCTTTAAATTCCACTTTTGACTGTGTTCCAGTAACAAATCTCAAATATGATCGCTATGAAGAGCTTCTATGGACAGGCAACGAAGAGGGTTATTGTAACTCTTATTATGGTCCAGAATTTCAAAGATATACTGCTTTTCGAGTGACAGATAAATCTGGGATCAGACAAATTGAATCATTAGAAAATGGAATCTTAATCCTGACCCAAAATAGTTTAAGATGTCAATTACGTAGAGGGGTACCAGTGTTCACCCATACATCAAACAACACCGTTGATCTTCAAACTTTTGTGCACTATTCTCCAACAAATATATTAATGGCTGGTCGTCAAAATATGATTGATTTTGACTTAACAACTAAAAGAGAAAGAAGTGTATCACCTGTTATCGACGGAGGTTGTGAACTTCTAAAGAAACACAGTAAACTTATTTGTGCATCAAGTGGTCATGGCGAAATACATTTTTTTGATCCCTCTACTATGATTCATGTTAATGCTGTTAAACCACATACAACTGCAATAAGTGATTTTGATATTTGGGAAAACACATTAGTAACATGTGGATTTAGCAATGGTCGACAAGGAATCTCTGGAGATCAATTTTTAATGGTCTACGATCTAAGGCAGATGAAAGTTTTGCAACCAGTGCAAACTCTTTTCATACCTAAGTTAATTAAATTTTTACCCAATAAAATGTCAATGCCCAGAGCAGTAATTGCTTCTTCTTTTGGAGAAATGCAAGTGTTGGACACAGTATTTGTAGATTCTGTCAATCCTACAGGACCTTTAACTCATGTATATCAAGTTCAATCAGATGGTGCTGCAATTACATCTATGGATATATCATCAACTGGAGAATGTATGTGTCTAGGTGATGCAGCTGGAGCATTACATGTTATGACTACAAATTTATCAGGATCTCTAATCAATGAATACTCAAAGCAAACAGAATTTGCTGATCCTTTAGAAGTACTTCCACCTATAAGTTTCAATGATCAATGCACGCCTTTGAGTATTATACCTATGCCATACTGTGAGAATAAGCTATTGAGTAGTTGGCCAGAAGAGTTATCAAAAAAAAAGTTTAGGAAAACTCCCATTATCAATCCTGAAATTTTAAAGAATATGCAGATGCAGGGCTCCATTGGGTATGCTCCAAATCCAAATCCACCACGCAGAAGACGTACTTAGATTTAAACGTAATATTAATTTTCCAATCAATTCGAATATATATTTTTGTATTTTTCTTGTCGCGTTATGATTTATCAAGTTATAAAAAATTTTGTATTCTGATTTCAAAGACTGATTTATATTGTACTTTTGTAGATAAAAGTAACCATTAGTATACTAGAATTATGTGAATGAATGTATAAAATTAGTACCTAAAAGTGTACTTTTTATTCTATATTATAAGGATAAATATATATTGTATATTTAACACATTAATCATCTATTTTTTATACTAAATAATACTAACAATAATTGAACAAAAACTTTTGTTCATTCAAGAAGAAAAGCTTAAAAAATTCTGAAATTCTTGAATTCTTGAATAATTTTATTTTCAATTAAAATTTTATATGAATTTTTACAATTTTTAATTTATATTTATTCAATTTTCTCGATGCCTAATACACACCGCAGTTTTTATATTCATTGCGTCATCGACAAAGCAGAAGCAAAATTAAAGCTAGCAGACCGTTTCATCACACGTGCATTTTGTTTGTTGTTAACTGTAAATCTAGTCTAGTAATTTCTCATAAATATGCCTATTTTTTGTATAAAAATAAACGTGTTTTCGTGAATAATTAATGTCTTCAGAGTTGTTATATTTTCACCTTAGAAAATGTTTGCAAAAACGTTGACAAGCTTTTTACATTGCAACAACAAAGACCCGAGTGTTGCAAGCAGGTTAAACCTGTTTATTAGATGCATCTCAAAAACAAACTTCGATACTAATTTACCCAACATCGAACGAAACCGTTCAACAAAAGATATTCGAAAATCAGAAAACCTGTCTGAAAGCTCTATATCAAGACAAGCTCACAAAAAGATCTCGAAACACTTTAAAAGTACTGAAATCAATTTTGCTCGAAAAGTTTTGGAAAAGTCCGATGATTATTCCAATTCATTATCTACTTCGTTGACGATCAAGCAAAATTTGTCTGAATTCGAAATTCAGGAAATATTGGATAAACAATGGCAAAGTATGAGCAACGGGGAAGTTTTACAAAATTTAGAGTCTTTATCTAATTACGCTTATAAAAATCCAAACATTATTAGTGTATATGATGAAAAAGGTGTAATGCGAATTCTGAAAACCCGTTGCATGCTATTTAACGACGATGAATTTCGATTGTTTTTGAAAAATCTCGAGCAGTTGCAAGGACAGAATAAAAAGATAATTCAAGGAACATTTTGGAGGATCATTAATGCTGAGTGTTTTAAACGATCCTCTAATTGGACAATTGAAGAAATTTTAATGATGAATGATCAATTGGCAAAATTAGATTTAACATGGGTACCATTTTATGAGGGTAGTTTACTGAAAATGGAAGCAAATTTTTCAAAATTTTCTCCTGCTAATTTAGTCCAGTATGCATATTTGATAAGAATTAGTTCGAAAAAAATTAATGTAAATTTTAAACAATTTGAGTATCATGTACATAAATCTGTAGATAGATTAACCATTGAAGAAATAGGAATCATATCAATGGCTTATTTTCGATATGAAACTTCCCTTAAACATACAAATTTACTTCTTCATATAATGACAGCTTTGGAAAACAATATTGATAGTGTGAGCGAAATGTCTTTAGCAGCAATTTTAAAAATTCTGAGGTAATCATTTTAATCAAAACCAGCAAACTATCTCAATTTTAATTATTTAATTTTTTATTTAGATATAGTGTCAGTTTAAAACTCATGCAGAGGTACAATATTCTTATTGAACTATTGATAGAACAGATTCCTAAAAGAACCTTATTAACTTTAATACATGTAGCACACATGCAGGCAATGCTTTTATTGGATAATGAAAAATTAACCCTTGGAATTGCAAATAGGTATGAAACAATTCAATGAAAGTATATATCCCAATAATCTTCGGTTTTTAGATTGAAAAAACATATGATTTCAGGTACATAAATGAAGTACAGACTGCTAGAATAAAAGATATTGAAAGAATTTTATTCACTTTGTATATATTTAACTATGGCCCTGAAAAAACCTTATTTTATGATACAGCTTATCAAGAATTTTTAGAATCTCGAAGAAATAATGAAATCAATAAGTAGGTTTACTTTGATGAAATTTATTAACATTATCAAACAGAAATGTATCTTTTATTTTTTCAGTTTCCCATTTTGCCTTGTATACTCTGTGATGTATATGCTTCAAGTAAATTATTATCCTGAAAAACTGATCAAAAAAATTATGGACCCTGATTTCATTAAGAACTTATGCAACGGTGATATTCATAAACTTGATAGAGAATATATTGTAATACATTATTGTTTAGTACTTGATCATCCACAATACAATGGCCCTCTACTAAGAAGAGATATGCTTCAGTTTCTTATTAAAGTAAGTCAAAGAAGTCTTTATAACAAACATTTCAAAAGTTAGCTAAAAAACTTTTATGTAAATCTTTTTTAGAAATGTCGATCAAATTCAAAAATAGATGTTCATAAACAACAGATTCCCATGGTTGAGCGAATTATAACTGATATTGTACATACATGCAAGGTAGACATCCAATATAATTATAAATATGAATTCATACTTTTAATGAAAAAAACATTTGTGATACATATCATAATATATGTTTAAAAAATATTTCAATTCTAGCAAATGATAGGCTTCGATGAAGTTGCACATGTTGATTGTGTGCTGCCACATTTTGTAAATAATGACATAATTCTTTGTTACAATGAAGATACAAAAGAGTTTTTTAATCCAAAAAACAAATTGGTAGAAATGGAAGCAGGAACATTGAAACATGCTCCTAAAGATGGAAATAAGTGGATTGCTTTAACTTTAGCTGGTCATAATGTTTTAACAAGAAATTCAAAACACCATACAGGTGCAATGGAAGTCAGATTAAGGCATTTAAAAAAAGTGGGATACACCCCTTATGTTGTAAGAAAAATGATCATGTACTTTAATTCTTATTTATATTCATATATAAATGTTAATCATTTAAACTTTACAGGTGCCATATTTTGAATGGATGAATTTGTCTGATTTTGATCAAAAAGTAGACTATATTGAAAAACTTTTAAATCTTTAATGATTACTTCAATTTTATAAAACATTTTTATAACGTCGATTTTTGACGTCGCCAACTTATTTTATATACCTTTTGATGGAGTTAATTTGTATACATTAGTTTTGGAAATTATATTGTCAATAAATTGACATCTTTTTATAAAAATTTGTGTGTTATGTAACACCCTTAGTTGTTCAGTGACACAAATTCATACAATATGAAAACAAAAATTATTGGAAGTCTTCTATACAAGTCATAAGTAATTTTCATGACTGTTCTACCTCAGTGTACTAAAAATGAATCGAATGAATCTCATAGCACATCGTTTAGTTTAAACTAATTTTTATTGCTATTAACAACATTTACAAATTTATTTTATAATCGGTTTGATTCAATAACATCTAAAACTTAGATTTGATCAAATTAATTTCGAGTGAAACAGTACAAATTTTAAATGACAATTTCACTCTGGATTGTACACTCTGCCTGGAGTAATTTGCTTGGGTTTTTCAGGCGGAGGAGACAGCAATACTTTTCCACCGCTGGCGATGACTAGTGGTGGCTGCACCTCTCGGCGTCCATCCCTCTGATAGTAATATATTCCCGTGGTCTTGTCGTACGGGCCTCCAGGTAAGTCGGGCTGGGGTTGCGTACGAGATGCACACTCGTCCGCGAAGCGCAACGGGTTGGACCTGAGCTTGGTACCGCGCAATATAGTGCGAAACGCATCGAGCAACGGCGTTACCGTACGGTGCGGTTGGACCCCCGACATTTTCACTCCGATTAATTTAGATCTTTTATTCGAGGATTATTTTGATTACGTTACTGGCGAATTTATGCGATTTCTGAAGTCTGCGGTTATGTGTTATTCATTTACTTTTTCTTCTGCTAGATCAGCTGGGAAAGATGTGACTGTCAATTGTCAAAGTCGAATCGTTTTATGCGCAACGTGTTCTGCACATTCGCATAAAGTAGAAATAGTGAAAATTACTAATCAAAAGATTGATGTTTGACGAAGTGATGAAATAAAATTGCAATAAATAATACTGACGTTAAGAGATTCCGTAATTTAGATTCGGAAAAATTCTTTATTACAATTGTACGTTTTTTTTTACAACTCGGTAATCAGTGATGTGATCCATCGAGCCACGTGAATTCTTTGCACGTAAATCATTTTATTTATTTTTTAAATATACGTGTGCATATGAATGTATATAAATAATAATATTAATACTATCATTTACAGTGAATAAGAAGACTTTAAAATCAGATATTATATATCATTACAAAAATTATCATGATTTCTGCAAAAATATTTAGTATTTTAAGCAGAAGAACCAATTGTTTTTCAAGGAAATGTTTAAGGAACCAAATATTAACTCCAAATACTAATTGTTTTTTGATGAATATAAAAAAACACCATCTTCATACATTGTCATTGGAACATACTAACTTGTTAAGACCTAATTTTATTAACTTTCATAATATTGTAAGGACCAATTATTATTATGATCAAATTTTGCATAATTATGAAGTATTGAGAAGTTCGAAAGATCACTTGCCTAACGTTTTAAAGCCATATGAATTTAAAAGACATTCAGAAATAGATAATGTGGATAATTTGTTAGAAGAATCATGGCAAACTCTGAGCATTGAAGAAATTATTGATAAATTTGAATTATTATCATATTATATAAGTAAAAATGAAAATTTAATTAATGATGAAAGATTTAACAAAGTTATTGAATTAATGATCTGTAAATCACCTGAATTTAGTGATTTAGAATTGAAGAAAATTTTACAATGCTTAGAGCTCTGTAATGATAAGAGTATTCAAGAAAAAACAGTGATTGCCAATTTTCTGAAAGTACTTGATTTAGAGTGTAAAAAACGAATCCCGAATTGGAGTATAGATGAAATGTTACAGCTAAATTTTATTTTTCAAAATTTGAAGTTTCAAAAAAAGTCGGAATTTGTTTGGCGTAGTTTAATGAAATTGTTCAATAGATTAAAACATATGACACCTGCGCAACTTATTCAGTACACATTTTGTTTGAAAGTAAATCGTAGAGTAAAGATATATCATTATAATTTGGAATATTATTTAGAAGACCATTTAGACCAATTTAACATTGAAGAAATAGGAATTATTGCAATGACATTTTTGCGCCTCGAAACAACTTTGAAGAGCCCAGATTTTATTATAAAGATTATGGAAAAGTTAGGTGATAATATTGATACCGTGAGTGATTATGCTCTGCCATCAATACTTCGTATTTGTCGGTAAATATACTTTATAACTATTGATCAAAAAATATAAAAAAGATATAATGATCATTAATATTGAATAATCATGTTAATTGTTGTCTAGTTTTGATGCAGATAAAAAGTATGCTGATAAATATGTCAATTTTATAAAAAAACTAGAAAGTCAAGTACCTAAAAGAAAATTGGAAAATGTTGTTCAAATTGCAATGTTCCAAAAAAAATTGTTTTATGAAAATGAATTCCTTGTGTCAAGTATAATGGAGAGGTGAGAATAAAACAAATTATTAATTTAAAATATTATAAATAATTAAAATTAATGTGTACTTCAAGGTGCAAAAAGGAATTGAGTCAAATGCAACCAGCAGATATTGAAAGATCATTGCTATATGTAATGACATTCAATATAAATCCAGAAACAACTTCTTACTATACAAGTGTCATAAAAGAATTACTTGAACCTTCTCAACAAGACAAATGGGATAGGTATTACTTCAAAATTTTTTTCAAACATCATTGAAAAATTTTTTATACTGAACGTAACATTGAATATTTATTGCTAAAATTTCAGATATCCAAATATTTTCCCTAAAATAGTCCACTACTTATTGAAAATGAATATTTATCATGAAGATTTGGTGAAAAAAGTGATGGATCCTGATTTTGTAAAAAAAGTTGCTAAAGATAGTTACTGGACTTTAAATATGCACTATCTTGCTATACATTATTCTTTGGAAATTGAGCATCCAGAATATGATGGTCCAAAGCTAGAGGAAAAAGCACTGGATATTCTTTTGAAGGTAAGAAATACCCTTGAATTTATATGTCATAAATGCAAAAAATACTACTATTATGAATTTACAGAATGTAGGAAGTAATAATAAGTTTGCTATCAAGTCAAATGAAAGAACCGGATTACATGGAAAAATTGCAACTAAATTGATGAAGTCCATTGAGGTAACTAAACAGTCTTTAGTATAATCTTCAAAGTTGTGTGTTTCATTTTCATCTTCCATTTTTTTTAATCAATTAATATTTCAATTTTTAGGAAGTTGTTGGTTCAAATGAATTATTCCATTATGATATTCTCATGCCTCATTTCCCGATTCGACATATTCTTTTATGTTATGATGAGAAAAATAAAGTGCTGTTATCGCCAAAAGAAAAATTAATGAGTATGAAAACTGATTCACCTAAATTTACTCCCAATGATGGGAATAAATGGTATGCAGTTATTATAGGTGGTACAAACAATATTATGAAAGCAAAATATGAATATTCTGGAGCATTCAATTATTTCTTGCGACAAACAAAATTACTTGGATATGAAACAATTATTGTAAGTTAACAATGAGTGACAAATTCCAGTTTTCTGTATATTACTTACATAATTTATTTTTCAGATTCCATATCATGAATGGTTGAGTTTGACCAGTGAAGAAGAAAAACAACAGTATATCAGTAACAAATTTAAAAGTCACAATTTATTTTTATCTAACAAAAATAATAGTTTTGACTCATCTCAAGAATCTATGATTTTGCAGCAGTAAATCTTCAGTAAATTGAACTGTACATAAATCTTTAAGTAGATGTAATCATATTTTATAGAATAAGAATGACTTGTTAATAAAACACTAAACTTTGTCATACATTAATTCATTATTTACATATTCAATATTTATTTGTTAAACATTATGCATATTGTCTCAACTTTTTTTTTTATTAATGTAGGTACATTTATGTTAGTCAATGGTTTTGTATGAAATACATATTTACATCTTTTATCATCAAAGTTATGTACAGTTTACTATACAATACTATTGAAAATAAAGTTAAAAAGGTTCTAGATTTTTAATCTAAAACGCTATGCATCCACTTCTTGGAATATTCATAAGCAAGGAATAAAGTTGCTGTAGCTGGAGCAGTCCTGATTAAAGTGGGTTTTAAGCCATTATACAAAGCACTTACTCCTTCATGTTTTATAATGTCTCTCATTAATACAGTTGCTGGTGTTTTCAAATTTTGAACCTAAATAATCAATGGTGTTAAAAATAATTACTAATTCAAATATATTATTATAACAAACCTGAATACGACTTTTCACAACGTCAGCAGGAAAAATAACGAGCCATAGTACGGCACCACCTGCAGCACCTGCTACCATTGTTTTTTGCCAACCAATGTCATCTCTAGTTTGGCCAGGCTTTGTTAATAGTTCTCTTGTTAATTCATATGCACCAAAGAAAAAGAAATATCCTGGCATTTCTCTTGCTATTGTTGATGTTAAACCTCGATACATTCCTGAGATGCCTGATTCTTTGATGATTTGTTTAGTAAGAGTCCATGGTCCAATAAATTTCTGGGAATTTTGAATAAAAGATTTACATTTAAAAGTAAAAATGAGATGGTTAAAGCAAAATAAATATCCCAATATTAAACGTACCACTTTCCTGTCACTTTGTTGACTCTGAACTTCCCTCATTGCTTGCAATCTACATTTGATAAGCTCAGTAGGGCACAATGTGAGCGAAGAAAAAAAAGCTGCAAAAAATCCAGCCCATGCATTGCCTAATGAACTGAGTTCTTCAACTTTAGGAACTCCTAATATATTATTACATAAAAAAAAAAAAGAAATTAATAATAGTTATTGCAGCATATAACTGTACAAAAACCAAACTTACCCATTACATTTGCTATAACTTTTTGACAACCACCGTAAGCAGCAAATAAAATAGAATTTTCTGCAACATTAGCTACAACAGAGGGTATGGTTCCAGCATACAAGCCTCTTGCAACACCGTCTGTTTTTAAAGTTTTAATAAAGCAATCTACCATTCCTTTATAAAGAGATGGAAAAGTTTGCATTTTAACTTTAACTGTGTCCAATGGCTGTCCAACATAAACCAATGCAACTCCACCTAAATAATTTTAATTCATGAATTAATTTTATCATTTGAACTAAAATTAGATGGAAAATTTGTGACATTTTTCATAATTTTTTAATAAATTAAAATTTAAAATTTCCTTTTTTTTAAATAAAGGAAAATATCCCATTGCATAATGACTTTTTTACAGCATTTAGCATTTTTTGTTCAAACACTAGAATTCTGAATCCACAGGTAGGTGATTAAATCAATATTTGTGTATACTAAGTGAACTAACTCTGTGCACCACATAGCTCAAACACTTACCCAACGATCCAGCGGTGAAATCAATAAATCCATCTTTTAAATTGCTTTTGCCTGTTGGAACTGAATCAGCAGGAGCTGAATTTTTTTCTTTTGACATTTTCAGGCAGAATAATAGCTCAACATCGAGAGACGATTTCGGTCGAAATAAATGATCTCCGAAATCCGAGGAGACGCATGCGCCAGTGGTATTACTTGAAAAAAAAAAAGAAGAAAAATTGTTTATCGTAATGATAATAGAGTGCTACTTATGCATGTGCCGGTCTAATTCTCCACGCAAACTGATGAATCGTTATCAGATAGAGATTGGAGATACGTATATTCTGCCAACGGAGAACCACTAAATTTTTACGAGCGACTCATATTTTTAGAAAATGTTCATCTTATTATTATCGGAGAAAAATCAAGAAATCATGGAATTGAATAAACTGAAAAAAAATCTGAAAAACGTTTTACGCACTGATGCAATTGAAAGATCAATAATTATTACACATACAATGACGTCCGCGTTCACAACTGTCATTGAGAGATGACTATTAGAACGATTATTCTTTTTCTTGATTGGTTACTATAAATGTTTGTTTTAATTTAACAATGATGATAACAGCACGAGTTTTTCACATCAACTTGCGAAAGCCGAGGTTTTCGCGATAAAATGCATGCCCACACTGCACACGATGATATACGTCGGCTGCTGTATAATATAAAATTGTAACACGTGCTACAGGTTTGTATGTATAGGTATACTCGGTTCTATGCGCGACAAACACTCCTTGGTATATTGATTTCAACGTCGGATAATATTTATACTGTTTGAGTAATTTTTTAATGTTAACATTTAATTGAAATTAAAATATTTCAATTGATTGATTTGAAAGTTTAAAAAAACCAATCAACAACCAAATTTTTACACGGGGAATAAAAAAAATTATAATTATAAAGAATTGTTTAATAGAGGAAGAATTTTTATATCAGACGAATAGGTACGTTTTCATTTAAAATCAAAATAAATTTTTCATGCTTACTAATTTAAAAAAATAATTTAGATCGTAATAATAATATAACATTTATGTACTATTTAATACTAAATTTTGATTCAATTTGATTTTATGATTACTTATGACTTACTTCGAATAATAAGAGATTATTTACTACTACTTTTAAGCATGAATGTTTTAACTTTAATTATTGAATTAAATCATTTTAAAACTCCCACCATCGTTCATGCTGTAGTTGCTCACCATGCAACTTGAAAGTCAGTCACACATGCCCGATTCCCACATGGTGACCGTCAGTCTACCAATATTTTATGCAAATTTTGTGCGTACGCAATCTCTCTCTTTTGGTGTGTCGCATCCACGTGAACGGTTGTTCCATCAGTGTTGTGCGAATAAAGTTTTGTAAAAAATGAAGTTGAATGTATCATATCCCGCAACGGGATGTCAAAAGTTGATAGAAGTTGACGATGAACATAAACTTCGTGTTTTCTATGAAAAACGCATGGGAATGGAGGTCCCGGCCGACTCCCTTGGAGACGAGTGGAAAGGTTATGTCGTCCGCATCGCCGGGGGTAACGATAAACAAGGGTTCCCCATGAAGCAGGGTATCCTTACAAACGGCCGTGTTCGTTTGTTGCTATCCAAAGGACATTCTTGCTACAGACCTCGCCGTGACGGAGAAAGGAAGAGGAAGTCAGTCAGAGGATGCATTGTTGACTCTAATTTGAGTGTATTGGCTCTGGTTATTGTCAAGAAGGGTGAGAAGGAATTGCCAGGACTAACCGATAACAACATCCCTCGTCGTCTTGGACCTAAAAGAGCCTCCAAAATCCGCAAGCTGTTCAATCTTACAAAGCAGGATGATGTAAGACGTTTTGTTGTCAAGCGTCCTGTTCAGAAGGAAGGAAAGAAGGAAAAGTTGAAGGCACCCAAGATCCAGCGTCTTATCACACCAGTTACCCTGCAAAGGAAAAGACACAGGGTTGCTCTGAAGAAGAGGCGTTGTTTGGCTCGTAAAGAACAAGCTGAAGAATACGCCAAGCTTCTTGCTCAAAGACATAAGGAAGCTAAGGCTAAACGCCAAGAAGAGCAAAGAAGAAAGCGTAGTGCTTCTTTGAGGGACTCAAAATCCTCAGCTCAATCTCACCCAGTCAGCAAGTGAGAGCACTAAGATGTAATAAATAAACTATTTTGCAACATCAAAAAATCAAATAAAAAAATTTATTACAAAATACAAAATACAATAATCTAGTTATTTCAGAGAAACCTTTGTATAGAAAATACAATTATTACCAATTAACAATACATGTAATTAAGAAGTATTTACTTTACTTTTTTCTACGCGAAAGAAAAGTTCATATACCAATATTTAAAGTGAAAATTCTTCTAAGAATGCAATGTTTTTGATACTATTCTTTAGCAGAATATTTTCTTGTTTTTCATCTTATTCACAACATGAGTTCTTGATCTGTTATGAGCCTTGAAAAAATTTAACATGCGTGAAACATTATTAGTACAATAAAAAAAATTAATGTATAATGATACATTTCTTGTTAACTGCGAATTTTTTCCAAAGTAATTATTGGTGTTTTTACTGTTTCTCTATTTTTTACTTGAGTGCAAATCATCTTATTTTCAAATAAGAGAAGATACTCATTACGTTTTCAATCAAAAAAGAAAAGTAAAGAGCAATAATTTTTTTCTTTATGTTAAACATATTTGTAATCAAAAATTTTTTGATTTAACAAAGTAACTAATGTCGGTAATGTAGAAAGTTGGCCAAGCAGAGTATTTTAAATTTCGTTGCTTCGCATGCAAAGGTTAAGTGACAGTCACACAGCTTGGCCACTGGCCTATGTTTTTACACATAACACAGCTCTAGTTTCAGTTTGACTTCGAAACTAACGTGCTTACAAGTGCTTTGAGGTTATTAAAAAAGGATACACGGTTATCAGATTGGTCTCGTGTTTTGTTGAAAATTGAAAAGTGAAAAATACATGTAAGTCGTGTGGTTTTTTTACTATACAAATTATCATAATTATTATCAAATTTTATGTCAATTTATACATTATTTACATAATTCATTCAAATCCATCATCCTTATAAGTTTCTGCTCTAAGTCTGATTATTACTTAAATTCTGCTCTATATATAAAATGCATGTTTTTTTTTCTAGCTGATCAAAGATGTCAACATACAAAAAAGCTTCTAAAATAAGGCACCATCCAGAAAGGCATCAGCCTGAATCTCGAAAGCATTTAGGTCTCTTAGAAAAGAAGAAAGATTATGTAGCCAGAGCTAGAGATTACAATGAAAAACAACAAGCAATTAAAACATTGAGAAAACGTGCTCTAAATAAAAATCCAGATGAATTCTATTTTCACATGATAAATTCTACAACTTCGCAAAGAGGGACTCACAAAGAATTAACTAAAGAGGATCAGTTTACAGATGATCAGAAGAAGTTAATGCAAACCCAAGATTTAAACTACATAGCTTATAAAAGAAATATTGAAGCTAAAAAAGTTGCTAAAATGCAAAGCACTTTGCATATGATTGATGCGGCTAATGAAACTCCAAATAAGCACATCTTCTTTGTTGATGATTCAACTGAAATCAAAAATTTTGATCTTGCACAAAGACTGGATACGCATCCTGACCTTATAGATCGAAGGACAAATAGGCCTAAATTGAGTACTTTAAAGAAAATAAAATTACCAGATTATGATGAAGCTACTTTAGAAAAAATAGAAAAACAAAAATTGCAAGCATATAAAGAAATGGATAAGAGGATTGATAGAGAAACAGCTTTAACTGTTGTTCAACAAACAATGGAAATTGAAAGAGCTTTGAAAGATAGAAAAGTTACTAAACCTAAAAGACTTAAAGCAGGTTCAAAAACAAGTGCTCCTATTTATCAATGGAAATATGAAAGAAAACGTTGATTGTACATGGTACAATATATAACAAGTTATAGGATATATTCTAAGTTGTTTCACTTTTTGTATGTCACATAAATTTTGTAAATATTACTATTTCTAATGACTTTTTGTATACCATAAGTTTTGTAAATATTAAAATGCTCGAAAAGTATTTTAAATCAATATTCAACTAGTTGTTATTTTCAAAATCCCTACAATAAATAAAATAAAACATTTCTTTTAACTACTTTCTTCTGAACATAAATATTGAATATTTTAGTGATGTTGCTTGACATGTCAACTATAATTTATTCAAACTTTAAAATTGATTATACATGTTTTATTATCAAATATAATACCACAGCTGCATCGCACATATCAATCATTTTGCACAGCTTGTCAAAATTTTCATTGCTAAAGTACTTATAAAATATTTTTCTTTCAATAACGAGCATTAATTTAATAAATCAAAATTGCGCGAAAGTTACGCGCACTCGGAGAGCGAACACGTCGAGAAGGATTTTGAGGAATCGCAGTCTTCTGCTTTCGCCTGCCTTTTAAAGCTATGCACTGCACCCGTGGATGTACTCAGTGTGGCATGTATTAGGTATATATATGCACGTAAATACATCGTACATCAATATACACGTATATATAGAAGCGCTCCAAGTATATGTGTGCGAGCTGCTGCTGTGCGCGAAGTTGGCGTGTGCAGTGTGCTGCACGAGAGCTCGCGAGCGCGTTTGCCTTACAACTGTGTGGTGCATCTTGTACTTTTGCGAGTTCAACACACACGCACATTACATGGACAACGTTCGTTTGTACAGTTTGTAATTAGCTCGATTCGTGATTTCCGATAAACGTGTTCAACGCAATACAACAATCCTCGTAAGACGTATTATTATATCCTGCAGGCGCCCGATCGCGAGGTGAGCTAGCCTGGAGAGTCTTCGTCGCGAAAACGCGATCCCGTCACGATGCAGTGCATGGCGAATTACGTGCACTCTTCTCGCTGCCGTCGTCGCAGCTAACTACTCTCGAGTGCGCGAGGCGCATCACCGTCGTCGTCATCTCGCTGATTTTCGTCAATTGTGTATATGACACGCGTGCTCTACACTGCACGCATGTTGTGTCAGTCGCGACTCGACGACGAATCGCACTCGGAATGCGTTGATTAGCTTCTGTGTCAGCTAGTTCTCGACGCGATCGACCGAGCTCGCGGGCGCGCGAGCCCTGGACACATATTTATCTCCGACGTCGTGTACCGTGTGATACGTGCAATACGATATAGCGCAATAGTTGATAGGTATATAAGAGAGTGCGCACACCGCCCTGGCGACGAACCATCGCAATCAGTGGGCATTGCAATATAACAAAAAAGCGTCGGAGCCTCGGAGTTCGGCATCGTTGTAAAGCATAAAATAACAAAACGCCGAGTAGCAACGGTCGAGTAGGCAGAAACGCCTACTGCAAGAGACGTCGTCGGCGGAAGCAGCTCGCAGCGGCGTTGGTGCAGCAGCAACAACATCATCGCCGAGGACATGCAGCAGGTCCGAGCGCCACCGACGTGGCCGCAGCCTCCTCGAGTTGTGTCGTCGTGCTGGACGCGTCGTGCAGCAATTACATCGCCGCCGCAGCAGCAGCAGCAGCAACTCGCAATAATAATAACCCAACGAGCAATTCAGCAAATAAACAATCAATGCGAAATGCTGCAACCTCGTCGTTCGCATCAGCAGCTTCTTCATCGTCGCCGTCGTTGCCGTCAACATCATCGTCGTCGCGTCATTTTTTGAGGACGACTGTAGCAGGAGCAGCAGCCGCCGCCACCAACGTCGCCGTTCCTCCAAAGTACTCCATGACTTCTGGACGACGGTTTGTACCTAACATATATATCTATATAGCTCTTGATTGTTTTGTTGCACCGTTGAGATACGCATAAAATTCGGAGTTTTGACCTCTTGATTTAAATCTATGAAAGAATTTTGCTGGAATAAAAAATTTCGTTGGTTGCGATTGTACGTTGGTCAACCCCATTGTTTGCAATGAACTGTCTTTTTCTCGTAAAAATTAGGTAGTTACTCGGAGCCAACAAATATCAAGCAACAACAGGATATCTATCGGGAGTTTAAATTTTATTTCATTTTTCCCGTTGAATACAGGTCTAGAAACGATGGATAATAAACCTAAAAATGAGACAGCTCAGTCGAGTGCGTCGGTGTAATTTGCGCGTGAGTGTAAGAGTGAGTCCCTTTTTACAATAGTCGCTGAGACTGCAGCAGTAGCGCATACAGAGTTACTCATGACACTATAAACCGTATCGTGAGATGCAGTTCGAGCCGTTTGAGCGACCGTAGTACCGAAAAAGCGAATCCAGCTTAGTAGGGTTTGTGCCCGTAGAAACCAATGTGCCATGGGTACTATTTCGGCGCATGCTCGACGTACAGGAGCAAACCCTATTTCGCTATGCAGCCGGATTCGTGTTTCGCAAGCAGCAGAACTAAACCTCGGTGAAATGTGTGTGTGTGTGCAGCAGATATATACACACGGGAGGGTAATAAGGTGCGTAATGATACAGTACGCGATAGCTGCGCGAAGCAACGATGCGCACAGCACATTCGCAGCTATATACTGCTTGCCCGACTCCCGAGTCTACTTCTACTATCTTGCGTCCAAGCACACCGCGTGTTCGCGCTATCTTTGCGCCTGGAAATCTGCCGAACCTCTCGCGCTCGGGGGGAGCCTCTTATAGTATACTTATACGCGCGCTGCATCATGGGCATAGCCTGTCTGTCTAGTTATCACGGAGGTAAATACTAAATTTAGACTACTGATTTCCCTTTGTACGTTTAAATATTCCCTGTGTGTAGTTTACAGTGCACAATGAGCGCAAGAGCGCAGCCGTCTACTGTACCGCACTACAGTGTTTTAACCATTGCAATTTAAATTCGAGCAGACGACTTGCAAATATTAATACGCCGCGTCGCGTACCGTTGTACATTATATCTGTCGAGTATCGAATGCAGCATCGCTCGTAGCACCCGACTCGGAGCGAAACTCTTTCTTCTCTTGGGAATGAATCGTACGCTGTACTGGTCAAGTGTGTAATATTTTACATATGTATACGGAGCCATTTTGTGTTTCGTCGACGCAGCTAAATTTCGCAAATTTAGCCCGTTCATAAATTCACTGAAAGAGAATTAAGAGTAGAGCCTCACGAAACTATGATCGTAATTCAAATTCTAAACAGCATGGAAATAAAACATTGAATCTACGTTTGTAATTACGAACGAGTGCAGCTTGCCATTTAAGAAAAATTTGATCGGTGCGCGCGTTACGATGTAAAAAACAATGTTAGCCGGTGAACCAGCAAATGCATAACGCTTCTTATACAAAGGTAGAAATGCGCGCTCGTTGCGAAACACGTCATCGCGAAAAGTCGAATTCGATCATTGATTTTGTAATCAGGTTATTTTCGAGAGTCGCGGGGGGAGCCGCGCGGCGTGTGTTCACTCGCACTGTGTGTAATATGTACACTGCATCGCGAGCACCGCTGCACTGCACTGTTTCGCTCGCTCGCTCGCTCGCCCCGAAAGCTGCTGAATTAGCAAATGATCTATATAGGCAGGTAATGATTATGTAGCATCGTCGGCAAATATTGTAATGCCACGGTAATCCAATTTCGCGCGGCTCTGTATAGGCGGCGAGTTATGCATTGTGCATAATATATAACAACGATGCAGTTTAGCGCTCGACGCTTGCGTGACGCACGTGCCGTTCCCGAGCGATGTGCGATTCGCGAGGAGCGCAATCATATGCCCAAAAGCTGTGAAAAATTTCTCATTGCCGCTAGATCTGTTTTTAACTTCAAATTTTGTTCTCAATTCACACCCCATTGACCGATTGACAGTCAACGCTCATCACGTGCGCGCACTCCCACTCATCTTGGCGTGAATTTTTTCCCGTGCATGCAGCGATACTTGACATAGCAAAGGATCATCCTATTCGTTTGTTGTCATGAAACGTGTCGTGGTTGTTGTCTATACGAACGTCAGCAAAGTGCATAAGGCGCAGTTCTAATAACACTACAGGTATACTATGGATAAGGTACTGTGCAGTACCTATTCCCTATTATGTTCCTTCGTGTGCTATCTCTCAGTTGGCGTCGTGCAGCGACAGCTACACACGCTTGTGTATATATTTCGCGTTTACCTATGTGTGTGCTTTTTTCACGCCGTGCAAGCCGTGTACATTAGCGAAAGAAGGACGGACTGAATGTCTGGATGGTTATTGGTCTTGCTATATCGTTTAGAATCTCTTCTCTCTCTTTCTTTCTCGCAGCGCCAAGTACATATACGAGAGACTTCGAGCTGCGCGTTCGGCGTTGTGTTGCATATGCGTGTGCTCCGTGTGTGTGTGTTGGTTGCGTCGAGCCAGGCGCGCGATCGTGTGTGTGTGTGTGCACGAAAACTGTAAGTGTATTACTGCACTTGTGTACGATCGACGTACGGTTTTTCGTCGACTGCACACCCCGAGTCGCGGAGACAGTCGTATCGCACGAGCGCCCGAGCTCGGGCTCTCGTTCGTCGCGTCCTGTGCCTTCGCGTACTCGTAACGGTTACAAGTGTCAACGGCGCGTACATAGCCCAGAGCGTTGTCAAGGGTATGGGCAACCTCTCTTCGTTTTTACGTAGCACGCGTTGATCTCGCAGAATCGAACGCAGAGCAGCAGCGCCTGGCTGCTGCACGGTGCATCGGACAGACGGACTAGTGTGTTGTTTTGCTTACTGCATACGTGTATGTGTGGGCAGAGACATATATACGTGCACGCCGCGAGACACGAAGACGAGACCGAGGAACCGAGACCCGGATCTGATCCGAGCTTTGCCATTGTCTCTCTTTGATTTCGCCCGAGCAGCGACGATTACATGCTTGTATATGTCGTATATACACATGCAGTAGATCGCACGGGCTAGTAGCTGACGGAGCGGCCATTTCTGAGCATCGCACAACCACCCACTCGGGGTACACAACGTCTAGGCGAGCGCCTCTCGTCTCTGTGTTTTGTGCAGGCCTGCGCCGTTCGCGGCAGCGTTGCCTACAGCTTTCGGCATTTCCTCGTCATGAATGGTGAGTCCGCAGCCGATGCTGCTTTCCTCCCTTTGCTCCGTCCTCTGCGTGTTTGTGTTTCGAGCTCGACCGAATCGCATCGGATGGTGCGCACAGCCACCGTAGAAATCATATTCGCTCTCCTTTGCACTTGTGTGTGAAAACATTATAATATGCGTGCAGATTCCCTTAATTTACGCATGTATTGGCCTCAGTGGCGCTACCTGTGCTCCGTTACTCGAGTCATTTTTAAAGGTATATCCGATGCACCGACTGCCATCGCTATCTAGATGTATATTACGCGCTCGTAGTTACTTACTATATTTTATGCCCGAGAAAAGCGAAGGAATAGTTGATTTCGATACCTCGAATGAACTTTGTCCGTAAATAAACACTTGCAGGTACGGACAGATTCTTATAAATGATCTGAGGTAAAATAATGAATTTATAAGGGTTAAAAATAATAGCATCCTAGAATTTTAGTTATTATATTTTTAGAAATATTTTAATGTTTTAGATTTTAAATTTGCAAAAAGTTGAGGTTTTTAAAAAATAAGTATTTACTTGCAGTTTTCCTCAGTGATTAAAAACGTTTCATTTTGTAGTAAGAGAAAAATACTCTGAAAGCATTATTGTTTAAACTTAATAATTTTACTCAAATTAAATTTTTTTTAAACGTGAATATTTTATTAATTATATTTAATTATATTTAATTACATTTTTACATTTATCAGCTATAATTTTATTTACATAGAATTGATTATTTTGCAGCAAAAATCTAGATCACAGGATGGTTGTCAATTTATCAACTGCCCAAGAGGGCAAGGTTAAGAAGAAAAGAAAAAATATGCAACGGTCAAAAATGAATCCTACTACTTCAGTAAATAATATGACACCAAAAGAGCTTTGTGAAAATGATGATTTGGCAACTTCATTGGTTTTAGATAGTGTTTTAGGCTTTACAACTCATAAAATGAATATTAAGTACAGACCGCTAAAAACCAATAGAGAAGAACTCAAAAAAGTCATTGAGGAATTCCAAGAAACACAAAATTATGCAAAAGCTTTTAATAAGTTAATGAGTGGATTGCCAAAAAATAAGTCAAAAAAACTGCAAATGAATTTAGAAGCCCATGTAAGCGTAATAATACATTAATATATTGGTATGTTAATTACAATACGAACCTTTGCTAACTATAATTTTCAAAATATTGTAGATCTATAGGTATTTACGGGTATTTGACAAAAATTCTGGATTTGCCATTGAACCCTGTTTTAGATATTCAATTGAAGATAAAAAAGGTGCAAAAATTTGCGCTACTAAGAAATGGTTAAAAAACGACAGAATTTCTTATCTTGTTGGTTGCGTAGCAGAACTTAGTGAAAAAGTAAGAAACATTCAATACTTTATAAAGAAATATGAATAATATCTAGTATTTTCTTCATTTAAACTAAAATTTTAATTTTTTAAAATAAATTTAACTAATTTATGTTTGAAATGAGAAGTTTCCTTACCTCTAGGCAATAATGAACATCAATCTTCATTTGATACATTTTTTTCGTACGATTTTTAAAGTTTCATAATTATTGTTTATTGATTGATAAGGATGTATAACTTGTAATAATATGAGTGTTTATTAATTTTAATATTTTTAAATTATAGGAAGAAGCTGCTCTTCTTCATGTTGGAAAAAATGACTTTTCTGTCATGTTTAGTACAAGGAAAAACTGTGCACAACTTTGGCTTGGTCCAGCAGCTTATATTAATCATGACTGCAGGCCCAATTGCAAGGTAAATTTTTGAACAATTTATACCATTTATTTTTGTGATTATGACAGTATGTATTAACATTTAATGTACAGTTTGTAGCTAATGAAAAAACTGCCTATGTTAGAGTGTTGAGAGATATTAAAGAAGGTGAAGAAATAACTTGTTTTTATGGGGAGGATTTTTTTGGAGATGGTAATTGTTACTGTGAATGTGAAACATGTGAAAGACGAGGCACTGGAGCTTATAGTGATAGAAAATCAAAAGAAGAAGAATCTGCAGGTTATAGGTTGCGAGAAACAGATAATCGAATTAATCGAATGAAAACTACAAAACAAAGAGTTTCAGATGCAAAAAATAAACAGACCAACACGTTAAGTGAACGTAACGTAGACACAAATGATGAAGCAGTTGAACCACAATCTCTTAATATGAAAGAAATGAAAAGAAAAGGGCTCACGAAATATGATGCTGCGCTTCTAATGGCTCAAGGTTGTCAATTTTCAGATATTTCTCAGCAAACAGCTCTGTTAAATAATGAAGAAAATACTGTTCATGAACCAGAGAGTTCATCCAATTTAGCAATGAGAACACTCAGAAATAAGAATCAAGCAAAAAAGACTGAAAACAACAATTATAATAATATGAATAACAACCATAATAATTCGAAAGGAGTCAGTAATTTAAAACGTTTACGAACTTCTAGGTACATAAAATAAAATATATAATTCATGAAATAGTTTTTTTTATTTTTTAATTAAAAAAATTTTTGCTATTTCATTAAATTTTTCGAATGATCATTCATAACAAAAAAAATGACAAACACAATGAGATTCAAAGTACTCTAATTTTCATAACTAATTTTTTTTTTATTTTAGTCTTAAAATCAAAATTATTTGATTTTTTGAATTTTTATTTATCTTTTTAATACAATTCATAATAAATTTATTAATTATTTTCAGGTTGGATGGTGAAACTGAAGCTAAAAAATTTAAAACAGATGGAAATAGTGATAATTTCAATGATTCAAGTCCATTGTGTCACAGGAAAGAAATGAATAAGGCAGATGAGAGAAATGAAAATTGTGTTATTACAAATTCAAAGAAAAACGCTAACGAAGTAAATTTTAGCAGTGACTCACAAAATAACTTTTTATTTAGTGAAAAAGATAAGAGTACAAATTCTTTGAGCACTAATCAATCTTATCTAAAATCAATCAGCTCATCAAATAAAGTAACAATGAATCAGGACTTGAATAATAGTTTAAGTAGTTATCAGTGTGGCGACGAGATAAAAGAAATAAGCAAACCTTACGATAGATTGTATCCTAATTTGAATGGCATGAAATCTCCAATTCATGGCAAGACTCCCCAAACGTCTCCTTTTTACGAAAATATTAATTTTGACAAACAAGAATCTCTACAAGGTTCTACTGGAGAATCTATTGAAACAAAATTTGATAATAATGATAAAGAAGTATTGTCTATGGAATCTTTAAATGCTCGTTCATCTATCATTGCCCATAATACTGAATCTAAAAGTCCTGATTGTGTTGAAAACTGTTCTAAAGATCATAAACTAAACCAACTTGAAAATAAAGTTGGCGAACACATGATTGAAAAAAATCAAGAAAAAATTGATGTAAATGAATCTACTCATCATAGCAAAAATTCTATTGATGAAATAGATTTAAAAAAAACCGAAGACAGCCGCAGTTTAACACAGAAAAGATTTTATGAAAATACACTACACATGAAAAAAAAATGTATTAAAAAGTCTTCACAAAAAATTAGGGAAAAGAGTAAAAAAGGAAAAACTTGGGATTTAGCTAATAGATGCAATGTTAGGTTGACAAGGAGTCAGAAAAAGGATTGTCAGCAACCAGCTATATCAATTGGAACAGCAGATGATGATTCAGGCATTCAAGATATCTATGAATTTAATGAAAAGGAAAGTAATCTTGATGAAATTAGTTTGCCCAATCGTGTACCACACATACGAGATAAATATAATGAAACAAGAGAAAACCAATCTTCATCAAATTTGCTTGTTGAAACCTGGAATGGCTGTGACAACCCTCAATCTCTTAATGGAGTTAGCAAGTACATGATTAAAGATTCAGTTAGCCAAACAGAAATCAATGCCACGTAAGTTATCACCTAAATAGTTTGTTTTTGTATCATTTAATTTCTTTTGCTTTTCCTTTTTATTTTTTCTCCATTTTTTATTATTGCTTCTAGGAATGAATGAACATGTGTCGCTATGCTGCTTCTTGTTTTTGATCGCTTTTTCTTCTTGCTTTTTTTTACAAGTGAAACTATGCATAGACTGTAGTTTGAAATAATTTTTTTTTCGCTTTCCACTGACTTTTGTAATAATTTAATGGCTGTATATTTTTTATAATATTGATTAAACAAAAATTAAATTTGATTGAATACATTTTAATAGGACCCAAGCAGTTGATATGCCGTCCAATTGGAATCGCCAGACACCGCCTAGGAATGTAGATAATAAAGTCAACGTTATATCACCAGGTCGAGTTAAATTAACGCTACGCGTAAAGCGGTCACCGATACTTGATAACGTTGTCGGTACTGGCAATGCCGATTTAACAGGATCAGAAATGCCCGAGTACGAGGTTTTGCGTGTCGAAGGAGTCGATATACCAGACATGCCAGTAAGTCAATCTCCTCGCAAAAAACACAAATCCCGAGATCGAGAAAGACGACATAAACGGCGCGAGCTTGTGCCTGACATGGCACCTAAAACAAAACGTCTTAAATTGATTTTTGGTAACGAATCCCGTACTATCGATTTGCCGCAGTCCTAACGTCCAATTTTTACCCAAAACGATGCTGAGTTGTATCAAAAATCACTCCAACTCGACAGCTACTCATGGTGTATTTTTAGTTTAACTCTGCTTCTTTTCCCCGTATGTGTGATATCGAAGAATGCAATTCCGATCTTTTTTAAAAGCTGTATTGAGATCGGATACAATGTTGTGAAAGAATTTTTTATACTTCGTGTAAGATTATTTTTTCTATTATTTTTTTTGTATCTGAAAAGTTTTTAGTTCTACAAGTAGAGAATTTTTTTTAAAGTACTAGAAAGTTATTTTAAATTGCCATGTATTTTCTGACAATGTAAGTACAATTGCATAACCTCGATAATTTTTTCCATCGAATTGCTATCTGTACTCCAGTAAAGCTGAGTTTGTTTGCAAAATTTAATTAAATTATTATATATAATACGCTCAAAAAATATCGGCAAAGTAAAAATTTCTTTAGGTCAGGGATCAGGATTTTATTTTTTACTATAAATCTTTTTGAAAAGTTGGATAATTATTGTACAAGTTGTAGAGTTCATTAAAATGTACATAAGTTTGATATATGAAAAATCAATTTCAAAATGAACATATTTCAAGTGTAGAGTAATTTTTTCGCATATGTACATGAATTTCATTCTAACTAACAGCGAACTTCAAGAAAAAGAATTTATCCATGTGTTATTAACTATGTTCGTTCTATTTTATAACAGAGTAGACACTACTCAAAAAATCTCCTTATAAATAATAATGGATAACATGCATTGAATTAGATGATCACAATTTAAACAAAAAATGCTATTTTACGCATTTTAACATCAATTTTAGAGCATTAAAACACAGTAATAATACTCAAAATTGTCATTAATTCAATTACTATTAAAACAAAACAGCTCCAGATATCGTGGAGTAAAAAGCATTTCAAGAACGTTACGAGAATTTCACGAATGACAGTTGAGGTGTTGATGAATTCTATCAAAATGATCAGTTTCTAGTTTGGAAGATCTTATGTCATCAAGAGTAACAATGATAAAGTAGCATTCTATAATGGTAGGATGACGCAAATTACGATTGAAAGCGTGAAACTGTTCATATGAGTGAAAAATAGAATACACATTCGTACATATACGTATATATTTATAGACAAATTATAGCAAAGGCCAATGCAAAGAAAAAATCATTGCATTGATTAAGAAATGTAACATACTTTAGATATAGCAACGCCGATATAGTAAAAGAAAATAAAACGCAATTAGGTTTTGGAGAGTATAAAATACTGCGGTAACTTCTCATAATAAAACAAACAAAAATTGTGATACATAATAATAATAATAACATTATTATTAATAATAATTACAATAATAATATGATTAATAATAATAGTAATAATGATAATGTTTTACTATGTTATAATTGCTAAAATTGCTCTTACTCTAAAAGTTCAAGAAACTTAAGTCACAATCGTCAACAAGAGTTGTATGAAAGAGCAATTAATAATATGATATAAAATATATCGTACATTTTTACGTTGACGGCCGTATTAAAGGCTTCCCTATTGGGTGTTGTTTCAGATGTGTAAAAAAGAGAAAAGAGAAAAAAAATGAATGCTAAGTGTTTCTTAATTTTTAGCTACAGAATGAGAGTGAAACTTATCGTTGTCGTGAATGACGTGGGAAAAACAAAGTTGTAAGAATATTAAAACGTTACTACTGCGTTACATTTTGGTGGCACTTTAAAATTCTGTTTAAATAAAATTTAAAAAATTGTCATTGTTAGCGAATTTTGAAGTGAACATTGTGTATGTTGTTTGGTTTTTATAATATATAAACCTTTATTATTTGTCAAAAAAATGATTTTTAATTTTTTATACGTATTATTTCTAAGATTTTTAAAACAAAAAATAGATTTGATTAAATCATGAAAGTATTGTTATTTTTAAGAAAAAATTAATGAACTTTAGTACATTAATTTTTTGTATTTTTTATTATGTGAATATTTTTGATCTCTTGTAGATAATAAATTTTATAGAAAAGTCACTCTTTATATTGTTTTATTTGATAATGGACAAGTTGTTTTAAAAAAAATATTCGCTATACGAAAGTATAGTGTGATGTGCAATCGAACAAAGATAACATTTGAATTATAATTGAATCAATGTATTCACTTCGAAATTAATTTGAATGTTAACAGAAAATATTCTTTTCTATAAAAACATTCAAAACAATATAATTTTATTACTTACAATAAAAAAATTGTATATATTAGTTGTGCCACCAAAGTGAATGCGACTGGCAGATTATGTTTTCAAGCACTGCCATCGAGATGAATTTTTTTTATAATTTTCCCACAAATTATTAATGCCAGAAATGAACTTTTTTTGTAAATATATCGAGTGTAAATCTTGTATTAATGTCAGTAAAGTAACTTATTAATGTATTCTCTGAATGCTGAAAGTTCCACTTCTTTTTTTTTTTTTTAATTTTGTTTAGCTCTTGAGAACAAATGTTGCATGAATTTCTAGAATATTGAAAATATGAATCGTTTCTTTTACAAATTCTGCAGAAAAAGTAATGATTATCACAACGCGTTATTGAATTAATAGAGAAGTTGTTATATCATTAATAATCACAAACTTAGATTCAATGATTCAATCATTTGTATATTTTATCATTGCGCTGTATTTATTCATAATAGATTATTTATTGTAATTTATCAAATAATTTTTCAAAAAATATAATTTTTTTATGAATAAATAAAGTATTTCAATAAATGAATGCATTATCTGATGAAACTATGAGAGCACTTTATTATGAACCTGCAAATTCTTGTGCAAGAAATACATCGAATGAAAAATTTTCTTATTTACTTGATTTTTCGAAATTTTTGATAAATTTTCATTTTTTTATCGACCAACTGAATATTTCGAATAAAAATATCTTGATACAAATAAATGCTGAAGTCACGGGAGTAATTTTAATGAATTTATCGGTACATTTTTAAATGTAAATGCAACTTGCGTATTCATGTTTACTGCTGAGGCAGTAGATCAAAATCATATCTATCATAATCTCGCGAACTATGGTTAATCAGAACGATATATATTTATCACATCAAATTGTAGAAATAATTAAGTATACAAAAGTTTATACAAATTACTGTAAAAAGAGAAAAATAGAGAAACACTATTAGGTAATTATGTAATATTCATAGATCAGTCTTTACAAGTTCATTGTAACATGTGCATGATTTTGGTACACAATAAGAACACTTATTTTGCATGAATACGCTTATATAAAAATATGATAAAATTTATTTTAAACAATAAAACCTAAAGATAAAACATTTTATAATTCCATATTGTCATCGTCGTCATCGTCGTCGTCTTCAACGTTCGTAGTCATTTGAGTAACTGTATAACGTAAAAGATGAAGATCTTTGAAAACTCTCGTTACTCTTCTAAAATGTCTTTCCGTGTATGGAATTAGAGATCTCAAGGTTTCTCTCACATCTTTTTCCACATTATTTATTCCTACTTTTTTCAAGACGTGATATATAACAATCTAAAAAAAATATTCAAGTTATTTTCATAATTAAAAAAATCATATGTTTATAGGTAATAGAACGATTAGTACCTGAGCTACGTGATAATTACGTGCATTCGTGTTCCAAGCAATAGCATTGTGAAGCAGCTCTACTTGATGTTCAGGACTCAATTTACAAATTGTTTTGTCTAATTTTTCTTCTCCTTTTTTGACAATTGCCTCTATAATTTTTAAAACAGTATGAGGTTTTTGACATTTCAAAGCCAATCTTAGGGCTTTTAAAAGTTTGTCAGCTTTCAATGCATTGGATAAATTCTGCTCATCCTGCATCCTTTCCTCTCTTTGAGCTAACTCAAGTTCTTTTTTTTCTTGTGTAGTATCTCTCCACAAAATGAAACGAGAATCGATATCAGCACTTACAAGACGAGTTTCATTGTGGTTCACTAAAAAAAGAGATTATAAATTAAACTGTAAATTAAAATTGATAGTAATCTTATTTTATAATAAATATACTAACTCTGAATAGACCAAACTTTGCCTTTATGTCCTTCTAAGGTCAAATTACATTCTGACGTTTTGACTGACCAAAATTTTATCAAACCATTTATCGCTGACGAAATTAATTGCATACCACAACTTGCAAACTGAATTTTCATCACACCTGCCTCGTTTCCTTCAAAAGTCTAGAAAAAATATTTGAGTAAAATATATGATTTAATAATTTATAGCGTTTATTAAAAGTAATCGTACCTTCACACAGTTAAGTTCGGATAATGACCATAGCTTGATATTGCAGTCTGAGGATGCTGTGGCTAATACTTGATCAATAGGAGAAAATCGCACGCAATGGATACCTCGACGATGTCCTTTTAGTGTTCCGAGTAGTTGTAATTTATCAGAAGTCCACAGCTAAAACATTAATGTACATAAAGATTAAAATTTGCATAAAGTTATTAAACTTAATCTTTTCTAGTTTATTTACCTTTGCAGTTTTATCTAGGGAACCAGTGGCAATTATTTTATTGTCTGGTGAAATGTCAACACAAGTAATTTCTTGCTGTTGGTGAGCACAAATCGTATTGGGAGAATTGTAGGAGGATGTTGCATCTAAAATTTTAAAAAGTATTAAAATTAAAATTAGATTCTTTGCATAAAAAATTTTACATTAGAAAATTGTATAATTAATTTTACCTAAATTCTCTAATTTTTCTGGTAGGTCCCACAGTTTAAGACAACTATCTTTACCTACAGACACAAAAAAACTAGCCGTCGCTTGAGAAATCGCAACAGAGATAACTGCTGCTGTATGTTCATTTCTTTCACCTATGCAGGATACAACCTTTGTTTTCTCATCCATCAACCACAATCTGATTGATTTAGCCTGGCAAAAAATATGATTAATTATTGGCATTTATTGCATTTTGAGTTTTTAAATTTCAAACATGTAAGTTTTTATAGAGGGTTTTTCATGTACCTTATCTGAGGATATCAATAAGTTACGATTAGCTGATGTTGTTGCAACTGATAAAATATTATCTTTGTGACCTTGTAATATTTGGCACTTCATAGTTTCTATTTCAAACAAAATCAAGTCACAAGTATTGGCTGCTACAACTATATGTGTATCAAGAGTCCCCAAAAAAGCAATGTCAACGATTTCATCTAAGTAACCGCATAACTGAAAAATATTCACAAATTAATAATAATTAAATAATTAAATTCGCATTAAAGAATTTTGTGAAAATAACTTTAAAACCCACCTGTTTTTTAATTTCAAATTTATCTAGTGTATAAGTAAATATATTATGACTAGTAGAAACCATTAAAATACTGTTACTTTCTTTATTGTACAGTAATTGTGTTACAGCTAAGCCTTCTTCATATTGGGCAGGTGGTATCAAGGAATTGGTTTGTTGGTGAACCTTTTTACCTAAATGCATATCCCATATTTTCACAACACCTGCAATAATCATGTAATATTTTTAATACTTTCATACTATACTTTAAAAAAGGCATTCAAAAAAAATGTCACATACCATGACCACCTGCAGATGCAACAAAAATATCCGATTTTTTTTTCTTGTCACGACCAGGAAAGTCTGATTCATTTGGGATTATAAATATACCTTCAATATTTTCAAAAACAGGCCATGTACGTAATGCCTTTTGTTTCTGAAGATCCCATAATATCAGGACCTTATCTCTACCAGAACTGTAATAAGAAACAATTTTTATAGTTTCATTAATTACTAAAAATGTGGGTTGTAAATTTAATCATCAATTTGACATGTAACTGATAATAAACTAATTTTTACCTTACGGCATGCTTGCCATCTTCATGAAAACTCAAAGATGTTACTTGACTGAAATGCCCTTCCAAAGTAATATCATTTTTTCCTGTTTGGGTATTCCAACCACGAATTATATGATCATCCCCAACTGCAAAAAGTAATGGTGAGTCGGATAATAATTTACAAAACTGGTAGAGAATGATTCTGCAAAAATGAAAAACAAAATTATGTAAATTAAAAGCATAAATATCTATAGTCTACAAGATTTTTTTCAAACATACCCAATAACGCCTTGAGCTCCTTTCAAGCTGAAAGTACAAGCATGTTTTTCTATGTCCCATAATCTAATAGAGCCATCAACACCACCAGAGGCCACATTCAATGCATCTCCCATCTTCATTATTGCCATGGATACGACTGGGTTGTGAAGCGACTTCCATAACTTTACTGGTGTTTTTGGTTCTAAGAAATATCCGAATAATTAGTTACAGAATTGATATTTTATTTAATTCATCTTTTTAAAACTTACCCTGAACTTTGTAATATCTGAACAAAGTACTTTTATGATAAGTAATGACAGATTCTCCATCATCGCTGGCAATGAAGCATGTCACTGGATCCTCATTAATATCATCTGTTTCCGACTTGTTCTCAATACCAATTTCTACACGAGTATTTTTTGAAAGAGACAATGCAACTACATGGTCGTAATTGTGACAAAACAAATGTTCGCCATCGTCGCTCCACTATTGAAAATAATCAATAATTAATGTAAACATAAAAAATGAAAGATAATAGCTAAAAATCCATACGTACTTTCACATTGCCACCCGTGTAGAACGCCTCAACCTTAGTTTCAATGTCGAATCTGCAATGACAATAAGAGAAATAAGAAATTGTTTAATTGCAACATGGTGGTATATAGAAAGTCAGTCATCATTGACAGCCAATGACATTGATAGTGATAATGTTTACGTACGATTCTTTTAATTGTCGATTATCCATGTTGAAAATTGTTTTGAATTTTTATTATTAGCTGAACATGTGCACAACCACGTGCGTATAAAAAGAGCATTCCCTGGTCGGATTCACTGGTTTGAAGCCTCCAACTCTAGAGTCTAGCGACCTCTGTAGTCGATCTCCGTTGCATTCTTATCGAATGTCGCCGGTGTGCGCACAAAATCACGCTCCGTTGATACTGCAGAGTAATGCAGAGACCCGAATAGTCATCACGCGCGCTTGTCGTGATTCGTACAAAATTTATTAATAATTTCATTCATGCGTGTTGCGGATCGGCTATTGGTCAAATGGCAGGGTAAGATAAGTGAAGATCTAACTTGAGCGCTGTACTCTACACGGTGTCGTAGAATCAGAGAAAATGACTCCAATAAAATTCCAAAATAGCTAACATTATATCGATCTCTCAATTTTATGAAGTAAGATTTAAAACTGGTAAATAATTCATGAGTTGAAGATGTGACAATCTAAAAGTACGCGGATCAAAATGTCCATCGGTGGAATGCACGTATTCAAGTCTGTAAAGTATACACGTTCAATTTTGAAATCAATCGTTTTAATAAGTATCGGTTTACTCAGCGAATCGTTCGAAAAAAGGTTAATTAAAATTGTAATTAATTATTTTTTCATGTGCTACTTTTTTCTTTCTTTCTTAAAAGAAAAAAAAACTTCTTTGAATTATTCGCTGTAAATATTTCAATGACATGATCATTGTAAAAATGCAAAAATTTTTTAATTTATAATAACAGAGATAAGAGATGGTTGAAGTGAGTTGCTTCGAATTAAAAACAATTTGGTGTAAAAAAATCAAGTACTCACTTGCTCTTCAAATACAGAAATCCAGTTGAATCTGTTTAACGGGAAAAACGTTTTGGGACCAACGCTTTTGATCACGTTAACCGGCTGACAATAATACACGGAGGATTAAATGTATCCACTCATTTAATCGAAAAATTATATTCTTTATTATATTTGCAAAAATAATATTTAGAGTTTTTCCTTGATGAAGTAATCGTCAATTTGTAACTCATTTTTTGCTTGCTTCATTCCAAGCGGATTGGAATCAAGCGTTAATTAAACATTAAGCGAATAACCATATTAAGCGCGATATTAATAATTATAGGATTGTATTGTATTTCAATTTTACAAACTGTAAATAATATATCCAACTCGTACCAGTTTCCTTACACTTTTTTCAAGTCCTACACATTCACCTTGCACTTTCGGGCAAGCTCCGAAACATCGGAGTGACTATATACACGATCGAAACGGTTGCACTTGATTTCATTTTCCAACAAATCACTAAATGATGAAAATTCCTACACTGACATATCATTGTCATTAAACTAAGAACTGTCATTCATCGATATAGATTCATTTTTAACTATCAAAACAAACAGTAAAATAAGAACAAGCTCGAATATTACTTTCTCTTTTTATCGTCTAAACCATACAATTTTTTGGTAATTAAAGTGATAATTATTTTTATTAACTTATATCAAGCATACTCTACTGCTAATGATACCATCGCAGCTAAGTTTTTATTTGGAAATTTTTTTTAATTCTCTAATCTTCGTTGACATTTTTCTTCCTCGTATACGTAAATAAAATGTAAAAACAGTCGTGACGCGAATGATATACGTGTACTGTGATGTCATGGTTTATTAGAGCAAATTATTCAGCATTGTGTACTTCGTATCAGTGCTGGCGACTGATTAAAGATCGCCGCCAGAAAATCTTGTCGGAATAATCGATCGATGACTAGACTTACTTTCTTTTATTGCGAATAATTGACGGACCACCAAGACATTTAAAAAATTAGATCAAAAAGATTTCGTTTAATTTGGGACTTTCCAGGTCTCTTAGATGTTCGCGTACGAAATCAAACACGAATCAAAAAGAGTCTATAAAGTTCTCGATCGATATAACCCAACGAAATTCACGCATACCTAAGCCAGGGGCATCGATTACCCGGAAACAATAAAGAATAAGTCTCTCTCAGTGTCGAAGGGAAATTTCGTAATCTCTAGAGCAAAAAAATTTTGGAATTTTTGCCAGCCACATGGTCTCGAGTAAAAACCAATTCCGTGCAAAAAATTCCAAGTACCCGGCCGTATAGAGATGAAAAGATGCTTGGCCCATTGTGGAGCGCACGAGTGTGACGTAATTCTGGGACGAAGCAAGGCTGAGGAACTAAAAACGTGTAAGAATATGATCCAAGTATTTTTTTGCCGCTACACTATAGACCATCGGTTCGTCAGTGCGTGTGGATCGTGAGTCACAGAGACGGTTATTTCACGGCAGTGATAATATAGTTTATTGGGAAAATGCCGGCCTAAGTATTGGCGCATCACGACGTGTACATAAACGGGAAATACGCGCGTGTGTTGATACACGTATACAATCGATGTATAAATGGCATTGTACAGATCTGCCGACGAGCCAGTGTAGACGAGCGAAAACCGAAGTGACACTGATAAGATAAAGGTGAGCTTTTTAACCGAATTCATTGAAGCCGTCTCGTGTCATTCGCAGCCCGTCCATCCAACGACTCGCAGCACACCTGACGAACTTTCTTCGATCTTCAACGAGCCGCAGCAGAAACATGCCAAGTAAGTTTGGATCCTTGAGCTTATTTATATTCGTTCGATTACATTGATCGAACTGTCGATAGCGGCGTGATTGGGCGTGGGTGTGTCAACTTCGTTAACGCGATCGTTTCTCGTTTTCGTGCTTTTCGTCCAACGTCTGGATAATCGTTTTTATTTGTATTTACTTTTGCGTGCGCTCGATCCTTTCGAAGCATCGTAGTTTTCGTGAACATTCATCGTCGACAATGACATCGTTTCTTTTTATATGTTTTTTTACGTCGTGTATGCTACTGATTCGCGTGTCGAAATAATTTCTTTCCTACAAAAAAATGGATACCACAAAAGATCACGAGAATCAATACAATCGATTTATTCAAATGATATTGTCGATTCACGAGTTACAATGGCAGTTTCTACCTATCAAATATAAGTACAATTATTGTCGAGGCTCCGTATGTAAATGACCTTAAAACAAACAATAAAAATAAATAAACTTGAATTATATTTTTTGCCGGTAACTTTACGCATTTTATGGAAAAAAAAGAATGATCGTTGTCATTAATGTGCAAAAAAAAGTCGCTCCATTTGTTTCGTGTTTAGTTTCCACCGATTGCCTTTGAATTCTAATTGCAGCTGTCGACCTTGCAAAGCTTGTCGAGAAATCCTAAAAATCATTCGCTCGAAAAAAAAAGATAGCGCGCAATGTGTTCGGGGTTGGAAATAATTGATTGACCTATATAACTTTTCGAAAAGAATTTTTTTTTTGGGAACGACGAGCGTGAACCGAGCAAATATTTGCTGCCACGAGAACGTATATAATAAATATATTTAAACGCGGTTGACTCATTTTTTGCGCTTAATGACAACGAGATAAAAAAAGAGAGAGAGAGAAAAAAATAACTCGTGCCTACAACCTGTTGACGCTTGTGTCTGGCACGAGTTCTCGAAATTTCTTTCAAGACGCCTCAAGTGCCTATAGTCTTGGTTGTTTGATTACGGATTTTGTTTCTTCCTATTATAAAAATTCAATCGCAACTCGAGAAATTCGACGTCACTACTTTATCTTTCGGCAAAATTCTTTATGAAAGCCGTATAGTCCAGGATATCTCGAGAGACACACGCGCGTCCGGGGCGCGCTTATCTCCGCTATCTTTGGGATTGCTTCGAATCGCGCCAAAAAAAAAAGAGGGGCCGGGGTTTGCGCGAATCGGCGCGCGTCCACGTCACTGTCGCGCTCGGCGTTAACGCGCCTCGACGCGAATTCTTTTCGTTCGCGAGGGGTCATCAGCTGCTAAGTTACTTGACTTTTTGTTCCATCATCCCGTCGTCGCATCCCCCGTGCAGTCTGAGTGCGGCGTGCGAAACGTGATAAAAAGCGCAATTAAACGAGAGCGAGCGAGAGAGAACTAGCGAGAGTCGACACACTCACAGAAAGAGAAAAATGGGCGCTTGCTGTTCGGACGAGCCACCGCCGCCGCCGATCGTGACGGTGACGCACACCCACGCCCAGCACGCTTACAATCCTTACCCGCCCGTCCAACAACAACCCGCTTATCCGCCAATGCCGACCCCGTACTCACCACCGGCCGACGCCTCTCTGGATTTAGACTACAAGTGGATCCCGTGCCAGCTGGGCCAGCCCCTGCCACACAGAGCCGTGCACGGCGGACGCGACGTCGACGGCACCCAGATCTACGTGGGCCGCGCCTACCACGAGGGTGACAATCTCCCGGCCAAGGTTATCCCCGAGAAGAACGTCTGCTACGTCGCCTACGGCGGAGGCGAGCATCTCAAATACAACTACGAGGTGAGTCCTGCACATGCTCTTTCTTTATTGGCGTCTCCTCGCAATTACGATTCGATCTTATCGGAGCGTCATCGACAATGTATCATCGGCTGCTCTTTCAAAATCTTTTTTTCCCTTTTTTGATCTGCTTCACTCGACGATCGTAAAAAATGAAAGATAAACATTTAGCGCCGATGAACACCTTTATAACATATTATCATCACGATGCCGATAAGATATATAAATTACGAATTTTCGCGTGCAGCCGCGCGAAGGTTGCGCAATTAACAATGATGTAATTGTCATTTATACATCATTTTTGCACCGATAACTAATTATCTCGATTGTTCTCGTTCTCGACGAATGTGCATAGGTCCTGGTGGAGCGCGAATTCCAGTGGATCCCGTGCAGCGACGGAAGCGTTCCCGGAGACGCTGTGGTCGCCGGCCAGACCTGCGACGGCGAGGCGCTCTACGTCGGCCGCGTCTACCACGACGGAGCCCAGACAGTCGGCAAGGTGAGACAGAATTTAATGCAGTTGCTTTTGCTCCAGTTTTCACGAGCGCTAGCGAGGATAAGAACGTGCACGCGTCGCTCCGAGCGTTGCCTATTATACCCTACGATTTAAAATCCATTAAGACCAAAGCTGACGCGTATAAATAACTTTCGAGTCCATCGGTAAGGTTAACGAATCAAAATGATACCGAACTTGAGTATAGTGGATCCAGTCGTCGTCTCGAAAACTGGATCGCATTGGTTTTGCGAAGGTACCGCAGGCAGGCGCGCGCGCACGTTCGAATTCGCTCGTTACATTATTGACAATGAAAATGAATTAAGATCGCGAGCTTGCAATTGACTTGATTGGTAACGAGGCTGTTATTCATTCGTTTTTTTTTTCGATTTGCAGGTACAACCGAGCCACGGCTGCCTCTACGTTCCATTCGACGGCGAAGAGAGGTCTTTCACACACTACGAGGTCCTCGCCTACCAATAGATTTACTTTTCTAGCGAATTATAAATATTGTCTATTTTTTTTTGTATTTCATATTTGAGCATAGTCGCGAACTCGTGCATTGTTTACCTATTTATTACGAATATTTCGTAAATGTTCAGTCAAGATGTACGAGAAATTTTGATCGCTGACTGCAGCAGCGACTGAATGAGTATTTTGTTAAGTGATTTTTTTAATAGTAAACAGTCAATCAAAACAGTCAAATTCCTTGTGATATTCATTGATGATGCCTTTCATTTGCCTTTCAGTTGCGATAGGAATCGCGGTATTTGCAAAACAATGAAAACTTTAACGATTAGTAGTCGTCAAAAATTGAAATAATGAACCAAATCGGACCGTAAAAATACCAATTGAAAAATTTCAAAACAACAAACTCGTTTGAAAACGAGGCGCCACTGCATAACAATAAAACCCTGAATCATAATAAAAACACGATCTTCTCACACTCGCTTGATCGAACAACAAAAACATAGAGATTGAAAGTAACTTAAATGTTGTACACGCGACCAAATGATCGCTTACACACGTGTTAATTCATTTTCCATATTATTAATCGTGAAAATGCCCTTGTACCATGCCTGACCAAAGTAAAACAACAACAGTGTATATCGACGAATCAGCTGGCCGTTACTCATAAAATACTATACTTACACACACATATATATAGAAGATCGGTGCAGCTTCCTTTGCAGCGCTCGCAGGACTTTCACATTTTCACCCGTACGAAAAATGCCCGGCATCGCCTGCAGATAAGACCTATGCACACACTATAAGATACACGAAGCGCAGCAGCAGCGGCGGCAGCGTGTTTCGCGACTTTTTTCCTTTTTTTTACTTTTTTATTTTATATATACTCCGCTCGTACGACGACGTCGTTGATTTTGTCCGTTTGGTGAATGTGGACGCAATACACACACACACAGACACACACGCATACACACAGAAAACGAGTCCCAGCGTCGGTGATAATTCACAGCTGATAATTCAGCAAAAGTGAAAGTGATTCGCGGTCGCGGCGTGAGAGCAAAGGAATTATAACTTGTTACTAAGTCGTCGGGACAGTATCAAACGCCGCATATATACACGCGTGTACACACGGCACACACACACAACGCGACGTGCATGTATATAAATTGCGATCGAGTGGGCGCGCGATGCATCGCAAGGGGCTGTACGACTTACTTTTGCCGATCGCACACGCCGCGTGTCTATATAAACGCGATCGGTGCGATGAATCGGCGATACGGCTAATTTCCACGCACACACAGCAGTAGCTATTGCGCGAATAATTTAATTAGTGTATACATTTTCGCAAATTATCGCGCTCCGCGTTCAGGGGCTCGCGCGAGCATTAAAACCGCGAAATAAGTCATAAATTTGTTCGCCGGCCGAGTAATACACTTTCGCGATCGGACGCGGCTATAAATAGATTTTGGGTTAGTAAAACCTGCTGCCGCGTACATGTAGCTGCACGCGAGCATAGAGCTATATCGTAATATAAAATATATATTCGCGCAGTTGTAAACAGTACATTTTATATGTATGCTGCCCCCAGTAACAATGACAAAAACACTCGCTTTCTATGGCACTTTATCATCTCGCGACTCTTCGCGTTGTATATTATAGTATAAACCTCGAGGCGGCCAAAGCGATCTGCTCGTCGAGCTTAAAATTTTGCGGATGAAAAATTGGTCCGATATATTCCGTCGAGGCGCGCGCACGTGCGATTAGCGATCGAAAGTGAAAGTGAATGGATCGAAGCTCGAGAGAAAGAGAGAGACTCCGACTTGTGCACAGACGCGCAATTGTCTCGGCGTAATACGATATAGCCTATGCCTATATGATGTATGCTCACCGAGATCGAGGAGCTCGCCTGCGTATATCATTTGTTTTGCGCAAAGACATATATTGCTTTACGATGCTAAAGGTGAAACGCGACTCGTTGTGATATAGCGCCCAAAGGATAATCGCTCGCCGGCTGATCGGTATCGCTGCGACAGACATTTTCCATGTCCTGAAGAAAATTGTTTCAAGGTTGAATCCTCGAGATCGCGTTCACAAACTGAGAATCGATTAACGCGATGCATTATAATACTGTAAAGTTGATCATAAAATATGAAAAATCATCGGCTAGCGTCAGGTTGAAAATCTTCGAAGAGGACGTTGCAGTATGGCTCGCTAGAATTTCGCATTGTCTGCAGATGTATGTACGGACTCGACAGAGGCTCCTCGCGATAGCCTCACATTAACGACGCGGCGGCGAGCGAGCGCGCGAGTTTGTTATTAAGCTTGCCAATTGTATAACAGAAAATGAGCATGAATTTCGCGTTATGTCATCTCGAAACTACGCAACTCGTCTTCCCCATTGTATAACGAATTTATAATTTAGCTACGGAATTAATCCTTTGTTGCTCGGGTAAATTTATTTATTTTTTTTTAATTTTGTGATTAAAAAAATTTTTTTTTTGTTTCAACGAAAGCAATGCAAAATCTTTGTCGTTTCAGTGGAACTCGCAGCGATTAAGCCCCCCCCGCTACGAGGTTTTATCTTCGCGATGTATAGCATAATTCAGTCGCGCGCGAAGCACAATGCGGTTGTTGCGGAGCCTCGATCGCGACTCGCTCGGATCGTTATACAGAAGACGCGCGCTCGCGTGAATCCGCACGTGACCGTTAATGACTGCACACACACAAAGTGCGTAAGATCGCCTCGTCATAATTAAAATTTATCATTTCTTCGAAACGACGAGGCGAAAAAAAATCTGTTTTTAAATTTCTCGAGCACGTCTCTCGGAGCAAAATATTTTGCGTTGGGCCATTATACTGTACGGCAGCCAAACATCCACACACACACACGTGACGCTTGCAAAATATTTTGATCCTTGAATGCAGATACATATACGTGCATGCGGAGCGCGACGCGTGCACTCGCGAGGCTAAAAATAGCTCCAAAACGACTGTTTGTGCGAGCGTGTGTGTGTGTTTGGGCCCTTTGGCCAGTGCGCGCGCGGGAACGATGAATCTCCCAAAAAAGCATCCGCTTACGCGAAACTGTATATCCTGCTTTCTTCCCTTTTGGGGCGCAAAAAAAAGGAGAAAAAAAAATTAAAAAATAAAAAGATGGGAGAGAAAATGGTTGAAACCTTAGCCCAATCTCGAAGAGAGCTACTCTCCTTTTCTCTCTCTCTCTCTCTCTCAAAAAACAAAACGTCAAAAAATACTAAGCGCATATATCCCCCACTTTTTTTATGCGTCTAATTCGGCGTATAGAGCGCGGTGCAGTCGAGAGAGTCGACACATAATACACTGCGCAGGCAGATTGTAAAATTTCTCTGTGGGTTTTGAAACAGATAGAGAAAAAGAAATGACAAAAAGCAGCGAGAAACAAAAAAAGAGGCAACAAAGTTGCACTATATAACAGCACACACAGCGCAGAGAAGTTCCAGCGCTGCTGCATCGAGTGCAATCATAGAGCATCTCTCGCCTGCTCGAAATGAGCCAGAGAAAGAGAGAGAGAATGAGAAGAACAGGTTTTTCGACCAAGCTCGAGTGAATTCTTGTCTTTTTTCGGTATAACGTATGATTCGATTGTATATTCGAAAAATATCCACTAGCTGCCTTTGTTACGCGTTGCGATTCTCTTCGTTAAAGTACCTGCTCGTCCACGTACATGTAACAAACTTATTACAACGTATCGTAGGCATAACGCGCGGGGCGTTATTAAATAGAAAAAGCCTCGAGTATGGTCAAGTGCGAAAAGTGTTGATTTATGCGTTTATTTTCGGCCGCCGATTGAGGATCGAGACGAGAGCTTGATGCGTTCGTGCGATTAAGGGGCCGCTATTTATAGCCCATATATAATGGCCGAGAGGCTCGAGAGTAGAGCCCGCGTTTATTTTACACGCATAACGCGTGCATATTTATTATTATTATACTCGTTGCTGCGCCGGGAGTCGTTGATAAGAGAGCTCGGATCGAGCCTCGAGTCTGTTTCTAATGTCCAAAAAACTGCCGGGACGCGCAGACTAGCTGCTGCTGCGATCGTATCAAATTTTACGCTCGCGTCCTGTAAAAATTCGAATGCTAGAGCAGCCGGTCGTAACGACGCCCATCGTCGTCCCGGAGCTGCAACGTAAACGACCAGCGATACGAGCAAAAAAAGCGTCTCTGCAGCGAGTGTTGCACGCGCGCGCGTATCGCGTTTCGGTTGTAAAATGTTTTGCCTTTTTTCTTCGTGTGGCTTTTTTGGCTTTTTTCGGGGGTCGAGCCCACGACTCTAAAAATCATTTAAATGAGCCTGTGTCACGTTAAGGGCGCTTGTGGGGGGATTGAATGTCAAGGTCCCGCACGTGGATACGTACGAGGCACACATAATGGCGTACAATTAAATTTCAATACGAGCAATAAATATATCTGCATTCGTGTACTGCAGGCAGCCAGATGAACGACTCGAACGTCTCAACTCGAACGACCACGAAGGACGATTTAGCCAATCCATGCTTTGCCCGATAAGATAGAATGTGGAACCGCGGTTAAGTTTGCGCGAACTAGCGTAGTGCGCCTGAGTGTATAAAGGATAATTCTTGAGCGCGGCAAACGAAAGTGAAAGTAAGTAACAACAAATCGTACATGTACGTACGGCTGATCGGCACAAATCGGCAATAGGCCACATTTGTCGCTTACAAATATCTGTGCTTTCATTCCTCGCGGTATAATCCTTATTCTTCGGACAAGCGATCTTCGGAATAGCTCTAAGCGCTCACCCAAGGGTGGGTATAAACTCTCCTCGCGACTATTGTTCTCTCGATCGTGTTTCTCTCTGCGGCAGTAAGTAAGCGCGGCAATGGTACACATATGTACGCGCTCCGAAGATGTAAAGCGGCAAGGTCATCAAACCTCGAAGCTACTTGACTCCTTCCGCAATTGTCGTGTAGTAGTAGTGGTGGTGGTGGTGTACGTATATAGCGCGTGTAAGCGGGGACAAATTGCCCATCATCATTAGGGCCTGCCGCCGTCGCCGCCAACGCGCGCGCCTCGCAAGGCAGCAGCAGCTCGTGCTCTTGGCCATGAGAGCGAATTATTATCACAATAGGCTTACATGCACCGCAATGCTGGCGCGTCTTTCTTTTACTGCCCACTTGCTGCGGCAGTCGCTTTTTGCTCGTGCGTATACGTACCGCGCGCAAAGACGAGCCTCTCCGAGAGTCAGCACGAGCCTTATATTATCATCCCGGCGCGTATTGAGTTTTTTCAAGCCGCGTATATAGTCAAGGTCAGGGTCGAACCACGACCTTGAGATTCTCTTTCATCTCTTCTTCTTCTTCTTCTTCTTCAGCTGCTACTGCTACTGCTGCTGTTGCTTCTTCTTCTGCTTCTTCTTCCTTCCAATCGTCCTCCACCTTTTCTTATTCTTCTTCTTTTTTTCTTTTTTCTCTTCTTCTGTTGTCAAATTAAAACTGCAGCTCGAATTGCGTGCACCGAGCGTAACATATACACGCGTATAAATATATGTAATGGTGTCGAAGCGCGCCTACTCGAGTTTTACGGGGTTGTTTTTACTCAACCGACCGATAAATTTCAATGTCGCTCGCCAGTAGTTTCCAACGATTACGCGAACCCACCGGTGAAATCTACGATAACGACGACGATGACAACAAAAAAATGGAAAAAATAAAATAAAATAAGCCAACTCCAACGTTGACGACGACCTCCATGATCTCGGGGAGAAATTAGCGACGTATCATTATTTATTGTTGTTACATTAGATGGTGATATTAGCTTTTATTAGCTTACAATTATTGCGTACTCATTGACCGCAACGAGTCGTCGATGCACTTACACTTTTGTATCTATGAATATTACGTAAGATCGGTAAGATATAGCCGCACCATTTGCCGCTGCGGATGTTTTCAAATGCATTATAAATTGGCAAGCGTGTATCGGCCACTTTTTCGGCCTATTGACTCGCTTGCAGATCACACGCACTTACACAAATGTGGTGCACGTGTGATACCACACCCCAAAATGCGTTGTTTACTTAGTATATATATTTTTTGCTTGCACTTTTCGCCGGAAACTGACTTTCTTCTATTTTTTTTCACACACGGTATTTTTTTTAGCCACAAAAAAAACTTACCACGAATGTACTTGCGCATCGGCCCTGCATACACCGGAATTTATAAACATAAGAGCCTACCGCACGACTCGAGTGTGTGCGCGCGCGAGAGATCGTTTGCCGTTGCGAACTTGCGAGCCGCATCGCGTTCGTGCCCATACACGCGATCGTCGACCGATTTCGTTGTTATTACTAAGTGCGCGCGCGTCTGTGTGAGTGTACGTATTCTCGTTATGCCACGCACAAAACGTACTCACACGTGATTTATACATCAATAATAACATCGGAGCAGGTCGAACGATGGTAGCAGTGCAATGCAGGTTCGCCGAAGCCGCGCGTGATGATGTCACACGTAATGTAACATAATACACACACATATATTGAGAGGTAGAAAAAGCATTATACAATTTGTGGAAAAAGGCATCTCTCGACTGTTTAGCGAGTGTCGAGCTCGATGTGCACGTTTGAAAAATACGTATATGTACGTACTGGGGTGCTGCTCAGCTCGCGCAGTTGTGTACGTGCACTGGTTAACACGCATATTTACTTGCAAATTTCGCGCGGTGCGAGGCTCATCCCATTTCTTTCTTTTATTCTTTGCCTTCTTTTTTTCCTCTCGTTTCGATGTGATTCTGGATAAATAAACGCGTACTTTTGCCTGCACCGGCCACGGACGCTCGTATCCACATGTACGTATAGTTTCCGTCTCGCTCTTTGTCTCGCTCTTTCGCGCGGCTGCAGCAGCTATTTCTCTTTCATTGCTCGTTCACCTGTCGACGCACACGTATATAGTCTCTCTCTCTCTCTCTCTCCTTGTTCGTTTCTTCATCCTTATATCTCAGAGTTGCACTCCTCTTTTTATCTTTCTCTCTAAGAGTAGTATAGCAGCTACACACGTAAGATCTCGACTATGTGCAAGAATGCTCTGATTACGATCTCGCATACGTAAGTGTGTGTGTGCGTGTATGCGGTAAGAAAAAATGATTACCTATAGGGACAAAGCCGCGAGCTCGCAGACTTGCCCTCCCCGAGTCTGCGCCGCATAGAGCAACAGTAATAGAAACAATAGTATATGTATATTATGGTATTCCCATATATATACTCGCACAGTAGTAGAAAGAGGGAGGAGTAGATATATACACGGAGAAGCTACAAAAAAGGGCCTACATGGATGGAGTACTAGTGTGTGTGTGAGTGCGCGCTATAGGAGAAAACGAAGGATAGAGGAGAGAATGATAGAGAGTGAGAGAAAGAGAGAAGGCAAAACCAATAGCTAGCTCCTCGCAGACGCACATGCACTCACGGACGAGAGAAAGAGGAAAAGCAAGAAGGCAAAGAGCGAGAGAGAGAGAGAGAATATAATAGGCGATCCTTGCCAGGAGCGAAGATGCGCGCGGCTGCCGACGCTGCTACTGCTGCTGCTGCTGCTGTTTCTACTGCTGCACATCCGCGAAGGGTCAGAAAAAGAAAGATAGAAATAGCGCGCGCGCGTGTGCTGCAGCAGTACACCGGGGAAAATCGCCTACATCTCTTTCTCTCTCTCTCTCTTGGCGAGCGAGCGCGAGTCGGAAAAATAATTAGAAGTAATGCTAGTGAGTGCATATATATATATACAGGCAGCTGCACTCGCACGCGGGCATGCGGCGGTATGTACGCGCAGAACCTTACGCACACGGACTGCACACATGCACACACATATCGACTGCAATTATTACGTACGCGAAGCGTGGAAAATCGAAAATGCAGAAACAACGACGCCGAGCGCAAAAGTTGAGGAGTAAATAAAAATCCGAGTGAAAATCGAGCGCGTGCCGTACGGATGCGGATAACCTTTGCCAAGGATAACGATCGGTATGGCATAAATATCCTAGGACTCGTATAAATCAAGACGAAAATTATTCATTTGCACGGATAAGGAAAAAACAAAATATCGAATTCGAATGAAAGAGAGAGTGAGAGATGAATCATTAAATAATTTACATCTCTCTTGTAAAATTCCACATATATTTTTCGGGCCTCGAGCGCAGCTCGAATGTGTAAGAAAACGAATTATAAAAGCAAAAGTGCAGTCAGGTAAGCAGCAGGACACATCGCGTGCGCGTTTGCAGAAAGAATGGTGAATTTTCGAGTTAGCGACGACGACGACGACGATGATGAATCAGATAATAAACAAGAGAGCTGCCTACCGCAACGATACACAATAATATACACGCACGCGCGCGGGGACTCGCTCGAGCTTTTATTATTTATTTTACTTTTTAACGCACGCGCGCGCACAAAATACGAAGATAAACAATGCACGCGACACGACCGAAAGAACGAGAATTATATGTATCCGAACATCGGTGGGGATATTAATCGGCGAGGAGCGCGTTTTATTATTATCAATGCACTTGACACATCGAGAGGATCAACGATGAGGAATCGCCTCGCGCACAATGGTGAATCACCTTTATTTCGCTCTTTTTTTCATCCACAACTAATAACTTTGAATTAAAACGCTATCGATCGCCTGTATCGATGTCATTGATCGACTAAAGTATACAGATTGCTTGGGAGGAAAAAAGCTGCGCGTCGAGTGCACCTTATACCGCCCCGCGCGTACATATACGTCGCTCGCGAAGGCGCAACCCTCATTTGGCGTTCGTATCACTGGTTGAACAACGGAGTGAGATAGAGATAGCGAGAGCTATAGACTGAACGTTTGTTTTCGAAGCGCCCCACACACACAGACGCGCGTGCAGTAGACGCATTGGGTAAATGTGTAAGGTACACAGCAGTCAAGCACAGGACAGGTACGATTCGCGCGCTCATGCACACACACACACATACTCGTACATCTCTCTCCGTCTCTCTTGCTCGGGCTCTCTCACTCTTTTCTCTCCCAACATTCTGCAGCAGCAGCAGTTCTCTCTTGCAGCTCAGCGGCGGACAGCAGCAGCAGCCACAGTAGTAGTAGTACAGTAGTAGTAGCAGTCTTGTTCCTTCCTTCCTGGCGGAACGTGGTGCAGCACTCGAGGCGCGCTCGAGATCGGCTGTGTGTGTGCAGCTATAGCTGCTCCGTGTGCACAAGTGCGTCGGGCCGCGAGTAGATCGCGACGTGCACACGTTTATAATATATATATTATACACGTTACTGGAGCTGCATCGCGCATCGTTGATGCCAGTGCCAGCAGCAGCAGCAGCCGAGAGCTCGGAGGAGCAGCACAGCAGCAGCGTTATTATGACGAGTTCAGTGCGCGATAACGCTACCGATCGAGCTTAGCCCGCCGCGCCGCTCCTCGGCAGGCACACGATTCGATCGACAAGGGTATAAAGGGCAATCGTTATTTTTTACTCGCGCGTTTTCGCGAATTTTTTTTTCTTTTTTTTTCTACCTACGCACGGAGAAAGAATATAGAGGGCTGTCGAGATGAGGGAAGCTGCGCCGACGGGGCCTCAGTTGCCCGCAGTGGTCGCTACCGATCATCGAGCCAAGACCAACGATGTCGTTAACAACAATAACAACCACAACAACAACAATAACAACAACAACAATAACAGCGTGATCGCAACGAATCACAACAACAACGTCGACGCGAAAAATCAACAGCAACAGGTGTCGGCACAGCAAAGCGCGAAAACGTGGAAAGACATGGGCCTGCGAGAAAAGGCCAGGTTCATCGCGCGCAACATCACCGTGGAGCCGCTCGTCGCCCTGTACATAATACCCTCGGTTCTGGCCGCCCTGGCCACCCAGAACCTCAACCTCGAGAAGGCCTGCAAGGTGAACCTCGGCTACTCCGACCTGGTCTGCGCCTCGCTCTCGGCCCGCAACACGAGCGGCTACGCGCACGAGGAGGCGGCCGTCCAGGGCCTCGTCGCCAGCATGCAGACCTGGAAGACGGCCCTGCAGAGCTTCTTCCCCTCGATCCTCATCGTGTTCATGGGCGCCTGGAGCGATCGCACGGGACTGCGCAAGCCCTGCATGATGCTGCCCATCGTCGGCGAGTTTCTCACCAGTGTCAGTCTGCTCGCCTGCACCTACTGGTTCTACGAGCTGCCCATGGAGGCGGCCGGCGTCTTCGAGGCTCTCTGGCCGGCGCTCACGGGCGGCTGGTTCACCATGATCATGGGCACGTTCAGCTACATCGGCGACATCACGAGCGTCGAGTCGCGCACCGTCCGAGTGGGCGCCGTCAACGCCTTTCTCAGCCTCGGCGTGCCCATCGGCATGGCCCTGTCGGGCGTGCTCTACATCGAGCTCGGCTTCTACGGGGTCTTCGGCATCGCCACCGTCTGCTACGTGCTCAGCTTCCTCTACGGCCTGCTGGTGATCAAGGAGGCGCCCAGGTCGCGCGAGCTGCGCAAGAGCCTGAAGGCCGCCAAGCTGGCGTCGAACGCCCAGGACCTGGAGGCCGGCGTCAATTCCACACGAAGCTGGTGGGCCGAGGTGCGCGACTTCTTCGCCCTGAGGCACGTCAAGGAGACCTTCCGGGTGGTGTTCAAGGAGGGCCCGAGAAATCGACGCAAGCGAGTCATGGTCCTCATGATCATCGTCATGGTGCTCATCGGTCCGATGTACGGTGAGTGAATCGTCGCTCGCACCCACCGCGCGACTACGTAATTCATCCTCGCGTCAAATCGCTCCCCCCCGCGTGATTTCACCGATGCGTCCATGAACGAATTTCATGAAACTGACTGGCAAAACTATTTTCGTACGCGACAATGTATATTATCCTTTGGAAATAGAATCATATTTATAAGGCTGTCAGAAGCCGAGGACTGGCTGTACCGACTGGCTGCGGCATATATCTATGATATATACTTCTACATAATAATACATAACGCACAAACGAAAACGTCATCACGCCGCCGCCGCCACCGCTGCTGCTGCTGCTGCTGCTTCGGACGATTGAATAAGTGCAGCTCGCGCGATGATTCCGCAATTCGCCTAGCTTCGAGCTCGTGCTGGTCTTTTCAAAAGCCTCTGCTCGTATTTTTTTTAATATTTTTTACACCTATACAGACACGTACATATAGTCGTTATATATATATGTGCAGCGCGCGGCATCAAGTTCACATTTTCCGCAAGCGCTGCGGAAATTTTTTAGCAGCGACGCGACGATCGCGCAAAGTCGAAACGAATCATTTCGTTTCTTTTTCTTCAATTCGCTGCTGATATATATATACTGTTATAAAGTAGGACTGTGCATGCACACATAGAGACACACGCGCTTAAACGCCAAGCCAAGGAATTGAAAAGGACGCGTCCGTACGCGCGGCAATTGTAGTTCATGCCGATGCTCTATGACCTCGATGTTAATTACGATATTATAATACTTTCCCGTTTTCTGCGGAGTGGTTTTATTTCACATAAGACAGGAAGCCGGTCGCATAATATATATGTACGAATGAGCTTCGCGCTCGCGCGCGCGGCTTCTTCTTCTTCTCCTTTCCTTGTGCTGTGCTGCGCTGCCTGCACTGCCGCTGCCGCTCGCTGCTGCTATTGCTTTTAATTAATGATTTTTTGTCCGAATCATGATAAATTAGTGCGTCGACTCGCTGCTTTTATATTAACAATACGACGATCCATCGTATTACCGAGAACTTCTCTCTCTCTCTCTCTCTCACTCGGTGTTTTTTTTTCACTTGCATTCTTACGCTTATAATGAATGAGATGCTCCGTGTTCTGTCGATGCGTTGAGAAAAAGAGAGAGAAATAAAAAAAAATAACAGATTTGATAAAAACGAGGAAGCGAGGAAACAAAAAGATTACAATCCTTAACGATATGCAGTGTAAAACCGAAAAACCGCAACGCGTAATTCTGCGTCGTTGAAAAAAATTGAAACAAATCGTTGCGCCGTCCGCCGGTGCTGCTGTAGTTGCTCGTTTCAAGGATACATATACCCACACACACACTTTACGATTAAATTTGAAAAAAAAACAAAAGAAAATTGCCAAGCTCGAGTGGAGACAATAATCAGCGGCTCTCGGAGCAAACGAGATCTCCGCCAGTGCGTGATTCCAAGCGCCGATTTTACATAGAAATCGAAAACCGCGAAGAGCGAGAGAGAGAGAGAATAAACCTTCGATTTCCTCGGTGCTTTATTATGGGCAACGATATTGAATGTTTCATCGTGACACAAACATTATTATGTACACACGAGGCACAATATAATATATAATGACGAAGGTGTCGTTCAACTTTCGTTTCCGTTTCGCCGACTGTAACGCGCGATCGTTAACACGAATATATAATGCGATATACACATCGGCGAGACGTTAACTCTCGATCTCGCTCATATACACACACGCGCGCGGCAGACGCTTTATACCGAAAGCAGGTCAAAGTTAAAATCTCCAACGACGTTATAACGCATAAATAACATTAACGAAGTCTTTTTTTTTTTAATCCGCAATTTGATATAATGAAGTATATTTTAACGGCGCACGGGGGTTAGCTTGCACGCGGTTCTCTCTCTGCATGTAGTACTGCACACACACATGCACATACGTACTATGCGCGTGCTAAAACTGTGTCAGGTCTTGCTCTTGAACCCGTTTTTTCGCGTTAGAGGTCGCGCAGCTTCCTCACTTGCTCTCGCTTTTACGCTCACTCTCCCATTCGTATAATGTATATTGTATACATTATGTACTCGGCATAAACATGAACTGCAGTGCTGTGCTTACGAGTACGTGTGTATGCGTTTTCAGCTTTAGCTACACAAGTGCCTATATAACTTTTATAATACATTGACTATTTACGATGTCATTGCCACAATTCGCCGTGTGCAACTGCACAGCCGATCGCGGAAACGATAACGCCGACCGAGCGGCTGCGAGATTCGATTTTTACGAACTCAACTGCGAGGGAGGAAAAAAAATTGCTACGACTTGATTTTTCTTTACTATGAGATTTTGTTTTTGCTCCTACAGTGAACTGCCTTGATATATACGAGGCGCAAGCTGTAAAACGACAGCAAAAAATAATTCAATTTAACGCCGTCTGCATAATCCAATATCGTTTTAATCTATTCTTTTTTCCCTAATAAAAGGATCGTCTTCCAATGGTAAAATATTCACTATATAAAATTAAAGTTAACTCGATGTATACTTTGCTAATGTTTGATAGTAATTATCACGATGAATAATTAAGATTACAATGAGTAAAAATCAACAGAGACTGCTTTTGAACAAATATATCGGCTCTTACGGACGTCATCTTCTCGCGCGCTTTTTACTTTACTTTGTTGAAATCGATTATTCATGACTTTTAAGTGAATAATCATCCAAACTGAAAATTCAATGATGCGTTTAAACTTGACAATGAAAAAAAAGAGAAAAAGAAGAAAAAAAGCGCGTTTCGAGACAAACAATCGAATCGGCCTCTCTCGTGAGTAACAAAAGTAAACGTTCGACTGCTGCACATAAAGAAGATGCACACGTGATAAATGTGAATTAATCTCAATCGAAATCGTGTCCGAACGATCTTGCGAAATTCTCCCTCGTGTTTACCTCGAATATAAACAGAGACGGGCGTGAGCCAAAACAAAAACCCCATAAATAATAATAATTCGTTTATTGCGCTCTCGTACATATATTATACAGACGTGTTTACACACCACCTCTCGCGATCGCGGGAGCTCTCATAGACTCTCGATCTGTGTGTGTGTGTGTGTGTGTGTGTGTGTGTGTACGTGTATACGCACGCATGCAACATCGGGCATATTTCGCGAAGAGGGCGACCGGACTAACCGGTTTCCCGCGCTCGTGTGTATTTATGCGTTTGTGCGCGCACGCGAGCGCGCGAGAGCGGAAAAAAAAGGAGCGCACGAAAAACCCTTTTACGAATAGATGCACTACGCGAGCTAGATCGTACGACGTAGTAAAAGCGACGAGCGATGAGGAAAAGTTCGATCACCCATTGTGATTTTCGCGTAAGACGACGAGACCGTAATTGCGTCGAGCGACGATAACGAAAGTGAGGCAACGAACGAAATGAAGTAAGAGTGAATAGAGAAAATGGATTTTCAATTCCGAAGCAAGTTCATTAAACGTGTTTGGCAACTCGGCGATACGTATACCCGCAGCGTTCTCTACATTCGTTGCGATTCTCAATGAAACTTATACCGATTCATCGATTACCGATCGCTATTTATCATTGCGCCAGCGCACCTATCGACACTGCCGCACGTTTTGAGGCCTCTTACACTGTACAAATACAAAGTTTCATTTTATCGATCATTGCCGTTATTAATTATTCGGAATATTATTTCAATCCTTTTTTATCTCTCTCTTTCTCAAAGTTTATTAACGATATATTAAAGCGGCATGGAAAATTTCATTATTGAGAAATCACTCGATTTCCAAAAATCGACGACCGAAACGAGTTTTGTCCCGTGCATACGCTTAAATACGCCTCGCACAAACAAATCCCTACAAACCCGTTAACCCGAAAGTGTGACACTTTCCTTGTCAACGGGTGGCGGCGGTGCGGACGACGTAATAATAATATCGCTGTGCAGCCTGCACTGCATGACGGGCCGCACAACGTGCACGGCTCACGTGCGCCGCTGCGCTGCACCTCGTATTTAAAACAACTTTCTATGTGTGTGCACACTTGGCGCTGGCTGCCGCGAGACACATTCGGTGTACACGAGTATACTTGTATATTATGATATGAAATTTATACGATGTGCACTTTTGCCGCTATCTGCATCGACTGTAAACCGTGTTTGTTTTGAGTATCGAGATTTCGTTTCACTGCGCGCGACCGATCGAGTGGGCCGCGCAGCTCGTACATTTACTTCGGTGACGATAAAAACAAAAGTTTCGAGATTTCGGTGAAAAAGAAAACGACTCCCACGTTGATTAACTAATTTATTAAAACATCACCGTTAAGAGAATTAATTGGGAATAATCTATTTGCAAGTGCGTTGAGCTAGCACGTGTGATGCGTTATTATGCAAGCCACACGTGCTCCTCGGTAACGTTTATTTTCTCGTATAAGCGCATTGTAATAATTGATTGCAATGATTGATCGTCGTTGTGACGTTTAATTTTGTTAATTTATAAATATTTTCGAAGATTTTGTCCAAGTCATCCTATCGACCACAGGATAGGGAATGTTTGTTGCGTCAATTTTCAAGTTTTTGTGATTGCAATGCAGTTATTACCGTATGATTAATGTTCTCGCGTGTGGCTGCAATCAAAAGAAGCCTTACTCACGCTTTAATCGATGCTCGATTTTGTTCGATACCTTACCGATCGCCAACCGATTTTTGTAAAAGCAACGTAAAGAATGACACGGGATGGAGCAAACGTTATCTAGAATAATTTTAATGCAACGAGAACATAAAGAGATGAAAAAAATCGAGATCGTATTAAAAACGGAAGCTCGACGAGTGAACTACCTGTCCCCAGAGTATGTACATGTGTGTATGTGCAGCCGGCGCTGCGTGTTTATAGATGTATGTCTGTTTTGCCGCGCTGTAGTAAGAAAATAACATCCTGCTTTTCTCTTTCCTTATATTATGTATTATGTGCTATATTATAAACGCGTCGCATTTATGTACATATATACCTGTTGCATCACAGCCACCGCGCACATGTATACGATCGCACTCTAGCGTCGTCGTCGTCGTCGTCTCGCGTAATATCCCGCGAACCTCGATATCGTATATAGGTTGATTATCACCAATTTTACGTCAGTCTCTTCCTCGCAAAAGAGAATAATGAAAAAGCCGCGCTGCACGAGATCGGTATCTCGCGTGCCGCGGCGCGGTGCAGCTCGTCTGTGTATAATATAATTGCTATGCGGTAGATACGTCGAGTTTTGTGCAAAATATCGCGATTGTTTAACGACTTTGAGCTCGTCGAGTACGCGCGACGATGATGACAATTAATTTTGCTGAAAATTCGTCTTTAATTTAATGTCCACAGGTGAGATGTCGGTGATGTATTTATTCACGAGATATCGATTCAATTGGAACGAGGTGCAGTTCAGCTTCTTCTCGACCTACAGCATGGTCACCAGTCTCATTGGTAAGTCCGCGCGTGTGAACGTATTTTTTCTTCTTCCATCCGTTCGCGTAAAAAATTAAGAATATAAAAATTTGAAGATACGATATTCGACGAGTGAATATTGCGTAGCGGGTGACCAAGCGCGAGAATAAGAACATTAAAAGATCTGATTTCAAGGGAAAATTCCTCAGGTACATTGTTCATGGTGGGCTTCTTCAGTCACGTTTTGAAAATGGACGACGCGATGATCGGCGTCCTCAGTTGTATCAGCAAGATCCTCGCGGGCTTCGTGTACGCCTTCGCGACAACCGACATGTTGATTTACATTGGTAAGAGCTAATTCAACCGATGAATCTTTGGTGCATATAACGATACAAAAATAGATGACCGATGATGTACGTTTACAGCGCCGCTGGTGGAAATTATCAGCGGGACTTCTTTCATCGTAATGCGATCGATAACGTCGAAGCTGGTTCCACCCGAGGAGTTAGGTAAGTTGACGATATTTCTGTGGATTGTGTTTATGCGCCATTCCACAATTTATCTGACAAATTTTTTAATTTAAAACGTGCTCAACTTTGCTTGGAAGCTTGCAATGAACATTACTTATTGCTCTTGGATATCTTAGGAAGCTAAAAAAAATTAACCATCTAAATTTCCATAGATATTTTTGGTACACCTCTTTCTACCAAAAAACAAGTTTTTTAGTGATACAGATTTTTTCATGTTTGAGTATGCTACAAGTCGGCAACTCCTACCCTCACTCTTCCCTCGACTTTTTGACGCGAAAATGTAGGCAATGCGAGTCTCTTGGAAATTATCATTGAAATAATACATTTTTGCAAAAAATATATATCAACAATTATTTAGTATAAATATTTATATTTATAGTTGGCGAATACATAAAGTATGTAAGAAAATAATTTAAAAAACTCTGGTAATTGTAAGCTTTTATTTAAAATAATATATTTCCTTGCTCTCGTTGGATAGTTAGATGATGTAACAAAGAAAAATACTTCAAGATGAAAGTATTCTAGAATTAAATTCTAGTATTAAGTAGTATAATTTCGGCGAGTTTGAGACTTGAAAAAGTGTTACTAAAGCATGAGATTGGTCAATGTTTCTTGGTTCAAATTTGTATCAGGCATGTTTGGTTGTGACTCGAAATCTTCACATTTATGAACAACTTCTTCATGATTTATCCAATGGACACGGTGCATGTCACATGCAAAAACTTTTCCGCCATGAGCAAAGTAAGGTAGTTAATGAAATTCCTTCGCATGCAAAAATTCCATCGCATCTACCACATACTTAATCTTCATAGTTTCTCATTTGCGAAAATATTTTGTGGGAGAGTGAGGAAATTGGGCACTTGTCTGTACAAATCATCGCTTTTGTTCAATAGGTTATAAGTTGGAATTGTATCGACTGTTTCTTCGGGTTTCCTCGGATTCCATGTATTTTCAGATTTGTTTTCACACTTTTTGCGTGAGTAATCTTTACAATATTCGAGAACTAGCTATAGATCTACTAATTTTTGGTGTGTTCTCAAATTACTTGTGAGCCCAAATATCCTCTCGCAATTATTGCATGCGTAGTTTTTTCGACCTTCGCGAGATTCTTGTTGGTGCCAAGGCAAATGCCCTTTTTGCCCAAATTTCTGCTTGCCATTGTCAAATGCAAAATCTTTCCGACCTTCATGTACCGTTTTTTTATGTCTAATCAAAGTGCTTTGAGACCCAAATTTTTTCTTGCAATAGTCGCATTCGTAATCTTTGCGACCTTGATGTACTGTCTTTAGATGGACGAGTAAATGGTGTTTTTGTCCAAATTTTTTTTCGCATTGGTCACATGCATAATCTTTACGACCTTCATGAACTGTTTTTTGGTGTATGAGCAAATTATGTTTATGTCCGAATTTATTCTTGCACTTGTCGCGGGTAAACGGCGGGAGTAACTATGACTCTGAGGAGGGCGTAATTGCACTCAGGCTAGTTACTTATCCCGATACCTCGACACGTTTACCCTTAAAACGCCGGCCTGGTATTCGATCTCAGTCTTAGGCTTGGCGGTACCCCTGGTCGCCTTGTACGGAGTGAGTAAAGTTTCGTACGGTCGGCGTAAGTGCAGAGCGAGGTAGGAGATTTTGATTTCCGTCCCGGAACCGAACGGGAGCTATACAGAAACGCGTCTGTCAATGGCAAATTCGGTACCTCGGGATAGAGTGGTGCCTTGGCGTGGACAGCTACACGCCACGCTCTTTGAATGGTGTTGGACTCGAGGGGGCAGGCGGTTTCGCAGTAGGACAGTTTCGGTCTCGTGTTCAGGGAATGCGTGCATGTCCTTGCGACCGGTGGAAATCCGGGCCGTGGTCTGGCGGTAACGCGCCCTTAGGGGAAACACGCGTTCCGGACCACGGTGGGTAGCCGGCGACCCTAAGACGCCGAAATGTCAGTCACTGGTATGGGGCGGTCGAGGTTCCGAAGCAATGAGCTGAGTTCTGTGCCTGGGGTGGCTAGGCAAGTATGGGTGGACTTGGGCACCCTAGCCCGGAGGCCCTGTGATCTCTAAGTGAGAAGGCGAGCTCAGTGATCCTTTTGGCGAGTGGCCGTCACGAAGATCGAACGTTCCGACGCCATGGATTGCCCGTGTGAGGTGAAATCCGAGCACCGAGCGCGGGTGGCACAGTGTCGATGAAGCGTCGGGCTTGGTCCCTGCTGAGTGTTAACTAGGCCAAAGTTTCCGAACAACCCCGGCCGAAGTGACTCGATGAAGCACGGCCTTGACTAGTAGCAGAGCTCTGGTGCAGAAAGGGGGGGGGGGGGGCTAAACGCCCCCTCCCTTTCAATCCCCCCCCCCGTTCGGTCGTACCTATGACTCTCGTAAGTGTCTAATCAGTTTCCAATTCATCTCAAATTTCTTTCCGCACTTGTCGCATACGTAATCTTTGCGACTTTCATGAACAAACTTTTGGTGTCTTAACAAAGTCGATTTTGTACCAAATACTTTTTTGCATTTACTGCATGCAAAATTTTTGCGTCCTTCATGAACTAACTTTTGGTGTTTGATCAAATTCGATGTTGTACCAAATACCTTTTTGCAATTATCGCAAGCAAAATCTTTACGATCTTCATGAACAAACTTTTGGTGTCTAATCAATTTTGATTTTTTTTCAAATGTTTTCTCGCACTTGTCGCATGAGTAATCTTTTTCTTCATTTTGATTTAGATTTTCTTGTTTTATTATGCTTGATTTTTCTGTTAATTTTGACTTACAAACGTCGAAAACGAGGTTTTCGTCCGTTGAATCATTAATATTGCGCACACCCAAGTTATATTTTGAAACTTGCTTAGGTTTTTTCTCACTTTTATGCATTTTGGTACCGAAATGAAACAACGGATCCTCCTATCTCGTATTACAGAAATTGGAAGAGTAAAATTTATCTTTTGACGTTAAGTCTTGTTTCACTGATGAAAACAATACTCATACTAATTTGTTTGGCTATAAACATTTTCATTTATTAAGGAACAATAATAAGATTGTTTATGTGCAGACTGTTCACAATTAAGGCACAGATTTATTTGTTTACATTTTATACTTTTATAATTGAATAGCTCTACGCAACACATGAAAAGAAATTGTCTGTATTGGCAGCCTTTATACTTTTTATACGAATAAAAATTTTCGCAATAATAAAAAATTCATTATAATGAATTTGAGGGTTATGAAGTATTAAGGATCCATAGGTACATAAATCTTTAGAGGGCCAGGATTTCAGAGGTTTATCATCCACAGAAAACCGTCATAAAAAGTATCTTAAATCATTGATCGACCACAAGCAAACTGTAGAGCAGGGAGTGCGACAATATATTGATTTTTTGGGCTTTTATAGGTTCAAACGAACAAATGTTATTAAATTTTTCTAAAAAAGATGTTACATGCTACCACAGCCGAAACTAACATTCGACCTAAACGAGATTAATAGATTACGTGTTTAGGGAGCAAAAAAACTTGAAAACGTTAGAACACGTCAAGAAAAACGTTAGAATCCCTGAAGACGTAATTTACTATTTGATTTTACTATTTGATCTTTTTTCATTTCCATCATAAATGTAATAATCATGAACGATTTTTTCACTTTTTTCTATACTTTGAAATTATATTAATAATTAGAGGAAGTTTCCACTGCTTTTTATAAAGTAAAAAAGCGAACTTTGAAATTGTTAAAAAAATCGTTATTTTTAACGGGCACTAATATTTGAATGCCATTTATGCAAATGATATCCGCTTTTTCTCTTGATTTTTCGTGTTAAGGAGTCGAGAGGGAAGTAAAGGCAGTCACCGCGATCACTTCAATCACTCAAGTGTGGAAAATAACTTTTATTTTACTAAAAAACGTGTTTTTTGATAGAAAAAGGCGCAAAAATAATAACGATAAAAATGTGAATGGTCCATGCATTTTTTTAGCTTCCAAAGATCTCTAACAGCAATAACCAATGTTCATTAGAAGCGTCAGAAGAAAAAAAATTGGACAGTTTTTTAGCCGAAAATTTGGCAAATAAATTGTGAAATGGCTCATCTACTTTACTACTTGACTAGAGTAGATCGGGATTTCGCTCTTGAAATAGAAACATATCGCGTAATGTAATGTGGGCATGCCAAAGGAGCAGTAGCCCCCGTGTGATGTGACATTATTTGCGAAAAAACGTGTGGTCGGTACGAGCAACCACGCTTCATTATATTGGAATTACTAGAATGGATGTGTCGATGAAAAAAATGTAGCTAATCCTTAAAAATGTGAACGAATAGTGCGTCGAGATCGGGCTCACAGGTTCCGAAAAGTACCGAGTTTCTCACTTTTACCAAGAAAGCACAGTGTGGAACGGGAAGACGGGTAAAAGGTTATAAGGAGCAACAAAGAAAAGAGAAATGTCGAGCCCAAAATTCACAAAATTTGACGATCCCAAACAGGGGAAGAGAGTTCACTAGACTTCTTATCCTAATTATCTTATTTTACATTTCGTCAGACAATACAATGGCTTAACACGTGTTTTTCATTTGACTTTTGTAGGCAAGGTGAATTCGCTCTTCGGAGTTTGTGAGGCTATCGTTCCTTTGGTCTACGGACCCATGTACAGTTCAATTTACGCAGCTACCTTCGACAATTTTCCCGGGACCTTTTTCTTAGTTGGCGGTGGGCTCACCATTCCCGGTGTAATGGCATTTCTGTGAGTATTTTCGAGCCGCCCGATTTTTGATTTGAGAAAAACTGTCCACTGCTACGGACCCACGCATACGATTTAATATTTATTTTTGGCTTTCGTTTATGTACAACAATGCAAACGATCGCAGATGGCTTTACATCGAGAGCAAAAAGGACGAAGCTCTGGACCGAGAGCTGCAGCAGAAAAGCGAGAAGCAGCAGCAACTGGTCAAAGTCATGCCGGAGAATCGACTAGAGAACGGCTTGACGGCGCCGCCAGCGACAACGACGATGACGACGACGGCGGTACCGATGATACTGCCAGAATTGAAGTCCGAGTTCACGGGTATTGATAATGCCGCATTCGAGTCGGAAAAGCTCTGATGACGAGCGATTTTGCCATTGCGAAATACGCGACGCGATTATACATGCCAAAAAGTACGATTTAAATTCCAGGTAGAACGGAGCTGTGCGTGACATATTATTATGCATGGTTACATATTTTTTTGATGGTTGTGATAAGCACGATTGCATAAATGTGGGTGTTTGATTGAGTGATTGTGTTTTTTTTAGATATTATGGAAGTGAATATTATACGTTAAGTATTAAGAGAATGATATTTTTCTGAGATAAAAATTTTACGCAAACAATGCGTAAGTGCGATGTATTTTCATTCTCAAAAATACGCGATAAATATAAACGACACGTGCTAAGATGTAACAGAGATAGTAATAAATTTATTTTATAAGCTTTGGATATCGATGACGCCGATAGGTACTGTGATATAGCAAAGTAAGTATGGATGTTTATTTTACTGCGTAATAAGTAACAGTAACGACGTTCACATACTACAGTTACAACTTTTATTTTTGAGAGAGAAAAAAATTGGATGACAATAGTTTAAAAACGAAATGTTGTGAACATGAAAGAGGGGAGAACGTGATTTTTACTAATAAGACAATCATCATTTTTTGTGAGTGCAATAATTAATATAGCAGTAATCTAGAATAGTATTGGATGCTTTTGAAAAAAAGTTAATAAACAGTATTTTCATTTTAAAGTTTAGGGAGAGCGTAAAGTGGAATGAGTATACATATCTAAAAAAATCAACTGATTTGTAAGGCCAGATGCAAACTTTAAAATATGTAGATTATATAAATTTTGATTTTCTCATATTATTTGTACGTGCATTGTTGTAAATAATTACTAAGTACTTAAGTAAAAAATATGATCGCAATTTTTTTCATACTTTAAATGTCTTCGATAATCTACTGCTCAGGATTTAGATCGAAACCAAAAATTACTTTGTATTGAAACGATGATAATTTAAATAACAAATAATTCAATAATTTAGTAATAATAAATATTTTATAACAATTATAATTATAAAGTAATATGTTAAAATATGCGGCAAAATAAGTTTTTCTTTAAATTAAATTCTAGTGACACGTTCAACAGTGTTCATAATGAAGTAGTTTACTATTTTATAGATATCGCAATAATGAAAGCTTTGTAAGATGTGACAAAAACACGATTGTTAAAGCTTACTTTCAAAACAATATTTTTCACATCAATTTATTTGGTTTTATTATATTGATACACCATTAGAGGACTGGATTCCACATTTTGGTTTGAAAAATATCACCGATTGTCTTTAGAATAAGGAATCTCAACACCCCCTTATTGTTACATCTAGATCAAAAATATTAGAGGTATATGAAGTTAATATTTTTGTTATCACCAATACATGCCTTTACCGTACTGGACGCATGGTCATTGACCTCCAAAAATTTGACATTGATTTGATCAAATGCTATTGACTTCAAATGGCTGGAAAAAATTATTTTTGAAACTCCTTAAATACCGGTCCTCTAAAGATTAAGGGGACTCATTTGATGAATTAAAACATGCACAATCGAAACAAAATATAAAACAAATGATTCATTAGGTACTGTCTCTCCCACTGATTAAAATTTTAAAAAATATCGGTTTCATGACCAAATTAATAGCAAATGGGAAATGAAAATGTTATTTTAACTAGGTCTTTAATGGGAGGTTCAATATTTTCACTTGTAACTATTGCAAAAGGCCTGAGACTGGAACCAGAAAATTTTTTGATTAAAATATTGTAAGCTCTGCAGTAGTTGCATCGAATGAGCCTCCTTAATTGCAAATAATTTGTCATCATTACACATAAAAAATATCAAATGTACATCAATGGTTTTTAAAATGAATGTGAATTATAGTAGGAATGATTAACTAAAATTAAGTTTGTGAGTCATATCTTATTGCTTTATGTCAAAAATTTTTTAATTGAAATAAATTATGCGTAATAAAATATTAAAACTTACATTGATTTCTTTGTCTTATTTTTATCATAAAATTATTAAGTAATCGTGGTAAAAAAATAACGAAGTAACTCCGAGAAAAATAAAACAAATTATAATTCAACCCTTGTAAACACTTATTTGATCAAGACAAGAGTCATTTCATTTAAAATTATAAATTAAGGTAAGTTATTTTGAATAATGCTTTATTTGTCAATACATTGTTATTATTTTGGCACAAATTGTATACGTATAAAGCTTCAGTCATACACTATAGACTGATACAATTATAAAGCACTTAGTTTATTAATTGGTTAAATAATTGCACTTCCACAAAAGGCATTGTAGTAAATTGTGTAATCATAATGTAAGGCAGAATTCTCATTTTCAAAAAGGCAAGCAGTTCATAAATTTAAATTGCTTAAATTTAATGACGTAGACGTTCAATCCGTTAAATTTCATTATAGTCTTTTCTCAATAGGCAGTGTTAATATTTGTTAAAAAGAAATATTCACAGAAGACAATTAATCATCTAATCTCAAAACAGTCAATTGGCACATTGTTCAGAATCGCTAGTTATTATTCGGTAAGCTATCCCTGTTTAAAAAAAATCGTTGGATTTCCAGTTGAAAAATCGAGCAGGATATGACTGGAAATCGAACTCGATTTGACTAGAAATCGAGCTGTATTTGACTGGAAATCTAGCTCGATTTTTGACTGGAAATCCAGCTCGATTTTCGATCTGAAATCTAGCTCGAGTTTTGAAAATCCAGCTCGAATTTTGGCCTTAAATCTAGTTTGATTTTTGATCTGAAATCGATCGATTTCCAGTCCAAAATCGAGCTAAATTTTAGTCAAAAATCAAGCTAGATTTCAGTTTAAAAATCGAGCTGGATTTCCAGTAAAAAATCGAGCTAGATTTCTAGTCAAATACAGCTCGATTTCTAGTCGAATCGAGTTCGATTTCCAGTCTAATCCTGCTAGATTTTCCAATTGGAAATCCAGCGATTTTTTTTAAACAGGGATGATAACAAAACAGTTATCCTCAGGCCACAGTATTTATTCCAAGCTATAATATTAATATTAGTCTTTAAAGCAGTACAATATCTTCATAAATAGAGTAATATTTTAACGTTATATATTAATATTATCATTCTTTTTGTAGACATGAATAGTTTATCCTATTACTTTCATTAGATTGGTATTTATTACTGGTTATTTTTATGTTAAAAAACATTTAAAAATAAAAAAATGTATAATTGGCTTTTATCTTTTTTAACATGTCTTGAGCGATTGGTTTAAAAAACTAAGTTAATTATCACAATAAACAAATGTTTTAAACGTTAATGCACTTGTCGTCGCAAAGGCTTTCAATAAAAGGCTCATTAAATTCATTAGCTTAACTAATAAAATCCATTTTCAGAATTTCTTAATCCGTAATCTTAGATTGACATTAAGTTTATGTTTATAGTGTTTTTGAAAAAGTTCCAATAAATTTTTTACGGAGATAAATAATACTATTAATTTATGTAGAATAATCGCGATGAACAATCGGATTATACTGTTAATAAATATTTTCAATATTATTCTAGGAGTATAAGTTTACAATATATATTGAGTTAATTGCAGTTGGTAAATTATTATACCAAGACACACTTATATCAATTAAGGAATTGAATGAATGTTGTCAGCAAAATTACTGGGTTATTGTTGCACATAATTATAACTGCCTAATTATAGGCATAATACTTTCTTAAACTTGCACCAGTACATTCACTAAATTGTTAAAACGTTTCCAAAAGAATATCATGAATCTCTTATAAATATGTTTGTTAGAATATAAGTAAATACAAAGCTTTCAATAAATTAAAAATAGAAATTTCAGTTCAGAATTTCAAATAGAAATTCGTTCAGATCGAACTGAAGTATTGTCGTTTGTTATTTGAGAAAAAATGTCACAAAAGCAAAATATAATACCTATCCTGGAATAAAAGTTATTCATACATTGCATTATTATGCTTTAGTACATTTGTATTATGACGAATCACCTGGAGTATAAGTTCTAGTATCAGATTCTTAAACTAGTTTTCGGACCTGTGTCAGTATAATTAAGTTAAAATAATACCATTTTTTTCTCTGGCTAAAAACATTAAGAATAATACTAATATGCAATATATTAAGGCGCGTCATTTCATACGAATTGCATTAATGAAGTTGCATTTTACTGCAGTTGTGGTACAGAAAGTATATTTAATTAAATATTCAAAGTGATAAAAACTTCATTAAAAATATCAAGAACAACAAAAATCTTTCGAACGTTGAAGTAAAGAAAACAATAACTGTAAATAAGTAACGTGAAAAAAGTTGACTTTTTTAAATCGTTGTATACCATAAAAAATACAGCAACAAGATAATAATTGACTCTTTTGTACTGGTCAATGACCTCAGACATTGTCATGTTTGCAAGACTGGCATAAATGTCCGAGTACTGACACAATTACTTCCATAAACTATTATTAATAAATATTTTGATTATGTAGACAAAGATGAATTTGTTTGGAATGTAATTACTAGTCGTATCAATAATGATTCGATATTTCAAAAAGTAGTATATAGTATATTAATGTCTAAAGCGTTATCTTTTAAAACGGCTATTTTTAGACAAGATAAATTAAAAATTATGCGTTAACTCTTCTAATCAGAAATGTAAACTAAAATAATATCAACCTTTGTTTGTGGAAACTCCAAAAAAGTATACATTAAAAAATGAAAGTACTGAAGGACGGCTTAATCTGTTGTACGATAAGTAACGAACTCATCTTATCTAATTTTTCGTTTAAAACGAATATTTTGGCACCTCGATTTTAAAACCAATTTCATATGTAATTTTACTATGAATATTTTTTTTTACTTATTGTATGTACGTGTAAATTTTTAGATAAAACTGAAATTGCTCAAGTACTCAAAATTCGTGCAATGTTTCATTGAAAGAATCGTTCATAATCAAACATAACAATTACCGTTTGTGAACGTAAAAATTATTTACTTGTCTTGGATCAAATTTATTTTGTCATGGAGTCAGTAAAAATTATGTTCGATTTTGACTTGGTATATTTCGACTAAGAAATTTTGATCGTTGAGTACATTAAATTTTTTATGTTAAAAGATAAAACTTATGGATAATAAATCCATTTTTAGTTTTCAAAGTGGAATGTATCCTTTCAATTAACATGTCCACTTATCTGAGTACATATTATATTTAAGACTTAATTGGCTCAAAATGTAATTATCGATAGTATACAATGTATACTATGCATACATAATTGTAACATTTTTTGAATCAATAGAAATTCAATTTTTCTTTCACGTTTTCTACCAAGTACATATATGAATAAAATTTTAACTAAAAAAATAACGTGTGATATTTTTCTATAAAACAATACTGATTTAAATTTATAATTTTGATTAGACAAAAAATTTTTTGGACCGTTAATCATAAATTATAATGATTGCACAATTTTTTTTATCTTTGGATGCAAATGACTAATTTTTAACAAATCCAATTTGTAAAAATAATTTGTTCTCGAATAGTTGTATAAATTATGGATTGGCGTCTAAGTTTGAAAGTCGATAATTGAATATGTTTCGATCGCTAACTTTTTAGCCATTGATTGATGATGATTCAAAAGTTAGTCAGTCTTTGTTAAATTTAATTGATGTCACGATTAATGAGTACACACCCAATTGACATTCACAATGATATCGAGCGCATTGCGATGATATGAAAATTATTAAATACTAAAAGTTTCACTCATAACTCAAGAAGCGATGAATTTCATCAAAGAGCAAGAAACGCATCAAAAATGTACGTAAGAGTAGATATGTAGAAGTGATATATATTTAGCACATACATTTAAAATATTGCTTAGTTTTGAATGAATACGTGATAATTATAACTAGGAATCGATATGATGATTATATATGATAAAAACCGATACTTGATATTCAATGTAGATTGATATGATATTTTAAATTGAAAGTATTGGTTGAGATTCGAAATTATCAATAGGAACTAGTCACAAGCAATTATACTATAAGTTAAAGCCAATGATATTAAGTAATGATTTTACTCGTTTGCTGAGTGATTGATATAAATCTGACATTTTCAAACTTGGACGCCGCAGCCCGAAACAAAATAATAAGCACATTTGAGCGAGTGAGTTTCGCTCCCATCAACATCACAAAGCTATTCACTCGTGACGTGACATCGGTTGCAAAAGCAACTCTACGACAGACTGCATCGTCGAGGCTCGTTTAAAAAATTTGGCACGTCGATTCGTCGAGCCTCCTCCACGCAGAATCAAATCTGTCTTCGCTTAGAAGCAGTTCCTCTGATGGGTGCGCATGATGGTCTTGGTGACGAAGCCGCGGGTGCACCTGTCGCAGACGTAGGGCCGCTCGCCGCTGTGGTAGCGCTTGTGCACGGTGAGGGTCGAGCGCTGGGTGAAGTACTTGCCGCACAGATCGCAGCCGTAGGGCTTCTCGCCCGTGTGGATGACGCTGTGGGTGCGCAGCAGCGTGACGCAGGAGAAGCTCTTGTCGCAGACCTTGCAGCTGTAGGGCTTCTCGCCGGTGTGGCGACGCGTGTGGATCGTCAGGCCCTTCCAGGTCTTGAGCTCGACGCCGCACTCGGCGCAGAGGTAGGTGCGCTCGGGCCGGGGCTGACGGCCCGTCGGAGGACGGCCCGGTGGTCGGCGCGGGCCCTCCTTGGCGTTCTTCTCGATGAAGCCGCTCAGGTCGCTCAGGTAGCTCTTGGCTTGCTGTGGGAAAAAATTTAATTCCTCCTTGAAAATTATTCTGCTCGATTGTAAACAATTATTAGTAATATCGGTATTATTATTATTATTATTATTATTAATATTATTAGAATGCGTTGAGAATTAAAAAGACGCGTTCGATACGTTAGACAGTACTGAGTGAATCAACGAATTTCTGACATGTTTGTCAATTGTTTTGAAGAAAAAATGACAATTGCATGAATTTTTACGTCAACTCTTATAAGCTTAACCTCATTCGGAACAAAATTATCGGTTGAACCACAACTCGGCTTCAAAATTTCTCGTGACATCTTGCACAATCAATTTGGAAAATTCATTCAAGTTTAAATAATATAAAAATAGTAAAAAATTCAATTAAATCGTCAAAATGCCAGGAATATTGGAATGGTGCACCGCGTCTCTCGCATCGGTGAGTAAAATCCCCTTTATGAATTTCCAACTGCTCTTAGGCCAAAAAACTCACAACGATGCGTCTTGTAGCTGAACGTGTCGATACACGAGTACATGAGCAAAAACCAGATAAATGCGAAGAAAATCAAGGAGACCTCGCCGTTTTTGGCATGGATACAAGACCTGTCGGGCTCGACGCCCGGCGAGAAGTACAAGAACTTCAACAGGCTCATCCTGTTCATGATCCAGAACATGAGCGAGGAGAGCGAAGAGAACTTTTTGCGCGACACCGAGGACGTCTCCCCCGTGGTGCGAGCCATCATCAGCACGACAATCGGCAATAGGATACGCTCGCGGCGCCTCATCGTCGAGGGCCTCAAGTCCGAGCATCGCTGGGTGGTGAAGAAGGCGCTGGACGCCGACTGGTTCTTCCACGGCTCGAATTTCGACCTGACGCCGGACTACCTGCTGAAGCAGGTGCTGCCCGAGACGTCGCTGTACGCGCGCAATCGCATAATCGCCAAGCTGTCGCGCTGCCTGAGGCGCGGCTACGCCAGCAAGGCCGAGGACTTCTTCGGCGCTCTGTCCAACGCGTTCGGCGCGAGGAACACCTTCCCGCTTCTGTACGCCTGCAGCGAGGACTTCGCCGGCAAGTTCATCGAGGAGAGCGCGATGATGCTGAACGCGCAGCAGCTGCACCATCTGTACGTGAGCCATCCGGAGGTGGCCATCAAGTACATCCAGAACCGAGCGATGATCTTCCGACAGCAGAAAGCTGTGGCCGAGGGGAGCATGAGGAAGTCGAAAATGTTCCAGTACGATCACTTTTATCTCAAAATCCTTCGGAAGTATCCGAAAGTCTTCGTTGACTTGTTTTTGAACACTCCGAACAAGAGGATCTTGTTGAGCTCGAGAAAAGCCAGTATACTATTGAAGCACCAACGAGAGCGACTGATAAAAGAGCCGTATTATCTTCTTCAAATATTCAAAGTAAAAGATGTTCAGAAACATCTAAAGAGAAGCGAGTTTGAAGAAATGATATCCAATTACTTGAATTGTAATCTGAACATGATAAATTTCGAAAAATTGCTCGAAATGTTGAAAGGTTACCCGCACGACGAGTCAGAATTTCTGACGGATCTGTTCCACACACGTTTTGGCATCACGTTACTCGAAAACTCACCCGAGACCGCGACCGAGCACATTTTGCGCTTCTATCGTCCCGACCAGTTGCAGGTGAAAGTGAAGGCTTTTCTGAGCAAGAGGCCGGAGCTCGACATCAACGACGGCTTGTACAAATTTTTGCCGCCGGAAGATGTCCTAGAAAAGCTCGAGCATAGATTGGCCAGATTTCCGCACAACATCGAGAACCCAAAGTTCTTTACAGCACTGGTCGAGTCTTGCGAGATTTACAACAGATACACGCCCTTGATAAAGGCGTTAGACTTGTACAAGTTGTCGGTGAAGAATTACACGGACTATTTGGAGCATTTTTACGAGAGCCTCGACGGCATGCTCCACGATTACTTTCAGGACAACGACGTGGTCAAGGCTCTGGTGCGCTTCGACGCCAAGGCCTACGATTACTTCAAGACTCAGAACAATCTGAGCTACTTTACGAAATGCAACCGACGCCTCATCTGGAAGCTCTGGCGATACATGATACGCACCGGACAGGACGAGTCGGAGGACTTCGACTCGCGATACGTCTGCGAGTGGTTCGCCAAGACCCTCATAGGTCTCGAGTGGGGCCACACCTTCTCGGACAGTCTCGAATTCCAAAGACGAATGATCGACCACGTGCTCGACGAGATGCCCTACGTCGTGGAAAAATACGAGAAGGAGGACGAGAACAACGCAGATGACAAGATCCCGTGCTGCGGTGGCAAGCAGTCGTATCTCATTTCCGTCTTGACCAGTCTGATGGAGGTGATCGACGGCTACAACGGCAAAGCCAAAGACGACAAGATCGTCTTGGAAGATTATCCCGAGCTTTACAAGATCTACGCGAAATACTTGAAGATGAACTCGAAAGGCATGTCGTACGAGTACTTCTGTCAAACCTTCCAGAAAGCCTATCCGCGACAGTTTTACAAAATCTGCCAGTCGGACGACACGAGCAGCGAGGAAAAGAGAGCGGTAAAAATAGCCAAGATGCTCTACTTCAACTACAACGACATGAACTTCGACGAGTACTGGAAGGACTACTTGGAGTTCTGCAAAAAATGGCTGAAACGCTACAAGGGCCACATGGATCGCATGTCCGCCATACAGCTGGGCAAAGCTCAGCAATTGCTCAAGCGAGTCAAGTGGTTCCAGGACGTGCCCTGGAAATTCGTGGAGAGTTGCATGGAGAACCTCAAGGACGAGGGCAACGTCAGGGTTCTCGCGTACCTGCTGGAGGGCCCGGCCTTCGAGAAACTGGTCAAGGGCCAAGACTGCCTGGACAACACGGAGCTGTCCGTGATCAAAGTCGAGCCGCCGGTATCGTTGCGGATCATCGAGGAGTTCAAGGAGCTGAAGGAAGACACGGTGTCTCTGCTGTCGAGCCTGGTGCGACGCATACCCCTCGACCGTATCATGAGCTTCGTGCCGCAGGTCGCCGAGGCGCCCTCGGAGCTTAAGATTGTCTACTTCAAGGCTCTACTGGCTCTGGAGCCGCTCGAGGTGTCGCGCCGGCTCATCCAAGAGTTCTGGCAGAGCGAGCAGGACGGGCCGTACCGCGCGTTCGCCATCAAGAAGATGATCGACCACTTCAAGAACTGGCCGAGCTCCGAGAGCCTGCAGATGCTGAAGCAGTGCATCGAGGCCATCGACGACAGCGAAGTGCAGAACTACATACCCGTGAACAATCTGATCTGCGAGTGCGATCCGGCCTACTTATCGGGCTTCATCGACTACTACCTCGAGAAGATCAGCCGGGTACGCACCGCCCATCGGCCCGTGCTCGTCTGCACCGTGGCCGTGTACCTGGACGCGGTGCGGGCGCAGCTGCTCTACGACAACGTGCTGCAGAAGCTGGCCCTGACGTACTTCGAGGCCAACGATAGCCACATGATGATCGTCGTCGGCCGCTTCATCGTCGACTCGTATCTGCTCGGCTCCCTGGACGACAGGACCTTCAACGAGCGCATGCGCTTCTTCAAGGACAAGATCCTGGCCGAGGTCTACAAGCTGGGCGCGACTCGCTTCGAGCACTTCGTCACGCAGAGCCTGAACGAGTTCCAGCAGAACGTCGGCGTCAAGCACGACCGCAAGCTCAAGATCCTCGAGGCGTTCGACCAGTACTTCGAGACGGAGAGGCTCAACAGGCAGGAGAAGGTCGATCTGTTCTTCAACATCAAGGTCTATCAGGAGTACCTGGCGAGCGAGACGCCCGAGCAGTACGCCGATCGACTGGTCAAGCTCATACCGAAGCTGCTCTCGAAGGTGCCCGATCTCTCGTCCACGGTCAGCTACACGGTTCTGCTCTCGGCCATCGTACCGATCAACAACTTCCCCGACACGACGATCAAGAATCGGCCGTCGGGCGTTTTCCGCGTGGCCAAATTCTTGGCTCAAAACAAGACCCACCAACTGGCGCCCAATCTCGCCGTCGATCTGCTCTACAATTACGAGAGCATGCGCGAATACGATTTGCCGACGTACCAAGAGACCCTGGAGATACTGAGAGCTTGCGAGATTCCGTCGGTGGTAGCGGCGGTGCAAAGAATCGTCAATCTCATGGAGACCAAAAAAATAAAGTGAAATTTGTCACGCGCGCTTACCTCTCCGTTAATAACGATACTTGTTCCGAGAAATAAATTTTAGCATACAGTAATACTATTCTCATGATCATTGAATAAAAAATCCACGCGAACTTACGTTGTAATAATCCTTGACGACGGGAGTCGCGGCCGAGATCGGTGCCTCGTTCTCGTGCATGCGCCTGATGTGGCGCTCGAGCTGGGCCAGCTCGATGGCGGTAAAGCCGCAGTGGGCGCACACCACCAGCGGCCCGTGATTCTTGCGCACGTGATGATTCAGCATGAAGCGCTGCGGATAGGACTTGTCGCAGCGCGGACACTGGAACGGGCGCTCGACCCCGTGGACCAGTTGAAGATGCGTCACCAGGCGATTCACGTAGAGGAAGCTCTCGCCGCAGTACTTGCAGATGCGGTCGAGGTCGTCGCTGAACACACGGACAGACACGGACTCGGTTATTTTCTACTTTTTGTTTTTCCCGCTTGGATTTGCAAATTCAGGAATTTCGGGACTTACTTTACGAGGGAATCGATGAGATCCTGCTTGATTCGAAGAACGTCCATGTCGTTCAGGGCGGAGAAAGTACCGTTCGGTAGATCGGCGATGCAATCGCTGTAAAACATCGAAATGATAATCAGTATGCTTTCATTGCAAGCTACAGATCAGCTACATCCTTTGAATGCTCTACTTTTCTATATTAATTTACAACTAAAATTCTAATTCTAAGATTCATTCTAATTACTACTGAAGTACATTACGTTTTTGATATTTCTATTTCGTTTTACAGAGGACATTGTCGAATAAAACAATCATTTGAGCCTAGTTTAAAAAAACCACTGATGCTACAAGTGTTCAAATTGATATTCTTCAGTAACATTTTTATTAATTAATTAAATAGTGTTATAATTTACCACCACCAATTAATTTACTCCAATTTACAGTTTATTATTTCCCGATTGAACTAAATTTTGATAATAACCAATCACCATAAGACACAACCAAATCAATCAAAAATATGATCATTGATAGCTTAAACTTGAATACTATTAATCGAGTTTGAATTGAGTTCGATAGGTTGTATTTTTCATTGGAACCTGAACCTTAATGTCAATTTATTTTGAATACTCACTTTTTCATTCGATTGCCAAATTCAAATTTATCTGCAATTTGGTTTATTTATAAAAAGTATTGAAAATTGGGAGAACAGTGAAATAATAAGAGTGCATTTTTGTATAAATCAACTCTCTTTATTACGCAATACGAAATATATTCATATAAAATAGAAATATTTACAAAATTCATGCTTGAAATTATTACAATATTCATGTACACTTTTTACAAATTGAGTGAAAACAAAAATCGGTATAAAAACGAGTTTGGGGAAAGTAGAAACTCTACTCGGCCGGATCGGTCTTGTCGATGAGATCGGCTATGACGTAATCGATGGACACGGCCGGCAGCGGCGGCAACGGGCCCGGATGCTTCTTCCTGTGCGTTATCAGGCCCGGCTTCTGGGTGAAGGCCTTGCCGCAGATGTCGCAGACGTAGGGCTTCTGGCCCGTGTGCGTGAGCAGGTGCTGCTTGTGGGTGTTCTGCCGCCTGAAGGCCTTGCCGCAGAGCTTGCAGCTGTAGGGCCGGTCGTCCGTGTGTATGCGCATGTGCTTCTTCAGCGGGTCGTTGCCGCTGTAGGTCTTGCCGCAGATCTGGCAGACGGTGCGCTCCTTGCGCGTGTGCAGGAGCGTGTGCTGCTCGAGGGACTCCTCGGTGGCCAGTCGCCGCTTGCAGATCGAGCAGCCGTAGGGGCGCTCGTTGTGCGCGTGGGCCCGGTGCTTCTTCAGGGCGAACTGGTTGCGGTAGCGTCGGCCGCACTGGTCGCACTGGGCCGCCGAGCCGGCCTCGGCGTTGTGCTGGTTCTGCACGTGCATGTACAGGTCGCTCTTCATCTTGAACTCCTTGGAGCAGCTGGCGCAGCGGTAGCGGAAGCCCTCGGTGTGCTTGCGCACGAAGTGCTCGCGCAGGCTCTGCCGGCACTTGAACTGGGCGCCGCACGACTCGCACACGAAGCTCGCCACGCTCTTGTGGGCCTCGGCCACGTGGCTGCGCAACTGCTGACGCGTCGGGAACGTCGTCCGGCAGTAGGTGCACGTGTGCGGCAACTTGTTCCGTTCCGATAGCTTGGGACGCGACTCGTATTTACTGCTGCTGTTGCTGCTCTTCGTTGTTACCGATCCAGTCCTTGGATTATGATTTGTCTGGTCGTCGTCGATACTGGTGTGATATTTCTTTGGCAGGTTGCGATTTCGCACTGGTCGCTGCTTACGTATCGTGGATGAAGGCGGTGGCCGTTTGCTCTTCGGTCGTTGTTGATGCCCGCGAGTGAGAGAAAAATTCGATTGCCTGAAACGTAAAACAGATTGAGTTTTTGCCTAAACTTTGGATTATTAGGGGGGTATTTAAAATAAAAGAACAACCCACTTTTAGAAAGTTGGCCCCAAGAAAGATTGTGTTAATTAGGTGTCTTACGGAGACTCGTATGAAATCATCAGGTAATCATTATTTCTTTTTTCTTAACGAAACGTTTATTATTGATCCAAGTATTAAAAATTGTTCATTATTTAGCGTTGATGCATAATAAATTTTCGTTTTATACTTTTGCAACAAAATCAATTTACAAACTTCTCATCGATGACTGAAATTGTTCTCCACCTACATGATCTCCTGTTGCACTTCTGGCAATCGTATTTGGTTTAGTGTCTCCACTTCCAGTGGCGGTTGTGTATCGTGGTAGGCGGTGAGTGTTGCCAAGTTTGAGAAAGCATCCAAAAACATCGCGGTAATGTCTCTTCTCACCTTCTCCGAATGATAGAATTTCACATGAACGTCAGTTTGTGTATTCCAGGAACTTCTCATAGAAGTGTACGCTAATTTGATGCACCAGCGAAGACGAGCTTTTACAAACGTAGCTGCAAATCAAGAAATGCCTGCATCCACCGATTCGAGTCATCAAAGCCAGTCCTTCTTCAATGATTCTCGAACCTTTTCTTATTCAACGATTTACCTTTCGTTACTGAATCTTCGCAAAGTTTTGTATCGAATTCAAATTGCGACCCAAAGCAAAATCATCATGACCAAACAATTTGTCTAAAAACGTCATACTCACTAAGAGGTTTCGCTGGTCATTGTGAAGTTATCAATGCAGGATTGAGGTATTTTTTAAATAAATTACACTTTATAAACATATTTTGTTGAAGTAAAAATTTATTATTAACTTTATCTCCTAATATTTTCATCTGCAATATCTCTTCGTAGACAGTTCACATAGGTAACTCGTTCTAAGCACAACAATTTATCAAATAGATCATTTTCCATTTACATATTATACAACCAACTTGGAGCGATTTTAAAAAATTGTACAACATTATCTTGAGAAACACTAATCAAATGCTTTGATACACTTACAAAATATTTTTATCTTAAAAGCACAATACAGCAAATCGTTGAAGTAATTGAAAATGGCAAAGTTATAAACAACAACTTTATACCAAACAAATAATTCTAATAGATTTTCAAACATTTTTGGTACGGTACTCTTTTACATATAATAATTTGATACTTAATCAACTTAATCAGTACAATAAATCAAATCAGTCGAACTAAGCATTTAAATTTGTATTAAAATTAAAACTATTCGCGCGACAGGAAAGAAGCAATAAATTAATCTTCCATCAGACAATCGTCGAAGTTGACGGTCTCCTCGATGATCTCTTCCGGCTGCTTGTCATCGTTCAAATCGTTGTTGACGAAATCCGTGAGTATGCTGTCGATGTAGACGACCGGCAACGGTGGCTTCTCGCCCGGATGGCTCTTCCTGTGGCATATCAATCCGGGCTTCTGCGTGAAGGACTTGCCGCAAATGTCGCATACGTAGGGCCTCTGGCCCGTGTGAATGAGCATGTGCTGGCGAAAAACGGACCTCCTGGCGAAGGACTTGCCGCACTTGTGACAGGTGTGCGGACGCTCCCCCGTATGCGTCCTCATGTGCTGCTTGAGCTTGCAGGGCTGGCCGAATATCTTGCCGCACTGCTCGCACTGGTACTTGGGCGCGTTCATGTGCTGCCTGACCATGTGATCGTCGAGATTCTCCTGGCTGACCATGCGCCGCCTGCACAGGTGACACTGAAACTCGGGCTGAAAGTGCTCGCGCTTCTGGTGTATGTGGAGCGCGTTGGCGCTACCGACGACCTTGCCGCAGACGTCGCATATGTGGGGCGTCTGCTCGTGCTGCATCTTGATGTGCGCGGTCACGTCCACCTTCATCTTGAAGCGCTTGCCGCAGTAACTGCAGGGAAAGTTGAGCTCGGTCGTGTGCTTCCTGCCGACGTGGGTGGCGAGCTTGTGCTTGCACTGTGTCACGAAGTCGCACTTGTCGCACTTCAGATCGACCTTGGCTTTGAACTGGCGGCTCTTGGGCTCGACCTGATAGGCCTGCAAGAAGCCCTGATGCTTGCGTCTCGTGTGCGCTGCCAGCGTCGACCTGCTTGTGGCCGCGAATGGACAATACAGACAGGCCATGATTTTTTCGTTGTTGCCTTGAGTGAATTCACGCACCTCCTGCTGGCGCAGAGCGACAGCGGCGTTCCAGTCGTCGCTGTGCTCCTTCAACAAGTGCGTGGCCATCGCGGCGCGCGATATCGACCTGAAATCGCAATACTGACAGCGGTACTCCGTTCTCGTCCTCGGGAAGCCGTCGTGCATCTTGTCGTAATCATCGCCTGATTCGGCGGCGGCGGCGGCGGCGGCGGCTGCTTTATTTTTCCCACGCGAATTTCCAGCGACTTCTGGCAAGTTACTGTTATCCCGACTGGCATCTTCGTCGTCCGATCCGGATAGTCTCAATCCGTCTCTGCTGGCTTCGTTCGAGTCCCAGAGATCAGAGAAATTCGAGCCTTGCTCGTCGGGGTCAACGAAATTGTCGTGTTTACGGCTAAGATGCAACTTCATCGCCATTATTCCAGGACTCTCGAAGAAGCAAGAATCGCACGAATAAATCCCGTACTTGTCCCGTCTGTAGCCTTGGTACTGACGCGGTGGAATAAAGCCAGGTTTGTCGTGCGTCTCGCTGTGCTCCTGTAACTCGGCCTCGGATGAGAAAGTCAAATCACAAGAATTGCAGTGAAAACCCTCGCCTTTTGCTTTTTTTCTCGCGGGGGACATCGATTCGTCCGCTGTCACTAACTTTTCTTCTTCGTCACTATCCTCGATAGTGTAAACAGTGCCCTCGATATCTACCTCTTCAAATGCATCATCGACACAGTCTTCGTCTTCTTCGACGAACTCGTCGACATCGGAAATGTCGAGCTCTTCTTTTTTCACATCGAGAAATTTCTCGCTGTTTATCAAGTCTATGATTTGGAAACTGTCCTGGGAAAGTTTGTTGCTCCAAGAAAAATTCCGCTGCATTTTTCTGAAAAATAAAATTTTTCTGGTCAATAACAGTTCGTTCAGTCAGAGAAGTGTAAGGTCTTAAGTCGATTAGATATCATTGCTGTTACGGTGGTGTTTCAGTGAAGTTTTAACAATATTTTGCCTATGTATATCAATTTTTTTTTTTTCATGAAAATATAGCCATGAATACACTACCAAGTTGTTCTGGAAAGTCGTAAATGTTCATCTGAAATCTTTTTAGAGGTAGATATGACGATCGACTAAACTACTATACAATGAAAACAATAATATTTGCTTTTCCAGAATTTATTTGAACAACAGCATTTTATTATCTTACAATGTGTTTACAGGCATTCTATAACATAGTTATATCTAACTTAACTTAAACTTTGAAGGTTTTTGCATCAAAAATTGTAACAAAAGTATTGATTCTACCTTATAAAATTTGCTTTTATAATTACAAACTCGATCCAAGCCTAGTGTACATACAATGTTTGCTGCAAAATTTCACTTACACGTTTACATAATCAGAGCTACAGTCAAGAGTAGTAGCCTATTCAAATCAATTTAATAAAAATTGAGACAAACGATTGTTAATATAATAAATTGAAATTACAACTTTTTTTAAAAAGTAGAGGCACACAATAAAATAAATGTCAAGGAATGAAATGTGGAAAACACTCTTGTTGCACAACAAAAATTCATTTTCACTATTCTACCATAAAAAAAAATTGTACGATCTTTTCATTTGAATATCAAAGGTCACATTTTTTACAAGTATAAAATAAGGTTTTTAAATTAATTGTCTTTACTTTTTATACTACATCTAACGAAGTGAAATTGGAGTAAAAGAGAAAGATAATTTAAAAAAAAATTAGCCTGACAAATTTTCTACTGTTTTTCTTCAAGTAAATTTGAAAGTACGTGATCAATAGTGACCCTCGGTAAAGGCGGATGAGATCCAGGATGACTCTTTCTGTGGCTTATCAAGCCCGTTTTCTGAGTGAAGGATTTGTCGCACAAATCGCAGCTGTACGGCTTTTTGCCCGTGTGTATGAGCAGATGCTGCCGCAATCCGTTCCTCCGTGCAAAAGACTTCAAGCATATTTGACAAGAATACGGTTTCAAGCCAGTGTGCGTTCTCATGTGAATCTTCAACCTCGAGGCGCGCGTGAACTGCTTGCCGCACTCGTGGCAGACGACGTTCTCGCGCTGCTCGTGCTGCTTCAGTATGTGGTCGTCGAGATTGGCCTGACTGACCATGCGCCGATGGCAAATCGGACACTCGAATTCCGGCTTGTAATGGGCAAACTTCTGATGCAGATACAGCAGATTGCTATTCTGGCAAGTTTTACCGCAGACGTCGCAAATAATGGGCTGTTCACGATGCTTAAACCTGACGTGATTCGTCAGGTCCGCTTTGACTTTGTACTTTTTGCCGCAAATTTCGCACTCGTGGCTGTAGTTCTCCGTGTGCTTACGAATAACGTGAACCTTCATGACGTGCTTATTTTTTGTGGAGTAATCACACTGCTCGCACACGAAAAGAGGTTCGCCTTCGTCCTGTTCGTCCTTGCCTTCTCCGTCCTTGTGTTTTCGACGTATGTGCGAGAACAACAGGGTCTTTAGCCAGGTGGAGAAGTCACAGTCGTTGCAGAAGAAAATGATTCCCGATTCCTCGGCCTTGGTGCGATTATCGCTGCAATGCGATTTGAGATGCCAATCCATAATTTTTATGTTCAGGCACTTGAACTCGCAAACCTCGCATTGATAGCAGGGCACGTTATTGGTGAGATTCGGTTTCTGGTGCTTGATCGACATGTGTCTCTGCAGACCCATGTGCGACATGGTCTCGTAGGAGCAGGCGTTGCAGCAGTACATGCCATCGGCATTGGCTTGACCTTTGTGGTTCTTTTTCAAGTGAGTTTGCATGTTGCGCCGATTGCGCGTTTTGTACTCGCAGCGGTCGCAGTCAAACTGATCGGTCGGTATCTCCTGGACGGGCTGCTTCATGCTCGCGTGCATCCGCGTGTTGTGACTGGTGAGGCTGTGTATCGTGGCGGCGACGAACGCGCAATAGTGGCACGCGTAGCCAGTGATCATGAAGCTGTTGGAGGCAGTCTTGCTCTTCTTGCTGGGGGCGGCGCGACTCGAGGCTCCACCGAGGCCGGACGCGCTTCGCTTGGCGTTGCTGCCGTGTTTGCGCAGCACGTGGCTGTTGAAAGTCGACGTGTTGCGAGTCTGAAAGTTGCAGTACGGACACGAGCGTATCTTCGACAGTACGTCGGACTCGGCAGCGCCGTCGGCCAAAGAGGCCTCGGACTCGTTGAGCAACTCTTCCTTGACCTCTACGAAATTGTCGTCGACATCGTCCAAGTCGGTCTCGTCGAGCTTGCGCTTGAGTCCGTGTTTGCGTTTGACGTGCGAGTGCAGAGTATTGCGCTTGTACGTGGTGAAGTCACAGTGTTGACACTGGAGCTCGGGGCCCTCGGGAGTCTTGGCCATGGCGGCTTTCATTGCGTTTTCGGCCGCCCATTCCTCGCGATGTTTACGTTTTACGTGCGAGTGATAGGTCGAGGTTACCGTAGATTGGAACGAACAGTAGGGACAGGTGCGCATCCGGTCCTCGCTGTCGGAGACTGCCTCCGGCTCGTGATTCTGCATCTGCTCTTCGAACGTCTCGTCGACGGTTTCGATGGGCCACGATGACTCGTCGTCCTCGTCGTGTATCTCGATCATCTCCTCGTCCATCACCTCCATTTTCATCTCATCCACGAGCGGATCGTCGTATAATTCATCTTCTTCTTCTTCTTCGTCGACATCCTCCTGCTCCTGCTTAGTTTTAATCATCTCGAAGGATTCTTCTTCCTCCTCGTTATCAGAACCCGCTGACATGTGATTTCGCTTGGCGTGCGACGAGACCGTCGTTCGTATGACTGATCGATACGGACAAAAATTACAGACGAACTCGTTGGTATTCAAGTCTTTATGATAAAGCTGGAAAAATACTTTGTTCTCTTCCTGATCGAAGCGCGGCCTCGGCTTGGGCTGCTGCTCCTGCTTGAGCTGCATGAGAAGCTGCTGCAGTTTGACCTTTTTAACGGCCGGCTTGGAGGTCGCGTGCGACTCCTTGTGATGCACCTCCAGCTGGGCCTTTGTCGGGAAGTAAGTCTGGCAAGGGGTGCACATGTACACGACTACTTCGCTCGTTTCCTGAGCTGCCGATTGTTGTTGATTCGTCGTTTTGTTGTTCGACTCGGCAATCATGTCCGATCCGTCGATATAAACTTCCTCGAAATCGGCTCCGCCGACCGTGGACTTGGTCTGTGGCGCCAGAGACTCGACTCGCTCGATCTTGATGCTCTCCGGATGCATGAATTTCGCCATTTGTTTAGCATGCAGCTTCGGGGCTACTTTATGCGCCGAATTGCTTAGGTTAGGCTGCTGGCGCTGTTGCTGCGTCGATCTGAAAATAAAGAAAAAAGTTTCGAATCAGCAAGAGAACATTTTCTGATGTACTTAAAAAAAAGCGAGTGAAATTTGTCACGGACGAAAAAGAAGATAGAGTGAGTGAGTAAGAGAGAGATTACGAATTCGGCTTCTTACAGCTGTGTACTCTTACGTAAATGATTGTGTCTGTGTTGAATGGCATATTTACGTTTTAGAGTAAAATAACGGCAGTGGTGCTCGACTTACGATGCAGAAATACCATATGCGTGCCTTGGTACCTGGTATCGTTAAAGGGCGCAGCATCGAGCGCTCTCACGTCAAGTTATGACGAAACGTCAGCCACCGCCCTAAAGTACTCTGAATTTTTCCTACAGAGCAGTTCGCGCAGAACCGATCTCGACTGGTAGATGTTTTTATATCATAAATAATAATTATATTTATAATAAATCCACGAATTCATTTGTGGGTTTCGCTTTTTATTTTTAAAATAAGCTTACATCGATGTTATTTGCTTTTGTTTGTTTTATTAAAGCTATACTCTTTATTTTACAAAGTATTAAAATCACATGAGAAAATCTTGTTGAAATTTACATCTTAACTAAGACAGTTGTCACATTTCTCAGATACAGTTAAGTTTACAGGAAAGTTCTGTATATAGATATAGCTGAATAACAACTCGTACCGTCGTTCGATTGGTACGGCAATGCTCTAACGACTTGGAAAAATAATATCATTGTAAGAATTTAACTTCGAGGTTGTTTGATATTATTTTTCTAAATTGGCAGGGCATTTTTGTAATTCTCGTACAAAACGTATCATTCGCATTAGTCCGACTCCGTACTTGGGACCATCTACAACGCATCGTCTCGTTTATGCGTGCAACGGAGCTCGAGTTCATTCGAAACCATCTTCAGCGAGTAAATCCGACAGAACGTTATTGATGGAGATTCTCGGCAGGGGTGGATGCGTGCCCGGATGGCTCTTCCTGTGGCTGAGCAGGCCCGGCTTCTGGGTGAAGGACTTGCCGCAGATGTCGCAGACGTAGGGCCTCTGGCCGGTGTGTATTAGCAGGTGCTGCCTCAGGGCGGTTTTGCGCACGAAGGCCTTGCCGCAGACCTTGCAGGAGAACGGCTTGAGGCCCGTGTGTATGCGCATGTGAATCTTGAGACGGGAGGCGCGCGTGAACTGCTTGCCGCACTCCTCGCAGACGACGTCCTCGCGCTGCTCGTGCTGCTTCAGTATGTGGTCGTCGAGATTGGCCTGGCTGACCATGCGCCGATGGCAGGTCGGGCACTCGAACTCGGCCTTGTAGTGCGCGAACTTCTGGTGCACGTACAGGGCGTTGCTGTTCTGGCAGACCTTGCCGCAGACGTCGCAGATGACCGGCTGCTCGAGATGCGTGAATCTCGTGTGATTGGTCAGGTCGCCCTTGATCTTGTACTTTTTGCCGCATATCTCGCACGAGTAGTTGTACTCGTTCGAGTGTTTGCGTATCACGTGCACCTTCATCTCGTACTTGTTCTTGTTGACGTAGCCGCAGTGTTCGCAGTTGTACACGGGCTTCTCGGTGCTGCTACCGGCACCGGCAGCGGAGGAGGCGCCGCCCGCAGCACCACGACCACCACCGGCCGCACCGCCGCTCTCGTCGGCTCGGTGCTTCTTCGTTATGTGCTGGGACAGGCCCTGCTTGGTGTTGGCCACGTAGTCGCACTCGTGACAGTAGAACCTGTCGCCGGGCTCCTGCTCAGCCGGGGCGTTCATCTTGATGGCGCCGCGCCTGTGCTTGCGCTTGTGCGAGTAGAGGGCGTTCTTCGAGCCGCACCTGTAGTCGCACTCGTCGCAGCAGTAGCTCTTGGGCACGCCCGTCTCGGGTTTGGGCTTGTGCTTGCGCGTTATGTGGCTCTGCAGGCCCATGCGAGTCAGGCCCTCGTAAGTGCACAGGTGGCAGAGGAACTTGTTCGAGTCTTTGTTGCTGTCCTTGGCGCGGCAAGTGTGAAAGTCTAGATCGGCTTGATTTTCCGACGTGAAGTCGCACTTGGTGCACTTGAGCTCAGTTATAGTGATGGCGACCTTGTCATCCGACAGAATCTCGTCCTCCAACACCTCGGCCTCGAAATCCATCTCGTCTTCCTCGACCTCTTGCTTTAGGTTTTCCTCACTGTCGTCAAGAGACGTTTTATCGGAGTAGCAGTGGGATTTCGTGAAGTGCTTGATCATGTCGCCCCGGACGATCGTGGTGAACGGGCACGACGGACAAATGTAAGTCGTCACTTGTCTCGTCGTCTCGCTACTGCACTGCAGCTCGCTTCCTGTGGTCTTTCTCGCAAGACTCGGACGTTTTTCTGACTTTTTTCGAGTATTCAACGGGTCGTGGGTGGACCGATGCCAAGCGAGTCTCGTAGGGCTGGTAAACTCGAGGTCGCACTCGTCGCACGTGTGAAGCTGCGCAATTTTCGCGACGATCGTTCGCACTTTCCCTTGCTTCTTCTCTCTAACATAGACGTATCTAAAACAAAAACGATGAAGTTTTGGTTAATGAGGCTATCGTCGAAAAGTGACCACATTTTTGTGGTCGTTGCTACTTACTGTGTTCGAAAAGACTTAAGTACGATTATATATTTTAACGATGTTGTTTACGTATCGAGTAGTTTAGATTGTTAATGATTAGCAATTTTATACATACGCAAAAATAAATCAAGTAATTATAAGTAGAAAATGGAGCTCTTCTTTGTCTCAAAAGTGAGCGGTAAAATTTACCTAAAAGGAAAGAATTTCTTACGCAAGGTAATATCAAATAAAGTTACAAATTGTTGAATCGTTGGTAACAATTTATTTATAATTTGATAATACAACTGAAAAAATTCTCAGAATAAGTTGATAAATTTAATCAGAGTAACACATGAATAATCTTTGTTGATATCAATTCTTTGCCAATGCCTCTGAGATTCATTTGAACATAAATTAAATATTTTATGAAAAAATAATCAATTATTATTTTTAATTAATATATATATCAATAAGTATATCTATCGATTGCTAATACAAACTATTGTAATTCAATTCTCAAGAGTTCGAATATCAAGTTAAGTACAAGATTATTCTTTTATAATTAATATCAGTAAAGCAAACCTCGATTAGCGTTAATGATTACGTTTTCCACATAAATATTGAAACAAAATATAACATTTTTTTATTTACTCAACTATATTCTATTCATGTCATTGAAATTATGAGGAAAAGTATTAGGGAAAGTTATTGGAAAAGCATTAGGAAAATTCAAAGGGAAAGTATTAGGAAAAGCATTAGGATGAGGAATATGATTCGTATTTAGTAATGGATTATGCTGTGCATTTGAGTGAGCACTAGCATTGGCATTACCATGAGGGTGTGGATGAAGATGAGTATTGGGATTTACATTAGTATGTGTATTTGAATGTAAGTTTTGATGTGGACTTTGATGTGTACTTTGATGTGGACTTTGATGTGCACTGTGATGTGCACTTTGATGAGCACTGTGATGAGCACTTTGATGCATATTTGAATGTGTATTGGATAGCATATTAGAAAGTGTATTATGTTGTGCGTGAGCATTCAAGTTGAAATGAGTATTAGGGTTAGCATTAACGTGTGCATTAGAATGAGTACTGGCAGCGGTGGTATTAACATGAGTATTAGAATGAGTACTAGAGCTAGTGTTAGCATGTGTACTAGTAGGAGTGGCAGCAGCATTGACATGAGAAGAAGTTGACGGTGCATTAGTAGAAGCTTGCGTAAAAGTACTAGCATTAGAATTTGTATCGACGGTTGCAGCAGGTTGTCTATTAGTATTGGCTTCAGTCTGATTATTCGCTTGATTAGGAAGTTCAATGTTCAGTTCGTCGTTGTTCTTCAAATGCTCGAGAATAGTAGTTAACGTGACCGGCGGCGGAGGCGTGATGGCGTCCGGATGCTTTCGCCTCCAATGCAGCATCATCGACGATCGCTGAGTGAAGCTGAAGCCGCAGACGTTGCACAGGTAGGGCTTGACCTTGGAATGAATGAGACTGTGCACCCTGAGCGTGGACGAGCAAACGAAGCTCTTACCGCACACGTTGCACAGATTGTTCTTCTCGACTCTGTGCACTCGCTTCTTGTGGCGCGTGAGGTAGTGCTTCTTCAAGAATTTCCAGTCGCACTCGTCGCAGTTGAACGTTCGGTCGTGCTTCTTCACGTGTCTGTCCAAGCTCTCCTGAGTCAGGAGCTTTTCGTTGCAGATGTCGCACTTGAAATTGTAAACGTTCAGGTGCTGAACCCTTCTGTGTCTGACCACCGAATTGTGGCTCGGGAACATTTTACCGCATATGTCGCAAACGTACTCTGCCACGTTGTGCGACGCCATATGCGATTTCACGTCGCTCTTGATCTTGAACTTTTTGCCGCACAGGTCGCACTCGAAGACACGTTCATCCGTGTGCTTTCTGATGAAGTGTGTCTTGATGTAGTACTTAGATTTAGCCACGTAGTCGCATTTGTCGCAGAAATATTGCTGTGTCTCGTGTTGTTTTTGGTGCAGTTGATATTTAAAATCATTTTGACACACGACGTTGCAAATCTCGCACGTTTTAGGCTCTTTGAAATGTTTTCGCTTAATGTGAGCTGGTACCGAGCTACGCTGGGTGAACTCTGTACCACATATCGTGCACACATATACTCCGAACGACACTTTCTTCACGCATTTCAACATTCTTTCATTCAATGCTGAAATCGCAATCAATGTTTTTCCCCTCCTCTTCCTTCTACCATCGTTTTTAGACAATGGCTTTTTCTTGACGTTATAAGTTCCTCTTTTTCCTCTGGGCTTTTTCTCTTTTGGTGCCTTTTTCTCCTTCGGCGGCTTCTTCGCTTTGGGCGGCTTTATCTTGATTTTTATCTTTTGAATAGGCTTTTTCTTCTTTTTCGTGCTACCAGTACCCTTCTCTTTTTCATACGGTTTCCACTCTGTATCTTTCGGTTTTTTCTTTTTACGAGTTGGAGCAT